GAGACTTTCCTTAGTTCTTTCATCCAACAAATTATTTTTCAATACACACTACATGCCAGGCATTGCAGGAGACATCAGAAATAGTCACAGTCCTTTTAATTGTAGCTTTCAGTTTTGATTTTACTTATTTTTTTCCTCATTTGTTTTCCAGAAGGAACACAGCTTTTCTGTATAACCACTACTCAGGGAATAGCCATTGCGACCTAAGGGGTTCTGAAGTCCCTCTAGTTCAGAGGCGGGGAATCCAAAGCCCCAGAAACTGCAGATTGTAAGGCTCTTTTGTTCCCTCTGTGTCTCAGTTTCTAGCACATTCCAGGCCCAGCAAAGGTATACAGTCAATATTTGTTGAATTAATAATAAACAAAAGAGACTTGTCCTACCTGCCTCTACTAATGCAGACATGTAGACGCAGGTAGACTCAGTAAAAAAAGAATGAATTGACAGGGGAAGGACCACAAATGGCTGTTCTTGAAACCTTCCCACACCCCTCTGGGAGTCTTCCTCAACTGAGCAAATACCCTCTTTCCTCTCACTAAAAACCCAAGAGCATCCATTGTCAAGGTCTATTGCCTTCAACTACACATCGAATCCTCTACCACCACCTCTTTCTCCCACACTTTGCTCAGTCATGACAATCTCCATTAGGTTCCTCCCACACCAAGCTTGCACCTGCCTGCTTGGCTCTTGCCTGTCATTCAAGTCTATGCAGCAGACTCACTCTGACCACCCTGACCCCGACACCTCCCATGTGACCAATCCTTCCAGGCACTGTCTCCAAACACCTGCTTTCCTCTCTGCCAAGCACCCAGCACACTCAGATCTTTTCTGGTTTATCTGTTCATGGCCTGTTCTCCCTCCACATCCCCCCCACACCCCTGCCCTTGCCTCACCTTTCTTCTTAGTGCATTTCTCCCACCCTGCTGTAATTATTTCTTATTTGTCTTTGAATCCACAGCTCCTAGAGGAGTGCCCAGTGCAACCAAGACATCCAACAAATATTTGTTTAATTTAACACTTAATTATTTAATACTACCCACACTGGTCATGTAACACTGGTAGCAATCCTCTTCGTCCTTGAATTTGACAAGTTGGACAAAGGACTTTGTAAAGTGTTACGTGCCAATTGTTCATAGATTACTGTTAGTATTATTAGTACCTGACTCTGCAGCCAGAGTAACACAGCGTAGCCCAATTCACTCTCATCTTTATCCTGGAAATGGTCCCCCATCTAGGCCCTGGTGATGGTGGAAGAAAAACAGCCTGGATTGAATACAGAGAAGAGCCCAGTTTGTCATTCACCAGGTCTTTACAGGTACAAGCCTGATGCAAAGCAACGAGGGCACGAAGTCCTGGGTGCACTGAGAGCACGGGGTGGCAGGGCAGGAGGACGGAAGCACTTTCTACCAGATAGCTCATTTATTCCTCATAGTCACACTTTGAAGTAGGAATTTTTCTCCCCACTTTACAGAGCATAAATCTGAAGCTCAGAGAGGTAAAGTATCTTGCCCAAAGGCTCACAGTTACTGGCAGCAGCATCTGTATCTAACAGCATAGCCTGTCCCTGTTACATCCTCCTGGTGCCAAAGGCCTAGTTTCAGCCAAGGGCAACACCAGGTAGAAAAGTCCAGCAGACTAGAGTTTGGGAGGAAAGGAAGAATCTCCTCCCATTACTAAGTCTGCCATGTTCAACGATGGGAGCAGGGCCACACCCAGGAACCCCCCACATGTACATTTATTCTGAGCACCAATCCAGGGTTCAAAGAAACCCTCTCACTCCCAAATGGAGCAGAAAAATTCCCATTCACACATGTCCAGGGTCCAGCACTCGTCCAGCCACCACTGAAGCAACCATGACCTCAGCACCCCTGTAGGGGAGTGGCTGGGTGGAGACCCAGAGCTGGGGAGGCCTGTGCTCACCCAGCCCAGGGATTCCAGGTCCTGTGCCAGACTGAGAAAGGGAAAAAAGGAGAGGGAGGTTTCTGGGAGGCACAAGAGTAAGGGAAGGGTTTGGAAAGCATGGACCTCAGTGGCACCCGCCCTGAATCTTGGCCTTGCAGGAGAGGGGGTACATGCACTTTGCATGGAGACAATCATGTACGTGACTCTGTGTGTGACTCTAGGCTATGTGTGTGCAGAGTGTGCACCTGAAGTGGTGTAAGTGGAAGAACAGAGTCTCACGTGTAAATGTGTATGTGACCTAAGATTACACGTGCAGAAATACCATAGTGCTGTGGTGCTTCTTTGCTTCTGTGTGTTTTATTACATATAACATTCAGAGAAGTACTCAAACCTAAGAATACCACTCAATGAATTTTTGTGCATATATACCCCCAGTAACCCATACATAGATCAATATCTAGAAGTTTTCCAACATTCCAGAAGCTTCCATTGCAGCTCTTCCAATAACCACCCACCTCCCCCATGGTAATCACTAGTCTGACTTCTATTACCACAGATTAACTTTACCTTTAAACATCATATAAATTAAACCATACAGAGTCTACTCTTGTGCCTTGTTTCTTCTGTTCATTATTCTGTCAATGAGATTCATCCATGTTTCTGTTGCATTCAGTACTAATTTATTCTTGTCTCTTGCTAAGTTCTATTTCCATTATATGAATATACCACAATTGATTTATCTACTCTACCAGCAATTATCATTTGGGTGTTTCTAATTATTAGCTATTATGAATGAAGCTACTATGAATAGTCATATAGGTTCTTGCTAGATATAGGCACTCATTTCTCTTGGCTATATTTGCTGGGTGATAGAATCATGAATAGTCAATTGCTTGCTCTAGTAGATTCAACCAAACCACTTTCCAAAGTATCTATACCAATTTACTCTCTCAATATATGAGAGCTCCAGTTACTCAACTTCCTCATCAACACTTAGTATTGTCAGTCTTTCATTTTAACCATTCTGGTGTCTTTGTAGAAATATCTCGTTGTGGTTTGAATTTTCATTTACCTGATGAGTAATGATATCGAGCATCTTTAAGCAATTATTGCCCAGTGGGGTACCCCCTTTTGTGAAGAATCTGTTCAAGTTTTTACAGAACTATAACATCTGTAAAAATGATTGACAAAAGCAGACAATACAGCAGAATCATCCAGAGGAGCTGCAGTACACACAACCCAGCGGCCAGTCCTTTCAACAAATGTTCTAGTTATTACAACTAGTACACTAGCTGTACCAGGTCTTATATATAAAACTGAATTTTATGTTTTGAACCAATTATTTGGATGTCACAGAGCTCCCCAATTTAAAGTCACAGGGGAAAAGGAAAAGCAGACAAGTCTCCCTTGGGCTCTTAGTCCCAGGCTGCCAGCATCCCTTACCAACTCATTGACTATTTTTTCTTCAATTACAGGATCCTGACAGTGATCAACCCCTGAATAGCCGTGGTAAGCTGTGGTCCAAATTTTCTTTGTCTGCATCAACCTCTGAGTTTCAATCAGTTACCAAGTAAACACTAAACCCCTTGCATGGCCCTCACCCCAAACACCAAGAGCTAAATGCTGTAGGAGTCATCCATCCATCAATCAACAAACATTTATTGAGCAACTGCATGTTCCAATATAAAGTAGCAGACATGGTCTTTGGGGGAGATAACCAACAGACCAGTACCCCCAAGAGCAGTGATTTTCCAATTCAGTCAGCCAGTGACTTATTCTCTCACTCACTCAACACCCCTCAACAACAACACTGAGAGCTGGCCATTGTCAGCCTCTGGGCTGGATGATGGCTGACAGCAGTAAAACAGACAGCCAACATCCTTATCCTCACAGCATCTGACCATGCTGCAGAGGAACAAGCTGGACCAAGGCATTTTCACTAGTAGAATAAAAATGACAGTGTTTGCCTGATTTGCAGGAGATAAATTAATAGCATGTTCCTAAACTACAGGGTTGTTTTTTTTTTTTTTCCTCCTACTCCATTTTCTTAAACCATTGATACTCCTGATAGTCTGCTGAATGAGCAACACAAGGAACAAAGAACAATTAGGTTCTTTATGTTAATAAGGAAATGGCCAATCTCACTTACTTTGACAGCTTATGTGTTTCAGGGTTACAAGTTAATAATGATCACAAATGATGTAATCTTCAGCAAGGAAAATGATGCCTAGTTTATACTTTGATTTAATAGCCTAGTAGACCACAGTGTCCCCAAAGAACACCAGGCTTCCAAGCGCTCCACCACCTGAGTAATCCTGAGCACTGACAAACCAGACAACACAGGTTAATTTGCTGCCAGTGCCCTGCGTGAAGGGAGCTTGGGAGAGAAAGGGCAGGACCAAGCGGTCAGGGAGTGCGTCATGAGTTAGGCAAACTTTGACCAGGGTCATGCAGGTGTAAATGATCACAAAACAGAAGAGAGTAATGAAGGGCTCAGTGGTGGAGGAAGAGCAGGAGCAAGGACTCAGGTAAGAATAAATGAGGGTTGTGTGAGGGTGAGGGACTGGGGGTCAGTGAGAACTGGCACTGGAGGCACCCATCGGGCTAGGAATGTGAGGTCTGATTACACTCTTTTTCCTTCTTCCTCCATCCTTCTTCCCTCCATCTTCTTCAGTTTTCCCAAAATAGAACTCATACAAGATATTCCAGATAAATGAGATTTAACTCATCTTCCGCCTCTTCTTCTTGCTTCTTTTGGAAGTAATACAATCGTACCTCTCTTTATTGTTAGCAAAGACACAAAACCATAAATTATTCTTCATCTGTAGAGATAGTTCAAATACCTAGAAAAGACATCTCAAAGTTCTTGCTCTTGCTCGCAGCAAAATTATCTCTGTTTGGAGAAAACTTCAATACAGTGAGCACAAGTACATCTCAGAAGTTAGTATGATCTTGCTCTTGCTCCTTCAATGGCCACAACCTTTCCACTCAGATTCCCAGAGGCAGATCAACCCAGACAGGGTGGAACATTCGAGAAGAGGCCAAGTCAAGACAAGGGAAGGTGCCTGGACTGGAGGCTCCTTTGAGGGGTGTTTTGTGAAAGACGATAAGCCGAGGAAGTGAAAGAGGTAGAGTGACCACGAGCTGAGGAAGCTCAGCTAGGTTATAGTTATAAACCTCATAACCCACAGGGCTAGCAAAAACTGTCCCCAAAGCATTCCTGCAACATCAGCACAGGGGACCGGCGGGTGGAAAGGCTTTAAGCCCTGGCAGGGAGAGGTGGTCTTCAAGTGCTGACTGTGGGTTCCTCCCTCCACCTCACAGATGTCACCCCCCTGCGCAAAGCACGCACTCCCCTGGAGAACTTCAAAAAGGTGGGGGTCCCCATCATCGCAGCACTGCTGAGCCTGGCGACCATCATCATCGTGGCTGTCCTCAGTAAGTGGCAGCCCCCAATCCTGTCCCCACCCTCACCCCCACAGTAAGTGGCAGCTCCCACCCACCCTCTCACCTCAGAGCACACCCCACCTGTCACCCTCCCACCCCAGCAATGTCAAGGGCAGGTGATCGCATAAACCTTTGAATCCACCCCTGCTTTGAAGGGAGCCTTCTTCTGAGAGTGATAGATGCAGATGAACTCAGCCCCCACCTAGCCCAGATAGCTGCTATCCTAGATGATTTGTTCTGCAGGGAGAGCACAGTTGCACATGTCACTAGCCCACGCAGGCAATCTGCACAGGCGGCCACACACCCTGCCTCCTGCTTCCCAAGCCTGCAGACTGAGCCCAGTGGTCCTGAGAAGCCCTACCAGCTAGAAGAGCAGGGAGCATGTCTGCTGCTTGCAAGGAGGGGATAAAGAGAGGAGACATCAGCAAAGAACACCAAAGCAGGAGGCACACCTCCCACCTGTAGCTTTGTCTTCATCGTGACCTGAGCCTCTCTGTGATCCTGGGCACCAAGATTAAACGAATGAGTAGCAATTCCCACTGAGGATTCTCACTGAGCCACATCCTATGGCTAAGTCCTTGCCTTGCCCCCCACCCCTACCCCCAGTCATAGCAGGTTACTGACCACACCTTCACAGGGGCATAAGAGACCAAACTAGGAATCAGGAACCTGAGATGAGAACCCTGGCATTGCCTCTTACTACAGTGTGACTTTAAGTTCCTCAACATCTCCTAATCTTAGTCTCCTCATCTGTGAACCATTCTTGCTCCCTCAGAGGGATATTTGAGAACCAGTGAAATAACAAGTGTGAAGCACCTCCATAAGGACCAGATTGTGCAAAAGCATGCAGAGGTGGGACCAGGCCATGCATGTGCTAACAGCCCAGGACGGGCCTTTCAGGCCCAGCACTTGTGAGGATGGTGCACCTCCACTGGCAGCAGCCACCACCAGTGAGGACACGCAGATCATCTGGTCCGCCCTCTCACTCTCCATTTAAGCACTGAGATTCAGAGAGGAGGAAGGGCAGCTGGGGACAGAGCAGGGACAAGCCCTCAGGCAGGTCCATTTCTATCTTGTGGAGGCAGAAAAGCTGATCCACGACACAAACATCACTCAGGTCCCTGAGAGCCCCATGTGAGGTTCAGATAACCCCACATCATTTCTTCCTGATCTTCACTGGCCCAAAGTGGCAGCAGATTTTGCAGCAGATTTATCATCCAAACCCTGTCTTGTTCAGACTAATATTGAAATGAGTTTGCTTCCTCTAAGCATATGCCCAGCCATAGTAGAAAGAGAAGGGGCCAAATCCATCCAGCAATTTGGGGAGCCAAGACAGACACTAGTACTCAATTTAGAATTGAGCGCCCCCTGTCCTATATGGCCTCCATGCCCTGGGTCCCTTGGCTTCTACAACCAGGAGAAAACCGGGGCCTCCAGCCTGGATTTGGTCCCCTCAACCTTTTGGCTTCTGGGATTTAAACTGGTGCCACTGTGTCCTGCGTTAGTCCCAGGAGGCTGGTGTGACCCTGCCATTCCCTAACTCTTGACCATGAACCAAACTCTGCAGATCTAGGAAATACCTGACCTGCTCCTCCTCCCTTGTTTCACTAAAACCAGGAGCACTGGGCCAGCAAGCACATCTTCAGCCTCCTCGGGGAAAGCATGGAGAGGCAGCAAGGGGCTTTGGAGACTGACAGGCCCTGCACAAAATCCTCAATCTATCACTTTAGTGCTGTGTGGCCTTGGGAAAGAAACCCTGGCTCTCTGAACTTCGGTGCCCTTATCTGTAATATGAGCTAATACAGGTACCAAAATCCGCCAAAGTTGTAGGATTACAGAGGCCATGCACAGCAAGCGTTTGCTCATGGGCTTATGAGCACCCCTCACTGGCCTGCTGGGAGCCGTGAGGACCATAAAGGGAGCTATAGGCCAAGGGGGCGCTCATCGGGGCAGGAGAACCTTTTCCTGCCAGAGTTCAGAAAGTGTTAAAACTGCTGCTGTCTGTGGGGTGACGAATGCTAGACTCCATCAGATCCGTCAGTCCACGACAGCAGAGGAACAACAGAATTGAAAGCAGCAAGCGGAAAACAAAACAAAACACCCACCTCTTAGCAGGCCTTTCCTCTCCAGAGAAATGACTGTTCTAGGTATTTTCGCAGGAAGTTCTGGGCCGCAAATATTTTCCGTATAAGTAGCCTGCCATAAGGCAATTTTGTCGCAAAAAAGTGTCGTAAAACAATAGCGGGACAGTCATTTAAAGGGACTTCATGCAATACTTTTTCTTGTTCGCTAAAATCTCTCTCTTCATGAAGAGAGGTGTCAGGTTCCGAGAACTGGGACGCGTGTTTGTAACTGAGCTTCTCTCGCCTGTGAAGGCCTCCACACGGGCCAGACCGGCGCTGCCCTTCCCGAACCTTGACTGTGATGCGTGTGACCAGTAGCTGGTCTGCATTTGAATGTTTCATCCCACGCCTGGTCCTTTTGTCTCACCTAGTCATTTGAGCCAGAGACTGTGTAAATGTCAGATTCTGTCTACATCATGTTTACTGTCGAAGAGCAAAAATTGTTCACCCTTTATTAGAAACTTCCACTCATCAGAGTGGAAGAAATCACGACGTATTCAGTTCTTTCAGGTATGGAGAGCTTGATTCCTCTTTTGCCTCCAGTTTCTAATATGGTGGGATAAATTTGGTGAAGAGGATATAAAAGCAAACTGTCATCTCTAAGATAGCTAAAAAATCCATAGTTGATGCTCTTGATGAGTAATGAGATGATTTGCTAGCCTTCTCTTTTACACGTGCTTGGTCAACTTTTGGTTTTGAGGACAGAGGAATGACCATACTCCCAAAGGATTTGCAAACTGATATGTTATTTTCTTTTCTTTAAAAAAAATTTATTTATTTATTTATTTATTTATGCATACAGACCTGGGGTGCAGGCCAGAGGTGCCAGAAGGGTGAGAGGATTCACCAGAGACAGAGTAGGGAGCAGACCAGGCAGATCCACTGAAATACAGGAGAGGTCTGCTGCACCATTTGGGTCACATCCCTGGCCAGGGATGGAACTCATGCTGCGGTGGCTGCAGATAGCTTCATGGTGCTAAGACTTAACCCCTTAGCTACCAGGGAGGCCCTGATATGTTATTTTCCCTCTAAGTTTTATCACTGAATTTTCCATCAAGTCAATATATGAAGTTGTTATCACCACTGTTTTAAGATTGCCATACTTAGTGGTCCCTTTACAGACCAAGCTCAAAACTAAACTATCAACCAGTTTTTTTTATCTTTTGTGGCAAATTTGCCTTATGGCCAACTAGTTATGTGGCAAAAATGCTCGTGGCAATAACTTAGGACGAATCTACCCAAACCAATGAAAAAACCTAATTCTAGAACTGTGTTTGATGGTTAAAGACTGTCAGGACTACCATCCACCTACTGGCCTCACAGCCCTGTGAGGTCAGCACATTCACCTCCACACATAAATGAGGAAACCAAGACCTAGAAAGGGGCAGGGGCTGGCTCTCGGTCACACCTTGGGGGCAGCACCAGGGCTCAGGTCTTCAGACTCTAGGCCAGTGTAGTCTACTCTGTTTCTAGAGGCTCTGTGCCAGCACTTGAGTCTAAGAAGCTGGTGGGGGCTGTGTCTAAGTTTCTCCCACAAAAAATATCACACTTGACTCCTCAATCATCTTTAGGTATGAGGCAGGGTATTATTATAGATATTATCTTTATATCTCTTTTGCAGATTAGGAAACTGAGGCTCAGGACCAAGAACTGAGTGGTAGAACTGGGCTAGAATCTGTATCTGTCTGTCTCCAAGCCCAGCGTATTTTTAGGGAAACACAAACTCTCCCTGCTGACCCTCATTCTTCTCTGTCCCCTTCCCGTGCTTACCTCTTAGTCAAGGTGATCCTGGACAAATACTACTTCCTCTGCGGGCAGCCCCTCCACTTCATCCCCAGGAGGCAGGTATGTGATGGACAGCAGGACTGTGCTTCCGGGGAGGATGAGCAGCACTGTGTCAAGAATTTCCCCGATGGACCTCCAGTGACAGGTGCATTCAGGGGCTGTGTGACCTGGGGAGTGGGCACGGCAGGAAGCCAGCACAGGTGCCCATGGTCCATGGTGTAGCATCTGCCAACCGACTTGGTAGAGTCATCCTTACCCTACAGTAAAGTTCTCGTCTACTTGACCCCCAGCCCTCATAACAAACAACCATATTTAATGAATAAAGAGGAGACAGGAAATTATAAGTGAGCCTGCCCGTTCCTGCTGCACCAGAGGGCTGGATTTGATAGCCTTGGGACATTCCCTCCTTTCTATGACATCTGTTACTTCAAAAGGATTAGTAGAAAGATTTCAAGGCCATTAATAAGTTATTAATGAGGTCACTGATGCTTGTATTCATTAGGTAAGTGTTTGGAGTTTTTTTTTTAAAGATAGATTTATTTATTTATGCATATAAGAACTGGGGTATAGGCCAGAGATGTGGGCGGGGGGTGAGAGGACTCACCAGAGACAGAGCAGGGAACAGAACAGGCAGATTGACTGAAATACAACTGCTTAGGGGAGCAGCGGGCGAGACAGGAGAGGTCTACTGCGCCATGGGGTAGCTCCCTGGCAGGCCGGGGATCGAACTTGTGCTGCAAAGGCTGCGGATAGCTTCATAGTGCTGTGATTAACCCCTTGCGCCACCAGGGAGGCCCCTAGATATGTGTTTTTGATGTGACTTGCTATGTAACAAAATTGAGTTAGATCCTGCAAAGAAGTGTGAGGATTTGAGGGGGAAACTCATGTTCTTTCTTGGAGTGGGCTAGCACAGTTTGATCCACGTAGACCTTGGGCTCTGAAGAGAAATAATAGCTCAGGAGGTGGGTAATAAGTGCTCCCAAGTGGCAGGGCTGAGTGGCTGTCAGTGTATTTGTTCTCTTTTTTTTTTTTTACCAGAAGTCAAATGCCCCTGGCATCTGCCATGCTACTACCCTACTGCCAATAGAACTTCTCACTCAACCTCCTTCTCCCTAGAGAAGCACCTAGGTCCCTTGTTGAGAAGTTTCCTCGGGCTGGGCAAGCTGTGTGGACTGTGGGTAGAGAGACCACATAATCTATCAAAACTGACACCTATGAATTAAAGGGAAGCTGTGAAAAATTGTGCCAGGGCAACAGAGATTGTCCCCTAGACATTTGCTCACCCTAGCTTCCATCAAAACAAGGCTCCATCAGGCAAAGCCAAATGGAAGAACTTTTCTTGAGGTCGAAAAGACTAGTGTTTAAAGGGTATCGGCCCACTTCTGAGTGGGGGTAGCTTGGGCTGATCATATGACGAATCCTGAGGGAGAGGGGTCAGATGGGTCCCTGCCCTGAGCTGATGCAATTTCCTCCCCTCCCAGTCCGCCTCTCCAAGGACCGATCCACCCTGCAAGTGCTGGACCCAAGCACGAGGACCTGGGCCTCCACCTGTTTCGACAACTTCACAGAAGCCCTGGCCAAGACAGCCTGTGGGCAGATGGGCTATGACAGGTACCCAGCCCAGGCTCCCCAGGTTGTCATCTCACCCTATGGCCCTACTCCTCTTTCTTTCTTCCTCTCCCTCCCCTCTTCCACCCTTCCTCCTGATCCCCTAAATATACAGACATGGTAGTCAGACACAAATGCTTTTGATTGTCTGCACTTTCATTGACAAATAACATGAAGTTCAATCTCCTGAGCCTCAGTTTCCTCAAGAGTTAATTGGGTAAAATAATGCCAACCTGATGGGATGGTTAAGGAATGGTTAAGCCCCCCCATACACTCAGGCACAGGTTTAACTCCTTCATAACCCTCTCCTTTCCTTTACTCTTCAATCCTCACTCCTTTTTGGTTTTGCAAGAAGCTGTTCCTGTTCCAGAATACAAGTCTTATTATTTAAAGTCCCATTAGTTAGAATTTAGTTTAAACATACCTGATTTCATTGGGGCCCCATCAGCAATCCCAGCTGTTTCAGCAAATTTCAAAAGCAGTTCCAAATCTTCAGTGGATAAAAAAGTATATAATTATAACGGGTAATTAGCCTTGCATATTCATAGTCATTTGATTTTGGTAAAATCTAAAAAGGTAGTTATTATTACATCTATTTTTTGAATAGGTTCAGAGAAGGTAACTCAGGTAGTAACTGGGAGAGAGAGGGCTAGAATTTGAATCCAAGACCCCTAATTCCATCTCCATTTCTAATCTGGTTCGTTCTTTCTTTTCCTGAGGCTTCTATTAAGGATCAGGAGGCGACTACTCAGGTTGCCTAACAGGGGAGGCTGGAAAAGAACCCATGTATTCAATTCAGGGTGGAATAACTTCTCCCTGGCAGAACCCAAACTTCTTCAGGATTGTGAGAAACTGGACCCAGAGACAAGGAAGAAATTATAGTACTAGGCAGACATTATCAATCACAGACCTCTCTCCCATCCCTCCTTAGAGCAGCTTCAAGGTCCTTTTTCAATAAATGCTCCAGACAGCCATTACTGATCCATCAGACCTATCAGCCCCCTCTGCTCCCCGGTTATCAGGCTTCTATTGCTCTCTACCCTTCATGATGTGAAATTCCCTGCACCATCTGCAGAGGACAACCTGCTACCCACGTTTTGAAGGAGAGCTGGGAAGGCATGCCCTGCCCCTCTATTCTCAGCCTGCCCCACCCCCACCTCCCAGCAGCCAACACAGCCCAGCTTCCTCACTGCAGCGAGCCCCTCCCCTCCCCTGCAGTCCAGCCAACTGCAGTGTCAGCTGTACCCAGCACAGCAGGCTGCAGCTTGATTATGAAACCAGGGAGCCTCCTGGGGTTCTTAAGGTAATAGGCTGCTGGAACTTCTGTCCTTCCAGAGCTCACTCAGGCCACCAAACCACCCTGTTCTTGTGTTTTACAAATTCAAATTTGGTCAGAATTATTCATCAGGATGCAATTGGTGAACAGAAGTTAAATTTCGCAGGACGGTCCATTTCCACCATTGTTGCTCATTCAGGGTCTCAAATTTTGCCATTTCCTTCCTCCACATGGATTGGAGGCCCTCTTGTCCCACAGAATCATGGTGGGAGGGAGTCTAGAGGTCATCGTGTCCCCCCATCACTTTATAGAGAAGGAAACTGAAATGGAAGGTGCCCCATCACAGTTATACATCAAGCTAGTGTCAGAGCCAGGACAAGAAATAGCCTCAGTCTTGAGGGCTCTTAACACAAAACCCAGCACTGCCAGAGTCCGGACCCCAGTGCAGCTCCTGGTGCAGCTCCTGGCACATGGCCACCAGGGAACATGAGAACGTGCCAGCCAGTGCCACCGCTAGACCTGAGCCCTGCACTCAGAGCTTGCACTGGCATGACTCGATGGGAAAGGATGGAGACATGGGAGAGGTGAGGCAAATTTGATCAAGAAAAAGAGAGAGGAAGTTTATCAGGGAAGCCTTCTGGAGGAGGGAAGACATAACCCAAGATTTGAAAGGAGACAAACAGATTAGTGGAGATGAAGAAGGAGAGGGTCCAAAGTGAGAGAAATGTTTATCTGGACTCATGGAAAGACTTGCCTCATCTTGTCCTGTCTCCACACGGGCCAGGAATGTACCCTCACTTTCAAATTCAGACCAGATGTTGAATTCAGACCAGAACCCAATATCCACATTCCAGTTCCCTCCAAGGTGGAGGGGGAGCTAGCTCAGCCCCTTTGCCTCCTTGTTCACCTCTCCGTAAGCCAGAAGAGACTGCTGAGACATTCAGAATAGGACAGGACTAAGATTAGAGGAAAGAGGATCCTTAACATTTCTTCACAACTCTGGGTTCTGGACCATCTTCCCTGTATAAAAAAGCAAGACTACGTCAGCATTGGTCCAGGGCTGAGTCCTGGGATACCAAGGGAACTTCCCTCTTGTACCCCCTCTCCTGGCTGCGGGGACACACCCACCATCCTGCTCCCACCTCCTGCGCAGCTCATAGCTCTCTCCTTCCTGACATGTCAGCAAACCCACCTTCAGAGCCGTGGAGATTGGCCCAGCCCAGGATCTGGATGTTGTTGAAATTACAGAGAACAACCTGGAGCTTCAAGTGCAAGGCTCAAGTGGGTAAGTGAGAGCGCCCCTGTGGACTATGAAAGGCCCTTGGGGGATGAACTACCCTCTCCCCCACACAGAGGGGGCCTGAACTGAGGCCCGAGGAGTCTAAGCCAAACAACAGGAAGGACCACCAGGGAGCAGATCACTAGATACCAAGAGCTAGAGAATCACATATCCAAAAGGTTTTCTACGTTGACTCTAATTTTTTTTACTATATACAAAAGTCGGACAAAGTGTTCTGTCCACACATTGTTGGTCTTTTTGTCAGTTGAATAGTAAAACCAAATATCTTTTCCTACTGCCTTATGTTTCCTATTAAGTCCTATAAGCAAGATTCCAAAGGCCACTTTATCCTCCCCCACCACTCACAGAGGCCAGAGAGAGACCTCTGCACAGCCCCGGCTCTCCAGGGAGGAGGCTGCATGGCCTCTGTTGTGCCTATTCCTGCATGAGAGCTCAGCGTCTACATGAAGACTGTCACACTGCAAAAGAGTGGCTCAGAGAGGATGCTGGCTTCTTAGCATTCAGGGATGATGCTGAGGCTGCTCATTCATCAAAGAGTAAATCTTGAAAAGGAAAGAGATAGTAGCAGAATGATTGTTTGCCCAGGATTCCATCAAAATCCCATTCTGCTTCCCTTTGGAAAACCTGCAATGCAGCAGACTCTGTTCCAGGCTCTGCTCTGTTCCATCTGCATCTCTTGCCAAGAGCCTGAGTTGGACTCTGACACAGTCAGGGCCCAGCACATAGTAGGTGCTTAACAGTGGGGGTATCCAATCCAACTGAACTGAATGGAACTAAACTGAGTGATTGTGCAGTTTCTATACAGTCCCCATGATACAGGTTCCAGATTTCCCAGGTATTGGGAGGGGACTTGAATCAACAGGGCCTGAAGATGGCCTGAGTCCCTGCCTCTGAATAGAGGGAGAAGCGGAAACCACAGGGCCCCTGTGTCTCCCTTCCAGACCCTGTCTCTCAGGTTCCCTGGTTTCCCTGCACTGTCTTGGTGAGTACCCCCAATCTCTGAGGGCTTGGGTCCTGGGCCAGCACACCCTGAGCATGGAGGGCAACATTCACCCTCATTCCTAAGTCTCTTAGACTCCAAATTTTGCTCTGTTTGGGCCCAATCTTACTTCTTTAGGCCTTTGGCTTCTAAGTCAATTCTCCTTCCAGTGGCTGATGTTTATAATTCCCTCCAACCATCCACACACAGCCTCACAACCTAAGCAGAGACCTGGATGAGAGTGTAAGAGAACTGGAGGGGCCTCCACCCCTGGTCAGAGCCCACATAACCCCCTTTGTCACAATCAGCTCAGTTAGCCAAGATGGGATTATCCACATTCCAATTAGCAAATACTCACTGAACACTTAGAATGTGTCTAGCATTGTCAGGTGCAGATTGGATGTAGAAAATACCAGACAAGTAAAAGAATTGGCCATTATTCTCAGGAGCTTATGACTGGGCTGAGAGAGAGAAGGAAGGCAACATGTGGGGAGTGCCACACTGAGTAGTCACAGTTCCCTGCTGCAGAGAGAGCTGCACAGGGGTCAGAACACCTGGGCCCAGCCCCACAGACTTTCAATAGGACCTTGAGTAATTCTCCTGACCTCTGAGGTTCTCTTCCCAAGAAACCCTTCAGTCCAACTGCCCAATGAAGCTCTCTGAACACCCTCTAGATCTAATAGGAATAGGTCAGAAGAGAAACCAATGCTGAGACCCAACCCCTCCTACCAGCCTCACAGGGGAGGAAGCCAGGCAGATCCTGAAGGATGGCCAGACACTAGAAAGACTAAGAGGAAGGAGGTCATCCTCACTGCCTTTGCAGTTTAACAGTATACATTCTTCCCTGTTGGATGGATGTTAAGACTTTTATTCATTATTGTATGACCCCACACACAATAGTGGGGGCAGGGGACAGACCCACAGTGCCTGGTCAGTGAATGAATGAATAGCTGCTTCATCTGATGAGCTGTACCGAAAGTATTGAAGTCACGGATGCTATCTTGAGGAGACTTGAGTCTCACTAAACAGGAAAAGGATGAAGCATGAAAATGAAAGGCTGATCAGCAGGCTATGGAAATTCCAAGAAAGGAAAACCCCCAGGGATTGGGTAGCCTGGAGGTGGTACCCAGGGTAAACAGTGAAGAATGAACTAGAGGATCCAGGAGGGAAGGGACATTTCTGTCTTTCTGTCTTGTCTACCACTCTCTTCCCAGCATCCCTGACACTCAGTAGGCACTCAAAACAAATCTGCTTAATAAATCAATGATTCAGATAAACAGGAGAAGAGACAGCATCTGGGTGGAGTGAGGCACCGGAAGGTTTCTTAAGCAAAAGCAAAATGACTTTTTAGGGAACTATAAGCAGATCGATTTGGCTAGACAGAAACTTTATTTAAGAACAGCAGGAGACAGACAGAGGAGGAGTTTAAACTCTACCCTACAACAGAAGGGGAGGCTGGAAGACTTTGAGTGAGAGAGGTAATATGTAGAAAGCGGTGTTTGGGATTAGATGGTGTTTGCAAAGCCCCACTGCCTAGCCTAGACCCAGAAAGGGTGGATCCTTTCTCCCCCAGAACCATCACAGTGCTGTTAACTGCGAGAAGGATTGGGGAGGCAGGGAGATAGAACTGAAGATTCCTATAAGAGTTATAGGGTCAGATGTAAAAGTCAGAACAGTGAGTTGTGAGAGAGAGAATAGGATGTCAAATTGGGAGACTCACTCAGGAGAGGGAGAAAGGACTTGGAGAAAGGTAAGTTTTGAATTGGGAAGTGCCAGTTTCTAGAACTTTCTTTCCACTTCCCGGTCCCAAAGCAGCTTGTGGGCGGCTGTTGACTGTTACTCAGCAGGAACAGCTGGGGACACTCCACCTGGGAAGGACTTTGATATTTCTACATCACTGTTTGGTTTAGAGCGTATGAATTCCCAGCCCAAAGGACACACCCATTTCACAATATCAACTCCCTAACACATCCTAAAACGAAAAGGGGAGGGAGGTTGGGAAAAGCCTGTGGTCTAGGACACTCAGTATCTCCCCATGAGTCATTTGAATGTGGCCTGGTGCTCCCTACCCTTCCAGATCCCGATCATAAGGGCCCTACCTGCAATAGATTTCAGACTCCAAGGAGAGGTGACCCTGTCCCCACAAAATTTTGACTCCCGCTTTCTCCCTCCTTCCTACTGACTCAGCCTGTGGGGAGAGCCTGAAGGCCCCACGGGTGGTGGGCGGGGAGAAGGCCTCTGTGGATTCTTGGCCTTGGCAGGTCAGCATCCAGTACAACAAGCTACACATTTGTGGAGGGAGCATCCTGGACTCCCACTGGATCCTCACAGCTGCCCACTGCTTCAGGTAAGACCCATGCTACAAGGAGGCCTTGTGGGGTCAAAGCCAGAGGGGCTGGAGGCCTGCATTATACTTGGGTGCCCTCATTCCCCATGACTCTCCCCCTAAATGTGCCCAGGTGTGGCCACCCCAGTGACATCACCAGGCATCATGTGCCTTGTTAGGCCCTTGGGGTCTGAGCTGAGGGTGCTGGTCACCAAGCTTGACCTTTTTTCTTCTGGTTGGGAAACCATCAGATCCCCAAGTGTCTTCAGGCCACTCCCATATCATTCACACCTGAGAAGCTCTTCCCATCTGCCTGGAGTTCTGAGAATGCTCTCCTTCTTTGCCTGCCTCCTAGGACGTGGTTCCAGTCTTAAATCACAGCCATTCCCTCATTATTTCCAGAAAGTTTTTTGAAAGTAGAGATTCAGTTTCATGCCAGCAGAGAGAAATCTGCCATGTATTCCCAGGCCCTCTTCACTTTCATTCATCCATTATTCAACATCTGAAGAGGGTCTCCTGGCCACCAGACCCCATATTATGCCCACTTGCATGAGGTCCCATCTGTGCCTTAGAGGAACTCAGATGAGGCCAGTGATTCTTGACCTTTTTGAGAATCTGACAAAAGCTATAAATCCTTTCCTGGAACTCCCAGCCCTCTATACTAAGCTCTGTTTGTTGGTGGTTGGGAAAGAATGTCAAGTACTTAATGTAACTGAGCACAATACAAATCTCGCATGAAGAGCACTGAAAATGAAAAGCATCGGTTGGGAGAGTGCCAAGCCCAGAGCTCAGGTACTGGGAATAGCCTCTTCCTGAGTCCTCCAGTTAGTTTTCTTAAATAGATTTCACATGGGCAAAAAGATCTAATTGTCTTAAACTTTACTTGTGGTAGGTGACTCTGTAGACCATCCCTTCTCTGCCATCCCTGCCCCTACCTTCATTATTACCTCTTAAGGCAGGGACATCCAGCCCCCCAAGACCAGGGTCTTTGGCAAAGACCCTGTCTTTGGCAACACCAGCCTTTGGCAAAGGCTCCTCGTGCTGGCTTAGGCCTGAGCCCAGTTTTCTCTGTCTACAGGAAGCACCATGATCTGTCCAACTGGAGGGTGAGGGTCGGCTCGGACAAACTGGGCAGCTTTCCATCCCTGCCTGTGGCCAAGATCTTCGTTATTGAGCTCAACACCACATACCCCAAAGAAAAAGATATCGCCCTCGTGAAGCTGCAGTTCCCCCTCACATTTTCAGGTGAGAGGCAGCCCTGGGAACTGAGCCCCAGAGCATGATCTGAGCCTCCAGGGCCAGCTTTCCCTCCCACTCTTGCCAGTGACCTGGGCACAGCCCCTCTCTCAAGCCTTCAGTCACCGATGTGTTTCCAGCAAATATGTCAGACTAACATCATGGATGCCACTAGACCGCCCTGAGTTGTCAGCTGACCCCACACTCCCTCCCCTCCCCAACCTCTTCTGAGCTTGTTCTCAACACTTGGAGTACCTCAAGTGTGAATCATAGATGCTTCCAATGTTGAAGCTTTGAGGGACCTGGAAGATCATCTAGTCTGTGCTCTCTCCCAACCAATGCCAGGAGCACCCACAATATCCCTGCCAACAGGTCATTGTGCCCCTATTTGCTTTCCTCCAAGAGCAGGCAATTCGTTACTTCTCAGGAACCCATAGGACCCATCAGAAGGCTCATGTTTATATGGGGTAGGATTTAGATCAGCCTTTCCATCCATTAGTTCCACAGGGACACTGCCTCCTTGGGGACAAGAGGGTTCCATTCTCAAATCAGTTTGGGAGATATTTTTATACTATAGCTCTCTTGAAGTAAATTAATATATTAAATATGAGAGGTTTATGTTTTAAAAAATTATGTTTAGCCCACATTTTCTAAACCCATTCAACCACAAGGTAGTTCTACAACACCCCATGGAACCTATGTGACAGAAACTCTGGTGTCAACCCTCTCAGAGGGCTTAGCTGCAGGATTCTCCTGAACTTTGGGTCCCCCCTCCTCTCTGTTCCTGACAGGCACAGTCAGGCCCATCTGCTTGCCCTACTCTGACGATGAACTCACTCCGGGCACGCCACTCTGGGTCATCGGATGGGGCTTTACACAGCAGGATGGAGGTAAGTCCTGGGCTCAGAACCACAGGGCTGAAGGAGCAGCTCTAGGAGGTGATGAAAATAGGACTATCCTTCAGAAAACCCTACCCCAGAGGTCGAAGACTGTGGTGCTGGGCATCCAAGAGAATTACTCTGGGCTGAGGGTAGAAGGCAAGAATGGGAATATGAATGGATTTTCAACCTCCCAGGGAAGATGTCTGATGCGCTGCTACAGGCATCAGTCCAGGTGATTGACAGCACACGGTGCAATGCAGAGGATGCGTACCAGGGGGAAGTTACGGAGAAGATGCTGTGTGCAGGCATCCTGGAGGGCGGCGTGGACACCTGCCAGGTGGGACCTCCAAAGATTGTGGGGAATTGTATGGATAGGGATGTAGGTACCAGAGAGACAAGAAAGTTCAGAGGCTGAATGTCCCACACAAAGTCTTGAATTCATGTGGGCACCCGTTTTGTGCTGAAGGAAGGGAGGGAGGAAGAGGAAAAAAAGGAAGGACTGTAGCCAGATAAAGATGCACAAATGGATGGGTGCATGCCTGTGTTGGTGCATAAATGAATGCAGGTGTGTTTGGGCACCTGCATGGGTGCATGCACAGGTGCATGTTTGGAGACAGGCAGAAAGATTTTAACTGTATATTTCACATACAAAGATGATGTTACCCTCCCATCCACACATACTTCCCATCATCTTCAAAATTGTGAGCTCCTAGAATGTCTCTTTTCTCTGTAACTGTCCTCAAGTAGCTAAAAATTCAGCTCATGCTGGATAAGCTCATGTAGTGTCCCCTCACCACATCCCCACGGGCTGACCCCTGAATTCATTCTCACTCCCCCACCCTCAGAGGATCTCTGAGTCATTTTTAATCAAAACATTTAAGTCTAGTCAAGCCCTCATTCTGTCATTAAACTCCTTCACCCAAGAGGCAGCTCTTGAATGCTGGATAAATGCTGGATTTGGGACAGTGTCTTCCCTCAGGGGACTCACCTGGAGAGGGGACGCAAAACCAGCAATTGGGCTATTTGGGTTCTGGGGAGAAAGCCCAAGGGGTTATAGAGCTAATAAGAAGGATACCCAATCAAGTGCACTTGCAATTATCTTGTCTATCTTGCTGTTTGCTTATTAATTGTCTCTCTCTCTCTCTCTTCCCCATTTGATTCTAAGCTCCCTGAGGGCAAGGATCTTTGTTCTTTTCATTGATTGAATCCCAGATGTCTTGAACAGTGACTGGCATGCTATAAGTCATTAAACCAATTTGGGAAATACTAAGTTAAGCAAAGATAATCAGGCTTCCTACTGCAGGACCCTTCAGCCTTAAATTTCCTGGTGTGAGTTGCAAACCCCTGAGAGAGGAATAACAGCACACCCGCAACTAACTTGATCCCGGACAGAACCCTTTTGCACCAAAAGGGAAGGACATCCGGGGCTGGAGCAACAGCATGAACAGAGGGGGTGAGGGTAAACCAGCAGAGAGCCCTGGGGAGTACAGATGAACAGATGAGCCAAGGCAAAGGGGTGGAGGCCCTTTTGGGTGGGAGAGACCCACCCCTCCACCCCACCCAGTCACCCCAGTAGTACCTGTTCTGGCTCTCACAGGGTGACAGCGGTGGACCCCTGATGTATTACTCTAACCACTGGCAAGTGGTGGGCATCGTGAGCTGGGGCCACGGCTGTGGAGGACCAAGTACCCCTGGAGTGTACACCAAGGTCACAGCCTATCTCAACTGGATCTACAATGTCCGGAAGGTGAGCATGTTTGCATTACCTGTTGTGCCCTCCTCCCCTTTCTCTTCTGAGGGTACCAAACCATCCTTAGGTTTGATTTGAATAGCTCTGAGATAACTCTTTACATTCCAAATAATTTCCCTCCCAGTGACAGCCAGCAAGCCAACCATTAAGAGATGAAATTCCTATTGAATGTAAATACTTTCGGATATGGAACACACCCAACTTCATTATTTTCTGTTCTCTGGCAGAATGAGGTTATCAGATCATTTCCAGAGAACAAATTCTGAAAAGGAGGGTAGACAGACTTCTGAGGTTCCCTGGCTCCTGGAGGACAGAGAGAAAAGATTTTAAAACAAGGAAGATTAACTTTACACATCACCACTTTGTCCAGTTACAATCCATCTGACTTTCTCTTCATTGGTCTTTTTTGTTCTAGTCTGAGTCGTGATGTTGCTGCCCCAGCATGAGGACAGAAACTCCTCCCCAAGCCCACCTACCTGGGGGCCCCCCAAAACAAGAACCCCCTTGGACACACCTCTCTGCCCATGGCCTCAATATTTCTTGGCACAGCAAAAACCTCCATTCCTGTAAGAGATTCCTCAGTCCACTGGCACCCAGGAAGAAGTCAGCAGTCCCAGCTCAGCCACTCCCATACTCCCAGCATCCCAGGGAGAGAGACACAGCCCACTGAACAGTCCAGACTTCTAGCTGGGGTCTCAGAAGTCAAGAAGCCAAGAAGAAATTTTACTACTCAACTAAACAGAAGTAGAATCTCTTGTGAGAGCCCAGATAACCAAAGGCTGGAGTGGAGGGAAGAAAGGGTCTAAACCAGACCTCCCTGTCTCCACCCATCTCCAAACATACAAGAAGAAACCAGCTGGTATATTTAAAATGTGCTGCTGCTGTTGACCCAAGTACTGTTACTTAGCTATGATTACTTAATACTGTAATTTACTGATGATACTATTGTTACTTCTATGGTCATTGTTATTAAAAAGGTACAGATGTCTGACACAAGCTTGACTGGTCACTTGATAAAAACCGAGCCAGGGCTGTTGAGCCATGGTCTTTATTCTTTGACCTGAAAAGAAAAGGAAAGACCATTCATGACCATATGTGATGTAGAGATAGAGGAAAGAGGAGACATGGAGACCAGAACTGCTACAGGAGAAGCCAGGGGATGCAAATCTTCTTTCCCCAAAGGGCCCTCTCCCATTGCCCTCCTGCCATCCTCCCTACCTGTGGTATCAGCCATGGACCAAGATAATTGATGGCTTGGGAGGGAGATGACTGGTGGGATGGGCATTCAAAGCTGACATTAAATCACAGTTCCCCGAATGGTTGGAAATAGATATTGCACCACTCAGTTCTGCCTAGAGAGGCTTGGGTGTGGTTCTTCACTCTTTGGAAAGAAAATGTATTTATCACCTGCCAAGTATGAGGTAGTCCCCAAGCTAGATTCTGGGGCCAGGTGTATGAATAGGTTCCTGTATTCAAAATGTTCAGAGAGATGTAAGCCCCATAGACTTCTCTGGCTGCTCTACGGAGGCCCAGATATTCTGAGGACAACTTTGCTCTATTTGAGTCAGATCCTTTATAAAAATGGCTTATAAGTATGTAATGGCTTATGTAATGGCTTATAAGTTTCTTAGGAGATAATGAAAATATTCAAAGCCAAAAAAAGAAGGTAAAATAAAACAAAACCATCAGCATCATGAGCTAGAACTAAGGTGAAGTTCTGAAAGCAACAGCTAACTAAAATTTTGGGTTGCCCTAAGGACAAAGATCTATATGAAGGGGTCTCCCTGGTGGCGTAGAGATTGTCTCAGCGTTATCACCATACAATCAGAGTTCAATCCCCAGCCAGGGAGCTAACCCACATATGGTGCAGCAGACCCCTCCTGTCTTGCCTGCTGCTCCCCTTAGCAGTGTATTTCAGTAAATCTGCCTTTTCTGCTCCCCACTCTGTCTCTGGTGAATCTTCTCACCCTCTACACCTCTGGCCTACACCACAGTTCTTCTATGCAAAAATTAAAAAAGATAAAACAGTAAAATCTTTAAAAAATATATGTATATGAAGGCTGTGATCAGAACTAACACTATACCCCCACAGGTAGGGAAGCTGGACCTGGACCCCCACATGAAGCACAGACAACAAGAGGACAAATGTGATCCCCGGAAGCAGCTCTACTGACAGAAAAAAAAAATCCCCAAATGTAAAGCCTTAGGATTCCCAGATAAAGCAACTACAAAAATGAACTCACAATCAAAGATCAGCCAAGACTTTTAAAGAGAAAACCCCATCAAAATTAGCAAATTTAGAACCCCCCAGGACATCAGGTGTTAGAATTACCAGATAATTATAATAATAACGGATACCGTAGAGGATTTCTATGTGCCCAACAATATTATAAGTGCTTCATCATATGCTGATTCATTTAATAGTCACACAAACCTATGATATAGATACTGTTCTTATCCCTGTTTTATGGGTAAGAAAACTAAGCCACAATTAGGCCAAGTACCTTGCCTGTGGTTATATGCTGGTAAGTCGAAGGTGAGCATTCTCTGCAAGTTCAAGCTATGATCTTCCATTGTAAGGCTTCCATTAGGATAATAATTCATGAAATCTTTAAATAAATTAAAAATGGATACATTTTTGAAGTTAATATTATACATTTTGAGGTTATGCTTAATTGGTGTAAAATATACATGACATACCATCTTAACCATTTTCAGGTGTATGGTTTGGTTGTGTTGAGTACCTTCACATCGTACAGCCATCACCAGCATGCATCTTCAGAACAACACTGAAACTCAATACCCTTTAATTAATAACTTCCACTGCTTCCTCCCTCCAGCCTCTGGCAGCCACCATTCTTTTTTCTGTCTCTGAATTTGATGCAGCACCTAAATAAGTGGAATCAGATACTATTTGCCTTTTCGTGCCTGGATAATATCACTTAGCACAGTGTTTTCAAGGTTCATCCCCATAATAGCATGTGTCAGAATTTCCTTCTTTTATAGGCTAAATAATATTATACTATTTATACCACTTTTTTAATCTAATCTAATGAATATTAGTGTGGCTTCCACCTTTTGATTATTGTGAATAATGCCACTGTGAACATGAGTATGCAATTATTTCTTTAAGAGCCTGATTTTAATTCTCTGGGGTATAGATCCAGAAGTAGAATTGTTGAATATGATAATTCCATTTTAAATGTTTTATTATTTTTCATTATGACCGCCCCATTTTATATTCCCACCAACAGTGCACAAGGGTCCAATTTCTCAACATCCTCATCAACACTTCTTATTTTCTGTTTAAAAAAAAAAAAGCTATCTTAATAATCAAATAGATATAACAGGCAAATTTGAAGAAGAACCAAATAAGAGTCTTAAAAATGAAAACGAATTATTAAAATGAAAAACTGGATCCTGGTTAGATAGCATTGCAGACATAGATTAAGAGAAAAGTAATGAACTAGAAGATAAATTAAAGAAGTTATTAACTAAAAAAATATGAAAATGAGACTATGAACAATGGAGGCTAAAATGATAAGATCTGACATATCCAGTTAGACCCCTGTGGGAGAAAGAAAGACAAATATCCAAAAAGATAACAGCTGAGACTGTCCAGAATTGATGACAAGCACAGCACCACACACAGAACAAGCCACCGAGGTGCAAAGCCCTATTTTGGGGAAGGGAATCCAGAAAAAAAAAAATGTGTTGGCCTGTTGACCTGCCTGTATCAGGCAGGTGCAGGCACCTCCCTTCCCCCCCATTCTTGGAATGTACCTCCTGCTCACCTTCCCAGCTCTGAGAAGTTGACTGAGGACACAGTCATGAGATAGTCTTGTAGGTGATGCCATCCAAATGGTACATGTGATGAAACCTAGCAAAGGCATCCATATTTGGCAGGCAGGTGTGGAAAACTACTCATCAAATCCTCTTAGGTAATTTCCCTTGGTTATTAAAATTTCCACCTACCGGTACAGAGAAGTCTTCCTTTTTCTCCTGTCTCTCCCTGCCTGCTGCCTGCATACAGGGGCTGGCTTCAGATCCCACCGAGAAAGCTCTGAGGTTGTGGACTGTGACCTAATGCCATTCCACCCAGGTGGAAACATTAAAATAAATCTTCACCTAGAAAACCATCGCATCCTATGTTTCCAATGCCTTCATTGTTCGAAGTATGAGAGTAAACGGTCCCTGTGACTCCATCTTGACTCGAAGCCAAGATTTGCTGATAAAAAGGATTCAGGTGCGAAAGAAAATAACAGAAGGACTCGTGTAGACTCTTCTATTGGAGCCCAAACAACAGAGTGAATGGGAAAGACTAGGGAAGAGCAGGTTTGGGGTTAGAATGAGTAGAAATTATGAGTTTGGTTTTAGACAGTTGACATAATCATGTCTGCCAGGAAGTCATTTCTTAAGATGCACCACACCCCTCCCAGCCCTGCCCACTCAGCTTATGGTCTCTCCTAACCTGGGCCATAGGGGGTGTGGCCAGTGAGGGCCCCACCAGTGAGGGCAATGCCTCAATGGGGCCTGGCCTTGGGCAGCTCTTTCTAAGTACTAAAATGCTGTTGGAAGCTGTCACCAGGCTTAGAAATGCCTTACATTTATATGGCCAGCACTTTGTAGTTTTAATTTAAAAGTATTTCTACCTACTGTCTCATTTAATCCTCCCAAGAGCACCACTCCCAGGTGTGACCATCCCCACCTGCAGGTTAGGGAGCCGGGGCTCAGAGAGGTGAGGTGGCAAGCCCAAGGCCATTTCACTGATAAATAAGAGTGAGAAGTTGAGCCCAGATCCTGATTTTAAGTCCAGGATTGTTCTTTTCCATCCAGTGCTTGGGTGGCGGAAGGGACTCTAATTCCCACCTGTGAGTGTGTAGGGTAAGGTAAAAAGTATCAGGCTTTTCTGCCCTCCCGCCATTAGGATAGATGATGAAACCCTACGGTCCTGAATGCATGCCTGATGGCGGGCACCTGGAATAGGGTGTGGGCGTAGGTAGATGGGATTCACCTGGGCTGAGACTGGGCTTTTAAAGGCGGTGTCACGGGGATGCCAGCAGAAGCCAAGAACGAACGAAAGCAGAGAAAGAAGCAAGAGAAGCATAAGCTGAGAGAAGGCCGGAGAGCCCAGAGTGAAGACCTGCTGGGGGCTGGGAGGCTGGCAGGCCTCCCAGCCCCCCAGCGCCCCTGCCTCCCGTGTACCTGGTAATCCCAATAAAAGCCTGCAAAACCACTGAGGACTTCTGTAGGGTAAAGAAAATGTCAGGCTTTTCTGCCCTTCCGCCATCAGGATAGATGATGGATCCTTGTCCTGACTGCATGCCTGATGGCGGGCACCTGGAATAGGGTGTGGGCATAGGTAGATGGGATTCAGCTGAGCTAAGACTGTGCTTTTAAGGGCGGCGTCACGGGGACGCCAGAAGCAGCAGCAGCAGCAGCAGCAGCAGAAGCCGAAGCAGAAGCCAAAAGAGAAGCCGAGAAGCAGCAGAACGAACTCCAGAGAGCTCAGATAGAGTGAAGACTTGCTGGGGGCTGGGAGGCCTGCCAGACCCCCAGCCAGCACCCCTGCCTGCCATATGCCTGGTGAACCCCAATAAAAGACCTGCAAAAACCCTACTGAGGACTCTGACTCCTCCTTTACCCGGTCTGCATGGGATCAGAAAACCTGCACTGTGGCCAGTCCGGCCTCTTACAACTTCTGACTCCTCCTTCACCTGGTCTGCTGGATTTTAGAAAACCTGCACTGTGTCCTGCCCTGCCTCTACAGAGTGCCTCCAAGACTTTAAGCCATGACCTTTTGAGGAGGCCTTCTTCCTGCTATGAGCTGTTCCTGCTATGGTTTTGGAGGTTGTAGGTGCAGGCATGGGCACAGTGCAGGTTTTCTATGATTCCAGCAGACAGGTGAAGGAGGAGAGAGTCCTGGAGCCCTTGGTGGCTTTTGCAGGCTTTTATTGGGATTTACCAGGGGAGGCTGGCAGGCCTCCCAGACCCCAGCAAGTCTTCACTCTTTCTGGGCTCTCCAGCATCTCTCATGTTCTCTCTGCTTCTCTTGTGGTTCTTCTCTTCTCGTGGTACTCTGCTCTTGGTTCTGCTGGCATCCCTGTGATGCCGCCATTATAAGCTCCGTTTCTCAGCCCAGGTGAACCCACTTATGCAGGCCCACACCCTACTCCAGGTGCCCGCCATCAGGCATGCATTCAGGACCGCAGGGATCCATCATCAATCCTAATGGCGGGAAGGCAGAAAAGCCTGATGCTTTTTACCTTACCCTACACAGGTGTAAGTAGAATTCTGGGGAGGGGGGGCCTGAATGGGGAAGGAAGACCGGGAGCTTTTTCCTCTTCCATTTTAAGCCTGTTCAGCAAACAGATAACATAGTAGGAACCAAAGACCACAAGGCAAAATCTCTCGACTTCTTGCCTCACCTTCTCTGCAAATCTACCTGCTTTCACTTCCCCTTGACCTCCTTTCCCTGCCACAGTAGCACTGGTGTGACCCCACGTGACTAAGGACAGCCATTCCCCTTGGCCTCTGGTTCGAATTCCCTCAGGTCTACCCAAAGGACTCGTTCCTCGCTTTCAGCTACTACAGCTTTTTCCCTCTCCGCTGCCTCTCCCTTAGCTACATTTAATCCTGCTTTCATTTCTTCTATCTTGAAAAAGAAAAACATCCAGGTTTCACTTATATTCAGAATATAGAGAAACCCCAAACAAGGAGTTAGGAAGAAGACAAAACTTGCAAGCTGACTGTAAGGGCAGGACTGGACCCAGTGCAGGTTTTCTGATCCCATGCAGACCGGGTAAAGGAGGAGTCAGAGTCCTCAGTAGTTTTGCAGGTCTTTTATTGGGGTTCACCAGGCATATGGCAGGCAGGGGTGCGGGCTGGGGGGCTGGGAGGCTGGCAGGCCTCCAGCCTCCCAGCCCCCAGCAAGTCTTCACTCTATCTGGACTCTCTGGCGTTCATTCTGCTGCTTCTTGGCTTCTCTTTCGGCTTCTGCTTCGGCTTCTACTGCTGCTGCTGCTGGCGTCCCCGTGACGCCGCCCTTAAAAGCCCAGTCTCAGCCCAGGTGAATCCCATCTACCTCTGCCCACACCCTACTCCAGGTGCCCGCCATCAGGCATGCATTCAGGACAAGGATCCATCATCTATCCTGATGGCGGGAGGGCAGAAAAGCCTGATATTTTCTTTACCCTACACTGACCATAGATCTGAGGTCTACAGCAGGGGAGGGTGGGGAAATCAGGGGTGGGAAGAACACAGGGGTCTATGGTGATGGGTCATGGGTGCTGTGGTAGTGGGAGAACTATGGTGACTACACCTGAGGGGAAAAGCCAATAACTGTACAAAAATGAACAATGATGTAAGAAAATAAATTAATTAAAAGGAAAAAAAGAAAGAAAGAAAACCATCCATCCTCCTTCCTACCTGGGCCAATGCTTTTTCAACCCTTCACAGCGGACCCTAATACACTGGTGCCATTCCCTGGGCTCCTGCTGACTCTTCTCACCCTAGGGTCAAGTCACGGCCACCCCCCATCCCACCTGGCCACCCCATTCCACTTTGCTGGTTCATTGGCCACCTGTTCTTAGCACTCCAAGTGACCTTGACCTCAGAGACATCACTCTGCCTTGCCCTTGAACCCTTCTTTGTCAGCCTTTGAAGGTCAGAGCCCAGCATTCCCTAGAAAAAACCACCCTCCCCGTGGTCTGACCTGCTTGCTTACTCCTAAAATTCCAGCTATTTGCAAATGTCTGTCATTTTAGTGTCCTTTGGACAAACATTTCCATCAATAAACCTACTCTCTTCTCTCCACTCTCAGTAGACTGTGCGCTTCCTTAGATCCCTTTCGGGACAAACCTACCCCTAAATGCAGAGTCATCTCAGGACGAATTCAGAAGTTAGCTATGGCACCTGCTTCTAGACCCCCAAACAGACCTCTGTATATTCTGTGCTCAAAGTGATCTCAACCCACACACATCACCTTCCTCTTGCTGTTTTCAGTTCATGACTGGGCAACCATATGGAACCAAGAACACTCACTGTCCCCTGCCTTGCCCTCTGCAACTCAGTCCTCTCTCTCCCCTGCTAAAATCTTCTAATCACTCCCTACTGCCTACAAAATATATGTGAACCTTCATGACCTAGCCTGCAAGTCCTACATGATTGGGCCCTGCCTACCCTGCCTGCTGCACACCTCCTCGACTCCACCACACCTCCTTGTCTCCACCACGACTGTTCCAGCCCAGTCCCCAGGGTATGGCCCATATCTAGCCCATTTTGCAATACCAAGGTCTAATGGAGCATCTAGTTCTGAATAGGTGTTCAATAAATGTTTCTTGGATGAATCATAGTAACACTAGCCAATGCTATTACCTATAAACGACTATTACATGGTACCTATGGTTGCCCTTTTTCATTTGAAGTTTTCATTTAGATTTGAATTTAACAAGGAGTGGGGTGGACTGGCAAAGGGAAGTTAATGACATTTAGCAATACCACATCATTCATTACCAAGGTCAAATACGAGGAGAACCCTGGCAATTATCGCAATATTAAAGAACAGCTTTCCATCTTCTCCAGCGAAGGTATTGGCACTAGGAGGACCCAAATGCCTGTGAATAGGCCAGACATTCTTAGATATTTCATATGGGTGATCTCACTTAAACAGGTCATGTTTAAGCCCCAAGGAGACTGAGGCCCAAAACATAAAGCAATTACAACTGGTAAATCATCAAACTGAAACCCAACTCCCCATTACTCAAAAACTGAAACCCCAAACCGTTTCTATTAAACATAATTTTTATTCCATCCAAGGCAAAGCTAAATAAAATTCTACAATGCAAAACACATTATAAAGGCCAGACAGTCTGATCACATCCCTTCTGTGCTTGAATACAAGTCAGTGTTGGGTGTGTGCACATCTGTACCTCCCAGAGGCACCTGCCGACCCGAGACCCCCCCCAAGGCCCTTTGCTGCATCAAGTTGATCTAAAGTTATATAGGAAAATTGACTATGGATATTGCTGTCATCCAAGCCAGAGGAATAAACCATGCATAAGATAGTCAAAAGCGCTGCATATCAGGTGGGAGGTGGGAGGGTAGGGACTCCAACCTGGGACAAAGTAAAGTGAAGCAAGCCATAGGATTTTCCCGAGTGGTCCCCCCTCTTCCTGGCACTCCCTCCCCCCAGCACTCTGATGGCAGCTGGCTGTAAGAGTGAGATGGAGTCATGGAGTTATGAAGCCGAGGAACATGGGGTGCCCCCAAAAGGTAAAGCTCAGGCTTAGAAAGATGGTTCCTGAGATGTGCGGAGTCTCCCCTGTTAAAGCACACTCAGCCTCGCACACAACTCCATACTCCGCACTCCACGTACAGCCCACCCACCCCACACCCGTGCACTTCCACAAGCACACACTGCGCTCACTCCACACATGGGCACCCTCACCTGCCACCTTCTCCAAAGCATTAGCTCACCCCTTCACTTCACCTTGAGCTTGCTCAAGCAGCCAGGTAGATGTGAGAAGGCTGAACTCCATCGGCCCCTCCCCCACACCTCTCCAGGATCACACACTCATTCTGGCTGCCTTCTGTTCAACTTCTGCTGAGGAGACACCAAAGGCTGGAGTGCTAATGTCCTAGTCTGAGGTCAAGGAGAGGAAGCTAAGAAAGGCTGTTTTTGGCCTTAATGACTCTACTGTCAGCACAGCTGCAGATGCCCAGGGCTCTGAAAACCAGCTTTGTAAGTGGCTGTCTACAAGCACAAGCCTGGGATTACTTTCACCTGCCCCTGGAGAGTGTCCTTGGGACATGCATGCGCTGGGGGTCTGCTTGGGAGATGGCTGCGCACACCACTGCAGATCCATCCATACCAGTGTCCCTCTGTGGGTGTGATCCCAACACCAGGGCAGGTGTTTCTTTGTTGTGGAAACTAACTTTAGCATTTGTAGTCCCCACTCACTAAATGCCAGTAGTGCCTCCATTTTGCTCCATAAGTGTCCCACCCATGGGTCCAATCACCTCTGTTGAAAACCACGAAACAAAAGCTGTGAACAAGAAGCTTTGAGCATTAGAGTCAAAGTGTCTAACATTAAAGAGACTCTAATAATTTCAAGGGGGACTGGTAAAGAGAGAGATGATATGGATAGATGAATGATAGGAAAGATGCATAGATGATATAGGTGGATGGATGGATGGATGGATGCATGGATGGATGGATGGATGGATGGATGGATGGATGGATGGATGGATGGATGGATGCATGGATGGGTGGATGGAGAGAGGGAAGGAAGGAGGAAATGGATGGGTGAGTGGGCAGAGAGAGAGAGAGAGCAAAAGCGAGTTAGAGTGAGAGAGTGAGTTATAGAGAGGGGCTTGGAGATGAAGACCAGACAAACTTGAAACAGTTCCTCCAATTATAATATCTGGCCTTCTAGACCCTTTCCAAGTCAAAAAGATTTGTTAAACGAAAGCTCACCAAGCCTCACAACAGCCCTGCGAGGTAGGTAAGTGGTATCACACCATTCATAGATGGGAAAAGCTGAGCCCAGAGAAGATGCGCAAGTGCCCATTAGCCAGCAGCAGGCCCAGGGGTGGAGGGGACACAGCCTGTGCCTTGCCCCATTCTGTGCCCCTGGGTTTTCTCTCGAAAGTAGAGAGGAGCCAAGACAGTCTGCCCATCTGCCCATTCAAATATTGAAGCTGGGAAGGGAGAAGAAAGTAGTTTTGCAAGATGGCAGCTAAAGGGCTCTGGTCTGTCTACTCCCTAAGCCAGGAAAATCTGAATGGGCTTTGGGTGGAGGGCTGGAGGGACAGAGGCAGATCAGAGTGGGGACTTGTGAGCCCATCAGGTTGGCAAGGGCCACGGGCTACAGCCAAGGGCTCCCTGCTGAGGCTGCTGTCCCTCCATCTCCCCCACCTGCACCCTTGGGGAAGTCTGCTCCTGCTGTTGGCAGGGAGAATCCTGAGGCAGTCCCCATAGACCCTGGAAAAGGGGGTTACAGCCATCCCCCCTAGGGGTGCAGAGAATGGAGTGTCGGAAATTCTGTTCTGCTCCCCAGGGGAGCAGTTCAGATGTTTCCAAGACTCAGTCACTGGCCGTGAGGCTGCTGGGAACACAACCCCAGTTCCCTGGGACCTGGCATGACCCTGCAGGGGGCAGCTGGGGAACCCTCACAGGTGCCACACCAGAGTTGGCTGGAGAGGCGGGGAGAAATGAGCTAGGACTCAGGAACTAAGGCACAGACCAGCCCCACACATAAGGGGTGTGCAAACCAGTTCTTGAAAAAGCAAAAGAAAACTGTGGGCATGTTCTCCCTGCCTGTCCCCAGTCCAGGGTGTCAGAAGGGGTGGCACAGCTGAGCAGGAAGCAGCCAGAAAACCCAAGGGCTCTCTCATCCAAAGGAAGAGGATCCCTGAGGTAAAGGCAAGCCCTTGACCTTGGAGGGTGGAGATGGGCAACCCTAGGCCAGGGGAGAAACTATAATGGGGGAGGGGTGCACAGGAGGCAAGCCAACAGGAGGAGCAGGTTTGAGGATGCAACACCTCAAGCAAAATGACACGGCCTGCCGCTTCAAGGAAGGAGGAGGAGGGAAGAGCCAGGCTCAGAGGTCCCGGGAGTGGCTATGGTCCTGCCATGCCAAGGAAAGGGGGTGCCAGCCTTGGCAGGGCTGGGGTGGCCAAGAGGCCCAGAGTGCTGGCTTGTCCACCTCTGCAACCCTGACTCCCCAAGGAGAAATGCTAGGAAAGGCATAGGTAGCACCCCAGTGCTCTAGGAAGGCCTGAGGGGTTCCTTCATGAGCCCCTCAGGAACCCCAAGATCAGAGGAACAAGCTAGGTGGGTCTAGACCCCCCCAAGGTGGCCAGCCTGGTTGAGAGGGTTCAGACACTCCAAGCTTTGGGGGTTAGGATTGGGCGGTACGAAGAAGCATAGGACCAAGGGCGGCACCCTGGTGAAGGGAAAAGGAAAGTTCCCCAGTAGAGGAACATGGGGGACACGGTGTACATCAAGGCCTCTGAACATAGGCACCTCCCCAGCATCTTCCCACCCCCAGGTCCAGTACATAGTCCTCTAGGCCATTCCCACCACCAGCTATTAGGGCAACCCTCACAGATCCCCCAAAACTCTCCTGAAGAGAAATCTCGAAGAAAGCCAAGGCATTGCTCCTGGAGGGTGGAGGAGACGGAAGATCCCATCTACCCAGGTGTCGGGGGACCAGCCCTCCACACCACCCCAGTCCCTCCTTTCCTCTCCTGGACCTTCCACAGGCCCCCTCCCCGGCCAGCCCTTGTCCCTGGGGAACCCTGGCTGGGGAGGGGAAGAGGCAGGCTGGGCAGGACCCCAGTTTCTCCCCACCCAGAAAGACTACAGTTTGAGCCAAGCAGCAGATGTGTCAGGCACATGGGTTCACAGACACGGCTCAAGCGTCAGTTTCCTCATCAGAAAGTGGGGTTCCTGGAGGCTGCTTGGCCCCAAGCAGGGGTTCACACTTTTGTTGGTGGTTTCTCTTCTGCCTTGGAGCCAGGCAACCCATTCTCTGTGTTGTCATTCCCTGAGGAACTCACGAGGCACTCCTTCCTGCAGAGAGAGAGAAAGGGGGCACATGAGGAGAAGAGCCAGCAGCCAAGAATAACAAGCAAATTACAGAGGGGATCATGGCCCCCTATACCTCTCTCTGGCCTTCTGTATCAAGTTGCCTTCCTCTCTGGACCTCAGCTTCCTCATCTTTAAAATGGAAGTCATACGGTGTTGCTGTGAGGAGTCATAGGACATACTCAGGAAGGAGGCCAGCCACAGCTAATGGCCTCGGCATGGAGGTGGCCCTATTCCCAAGGGTCAGCGTTGAGGGGAAGCCATACCACAGTTATCCCCAAGCTGTGCCAGCCTACAGGGAAGGTTCCACACCAGCAAGGTGTGTGCCCAGGGCAGAGGGCATACTCCCCAGGGCCCCAACAGGCCCTTCCTCCCTCTGCTCCCTGTGAACATAGGGGGAAGAACACGCATGGACAGGGCAGAGCAGGCTGAGGTTTGGGCATCGAGCATGGCAGGTACGGGCAGAGGGTGGAGGGACTGAAGCAGGAAGTTTCCCAAGTCTGCTGCTTGGGTGAGTCTGCTCCTTAGATTCTGCCGCCTGCTGGAGCGGAGAAGTTACTGGGTGCACTGCACTGCTTGTACACAGTGGTAGCCATGGCTACCTTGACCCCCTTCCCGAACAATACAGAATGCTTAGCTATGATGGATGGGATAGCAAGTTTCCTCACACAAGCTGCATAAAACCCTGCCATTTTTACTCTTGGGCGCTCAGCCTTTTGGGAGCTATCCCACTGAGCCCACCGGTGTGACAAGTAAATCTCTCCACCTCTCTGAGGTGGATTTCTGATTTCTCTGGAAAATTGCCATAACAGGACAAGGCAGAAGCAGCAGGAAGGAGAGATGGTTAGATGAGCACACACACCCCAGGCCATCACCACCCAGACTGCACTGCTCTGGATACCCTCCAGTCTGCATCTTCCCGCCTCCGGGGCAGTGCCCAGATGCGCGGAGTCCTCCAGGGCAGACGTGACTGCTGCTCACTGCCAGCTCCTGCTCATGAAAACACCCCAGTGTTTCTCACAGCTGCTGCCACTTAACCACAGCTTAACTTCACCCAGGACTCATGTTGCCTGGTTTGTCACCTTTGGGAAAGACTTAATATTTGTCCTCATCAGTTTTTCTTGCAGGATTCAGTGTATAGCTCCAGCCCGTCAAGATCCTCCTGGAGCTCAATTTGATTCTCCAGCATAATCACTAGACTCTTAGAAACTGAATGAGTTTGTCATTCATCATGTCACTCAAATCTTAACATTAACAAAGGACAAGCAGAGTCTGTGGCATTCCACTGGAGACTTGTTCAATGGGTCTGTCTAGCTATGTAGCTAGCTAGCTAGCTACCTATTATTTTTTATCTGTTTGTCATCTATCACCTATCTATCTACCTATCTCTAGTTCTGCCTGTATCCCAGGTACAGTCAACCCAGTCAATTCCTATCCACCTAACTGGACTCTCAAATAGTCCATATTTCTTTTCTGCAAAACTGCCTGGTACCAGAACAGTGCCAAGTTAGAGAGAGGTGCACAATGTAATGCATGCTTGCTCTCAGAAAACTTGCAGTCTTTCAAAGAAAGTAACATTGAACAAATGATGTCAGCACAATGTGGTAAATGGTAGCAGGGGAATGGATGAAGGAGGGACCCAACCTAGGAAGCCTCCGTCTAGGGGTCAGGGAAGGCTCTTTGGAAGGGCAATTTAAGCTGAGACCACCAGAGATGGTCAGGAAAAGAGAGAGGACATTTCAGGCAGAGGGAACCACACCGGAAGTGAAAGCTCAGAACTGACCCCAAGACGCATCCACCATCCAATACCACCCACCCTCTCTGGCTTCCGCATGGCCTGTCTCTACCTCCATCCTTCCCTGTCCAGTTCCTGTGCCCACAGAGACCAGGCCCTTTCTTCCAAAGTCCCCTGAGCATGCCAGCTGTGAGGCCAGCAGCTCCCCACAGCCAGAAGGAGAGCCTCACTCAGCCTGGACTCCCAGGCCCCAAGCATCTCTCCCTAGGCCCCTTGGAAGGTATGTTCTTCCCTTCCTCCCTACCATGCCTCCACCCTGTCAACCAACAAAACAGCTTGTTCTCCAGATACATACCCAGGACACTCTCTGCCTTTGTTCTGGATGGTTCCCCATCTGGAATACCCTTCTCACCACTATCCCCAAAGTTTAAATTATATCCATCTTGCAAGGCCTACCAAAATATGCCAGAAGTCCCTCCTGAGCGCTCCACCATCTTCTGAAGCCCTCAACAGTCTACCAGAGCTCTCTGAAGGTCCCTCTACCTTGGATTCCATGCACTTGTGTCCAGGTCCTGGCTTCTTTATTTAAGGGCAGAATCTCATTTCTTTCAGAGTCTCCTACAGCACTGCACAGAGCCCTCACCCAGGACCTCCGAAGCAGCCACAGAATGGAGCAATGATTGAGTGAACTCTACATGTGCCCAGTGAGTCTGTGGGGTAGGGTGGCAATGGTTTAAGCTTTGAAACAACAGCAGATCTCTGTTTTTATGCCTGAACTTATCCCAGAACTTCCTAGAAGGTCATATCAACCTTTTTAGATTTTCTCTCCCCTATTTGAATTTTCAAAATTTCATAATAAAGGGCTCCCTCACACCGGGGTCTTCTCATTTTGGAGTTTATGTGTATGTTTATGTATAGAGCTTATGTATATGGAATTTTATATCTTCTCTGATTGATTGAAAAAATGGGGGGCTTCCTAAATGCTTTGATAGTAATTTAGATTGGGGTGATACTAACAGAAAGACGGGGGGTTATAGGGTGGGCAGGAAGAGTGTGAGAGGAGGAGAGTATGTGGATTGTATTTACATATTCAACGAATTCAATAAATGCCCATTGGAAGGCTGGGAAAGAGGAGGTGAGATTAGGAGACAAGGAGCTGGGAGATGGGGAGGAGACTTGCAGGAAATGGAAAGAGAGTGGTCGGATTAGGAAGAGAGGGTGAGAGGAGACCTATGGAAGGATGAAGGCAGATGGGGGCAGATGACAGTGGAACACAAAGATTCTGGGAAGACCCTTGAGATGGGACTGGGTGGTGGGCTAGTGGGAGGGCAGAAACATGCCATGGCGTCAACTCACTTCTTCTCCTGAGTCTTCTTGATAATGAAGGTGATGAACTTCTTGACCAGCAGGAGGAAGATGAGAAGCCCAATGACGCCGCCCACGATGGACAGGATGAGGAGCGTCAGCGTGTTGTCCACTTCTTCCACTGTGTGCAGGAAGAAAAGAGGTGGGGAGACAAGGGGAGCAGGAGTCACCAGGAGTTGAGCACCATGGAATCTCAGGGCTACACAGCCTACAAGCCCGGCCTCCAGGACATAACCTTCCCCAGGTCTTGCGGTGGAAAAGAAGGACAGTTGGAACGCGGCTCCCAACATGCTAAGGCACACATGAAGGGGGCCCTCCCACCCCGCTCCCACTCCTAACCTCCCACAGACACAAGCTCTGGAATCATTCAGACTCGACACCCACAACACCCATGGTTTGAGTCATGACTAGGTCCCCACATTGTCACTTGAGAATTTCAGTTCCTCTCTCTAGATCTCCTTTGTCCATGCCAGAAAAAATCACAGGATCTCAAGGTTATGCGCTATTTGGTAAACTTGACCTGGCCATTTAGCCCTCTAGCCTCAGTTTCCTCATCTCAAAACTGAACCCCTGACTTCACAAGCCTGCTCCACACAGTCTACCCCATCTCTATCATCCATCCTTCCAGTTACTCTGGCCAAAATCCTGGGAGGCATCCTTAACTTCTTTCTTTGCCTTAAATCCCATATCTGAGGTACCTGAAAACTCTGATGGCCCTAACTTTAAACATTCCAGACCCTAACTTCTCACTACCACCTTGCCTCAAGACATCTGTTGCCTGGATGTTTGTAATAACCTCCTATGGTCTCCTCGCTTTATCATCTATTCTTAGCACAGTAGCCAGAGCAAGGCTATTCTAGCATTAACTCTTCGGCTCAGAGCCTTCGGTGGCTCCCATCTCACTCATGCGAACGGGACCCTACATACCTAGGCTCATTCTGGCTCACCTCTTACTACTCACCATGCTCTAGCCACACTGGCCACTTTATTGTTCTTCATGCATCTGCCACAGGGTCTTTGCACTTGCTATTCCCTCTGACTTGGACTGTCCTCCCAAAGATACCCTCACTGCTTCCTCTCTGCCTCCTTCAAATGTGCTCTCTGTTGCCTTTTCCAGAGAGGCCTTCCAAAGTGACTCTGCTTGAATCCTAACCTTCCTCTCCCATTTTACATTTTTTCCATAACACTAGCCATGTTCTCCCATACAATATTTTCTTCTTTGTTTTGTTTACTGTGTATCCTGTTCCTTAACTAGAAGAAACTCTCCATAAGGGCAGAAATCTATTTTGTTCATGTTGTATCCTCAGCACCTAAAGTAATCTGTTATATGGTAGGTGCTCAATAAATATTTGTTGACTAGATGGATAGATGAGCCTAAAAAAATGGAGAGAAGATCCACCTCAAAGCAGTGTGTGAGAAGCAAAGGAACCCAGAAGTGCTCCAGTAAGATTAATCCCCCGCCCCTTCTCCTCGCTCCTAAAAAGGCTGAGCACAAAGTGGGGTGACTTCCAGAGAGGCTTCCATAAGAGGTGACCTTATCAGCATACTTGGCTCAGTGGACTCCAGGCTAGAACAAGCTACCTGATGAATTCCAGCTCTGCCCTTGACATGGCCAACACTGAACCCACAGGCGGCCCCTCTCCAACCCTCCAGGAGGGCAGGGAAGCCTCAGGTACAATCAGGACCCTGAAGCCAGTTTCCTTTCCTTCTTCTCTGCGCTGCACCTCCCTATCTTTCTGGGATCCTTCCTCCAAGAAAGCCCAGCCTAATTCCTCAATCCCCTATCCTACCACCCCCTTCTCTCACCACCTTCAATGTCTGGGGACATGTGAGCACCTGACACCTCATGGCAAGTTCCCTCCTGGTTTAACTGGTCCATTTGCGTCAGTCTGGCAACCCCGAGGAGGACTTATGCTCCACTCTTATCAGTATCTGTTGACTGCGCCTGACCATGCTGGTCCCCAATGTCAGTCATCTGTTTACCAGGCTTCTGTCCTACTCTGAACTGTAAATGCTCAAGGAAGAACACTGTGTTCATACGCAGCACTTTTTGGTATGAGATCTGACATTCCATCAACTTTTGCCATCAGAACACAAAGCAGCCAGGACTCGGGGGATATAAGAGTAGTAATAGCAAGTACAGAAAGTGTTGTACCTGTCTCAAACACTCGAGGAACTTCCCTCTCACTACACCCCTAGGAAAATGCAGCCATATTCCCATTTTATAGACGAGGAAAATGAGGCTCAGAGGAGCTAAGGGTAACTCACAAGTTATTCAGTGGCTCAATGAGGATTCAAGCAAAATCATTCAAGTTCCCGGATGCAACTCGAAAGGATCAAGTGAAAGAAAACACCAATGTGATCCATTTTACTCTTTCACAGTAACTCTGAGCTGGGTACCCTCCTCCACCCCTTGTCCCTCTTACTAGCCACCGTTGTCTCCCAACCCCCAGAGCCCCTCCTCAGCCGCACATACATTTATCAACAACTTGGAGGAAGATGGTGGCCTGGTGCTCAAGGTAATTCTCCTTGGGGTTCTTCGCATGGCAGGTGTATTTGCCGGTGTCGCTGAACTCCAGGTCCCGCAGCAGAATAGAAATGTTGTTCACTTTCTCCTTAGTGGAGCCCTCCAGAGTGATGCGGTCATCGTCTTTCAACTTCACCTTGGGGTTAGACTTCTCATTCTTCACAGTCCCATCTATGAGCTAGAGGAGGGGAGAGAAGGGAGGTGGCCAAGGAAGAATCAGAGTCCTCAAGGTCATGACATGACCCCATCCCACTCCTGCGGTCAGAGATGCCCCCTCCCCCTTGGTCTTCTGTCTAACCCGCCCATCTAACCTGAATTCTGCTTGCTTCAGACCAAGCCATGTTCTTTTACTAAGGTCACCCTGGAATGGAGGCCCTCTCTTACTGCCTCCTTCATAAAAGCTTTTTCATAAGGCCTCCTGCAGATGCCACACTCAGTCAACTGCTGCCAAACCTTGCTGACTGACCCCCACCCCCAATCCTCTGCTCAGCTGAATTCCCGCCCTGCATCAGGAGCTGGGTCAATCCCACAGCATCATCCATCAGCCCCCTCTGAGTTCAGTGTTTTCCTCTGTCCCGAGTAGGTCCCTGTGGTCTCCCTGTGGTGGCCCTGAGACCCCATGAGACTGCAGAGTGAGTACTCAGTGAACATCCACGCATTGGTCCTCCCCACCCCCAGACCCTGGCCCTGCCCAGATCCTTCTCTCCTCCAGCTTCCTCTCCCTTTCTCCAAGTCCAGTTCTCTAGGTCTTTCTCTCTCCTGTTTTTTGAAATCAAATTATTAATGTTTACATACGCAGTCAAGTCCCAGGTATTTCTTCAGACCAGACAAAGGACTCTAACCTACAATCCCAACAGATCCCAAATTAAGCAGCCCTCCCATTAGATCCTTCCAGACAGACTCTGAAAACCCTCAGGGGAGAGAGGGTGGCTCTGGGCACCATGGGAAGTGGGCGCGTGGCGATGGGAATGCTGCCTCGGATGGGAGTCAGAAGTGAGGGGCCAAGTCGGGGAGGGACATCTGGGCTGTCCTGTCCCTTCCCCTCCTACTTACAATCCTGTACGTATCACTGCTGTTGTAGGACCACCAGAAGCGGAGGTTCTCGAAGCCAAAGCAGCTGGAGAAGGTGCAGGGCAGTAGAATCTCCGTGCCGTTGACCGCGTAGATGGTGGTGGCCTTTCCCACAGACACCTCCAGCGACAGCGACACCGGGAGTAGGAGGAGACCTGTTGGAGGTGCCACCTCCTTTAATGAAAGCTGCAGCGGGCCGCTCTGGAAGGGGACTCTACAGCAGGACGGGGAGGTCTCTGTCACCCCCAGAGCCTCTTTACTACAGTAACACCGACTGGCCACCAGCCATAATTCTCCCTTTCCTCACCATGGCCTGGCAGGATTGAATTCGCATGCTAAGCATGCCAAAGCGGAATGCCCTTGCCTCAAAGCTCAGAAACAATGCCCCATGGTCCAGTCAGGATCCTGTCACTGTCCATAAAAGCTGGTATTTACTGAGCACTTACCAGTTACCAGCATGCTGAGCGCTCTGAATGACCGCCAGGGGTCACCCCAACACCAGAAAATGAGGCCCTCATGGACGCGCCGCGTCTGCACCCCGGCTGCGCCCCCTAACCTGCAGAAGCAGTCTCGGGAAGCGCGGTCCCCACAGCCCCTCCAAGTGCAGGGTGGCTCCTTCTGTTTGCACAGGGAATTCCCCTTAGGAGGGTGCGGGGCCTCCCCCTTGTGCTCTCGGTTTCCGGGCGCTTGGGGTGGGGGTGAAGGAGGTGGAGTAGGGTGTCTTAGGGTGAACAAGAGAAAAGCAGCAGCCACAGTCCTGGACACTGTCCAGGGCGCCTCTCATCACCAAGCCTGGGGGCTCCTGCCGACCACTCGGGGCTCAGAGGCAGAGGGACACTCCGGGGTACTGTGCTCGCCCCTCTAGTGCAACGCCCTCCGGCCACTGAACGCGACCCTGAGAACTAGAAGGAGACTAACGGTCAGGATGAAACAACGTGGGGATGGCGTGGAGACCGGGCGCATCTTGGCCAGCGGCAGCAGCGAGGGCGGAGCGAGTGAACAGTAATGGGAGGGAAAGAAGAAGGTGGAGACACAGCAGCGCGGCAGAGCTGGACGCCAGGAAGGCGGAATGTGTGCAAGGGTGGCCAGGACAGAGCTCCGGACCTCTGTCCCTTCCCGACTCGGAGGAGGAGCTGTCCTGGAGGCATCTGGCAACCCAACAGGGCTCCTAGACCTGGGAAGGCCCCGCAAATGCCCATCCCCCTTCTTGTCCCCTTCTTGCCCTCTGCACCCCCAGTACATTAATATACTTCTGCTGTTTGGGCAGGTGGAAGCCAGTTTCCACTCCTGGCCTCTGGGGCCACCTCATAAGTCCCTGCAAGGAGGCCCAGGCTCGTCTCTCCACCTGCAAGGTCCTTAAGGAAACCCCACTGTACTTCAAGGTCACAGGCAGAATCCATGCCTACCTCTCCTTGTCCCTAGATGATGTCCCTAGGTGGCCCCAGGTGAGGACTCAGGGGGGCCTTGTTCTGGGTTCCAGTGATGCCAAGAGTAGGGACCCTGGGCGTTATCTTCTGGACAGGGCGCCTGGCTCAGTGGTCCAGGTGAATAATCTCATTTCATCCTCACCTCAAACCTGGAAGGCGGCCGTTGTTAATCACATTGTACAAGTGGGAAAAGTGAGGCCCTGAAGAGCAAAGTACGCGGTGTGGTGCAACTTCTAGGGGTAGTTGAAATCTCAACTGGGGTCTGACTCAAGGGCAGTGGCAAGCAGCCAAGGTTTCCTGTGCTCCCCGCCCAGACTGCAGCTTCTTGAGCCTCCAGCCTGGTGTACCCAGAATGTCAGAGCTAAAGGACCCAGCCTGATCCATTAATCCCACTGCCTCATTTAGAGACAGGCCACCCACAGCCCCAAAAGGGAAAAGTCTTGGCTGAGGGCCTCCCTGGTGGCGCAGCGCTTGAGCACTGGGCTGCGAAGCTGCCCGCAGCCTCTGCAGTGCCAGTTCGATCTCCAGCCACCAGCGAGGGTCCCACATGGCACGCAGACCTACCCTGCTGCCCGCTGCTCCCCTCAGCAGTGTATTTCGTCAGTCTGACTGTTCTGTTCCCCGCTCTGGCTCTGGTGAATTCTCTCACCCTCCCGTACTTCTGACTGTACCCAGTGCTTGTATAAATAAAATAAATAAACCTTTTTAAAAAAAAAAAGTCTTGGCTGAGCTGCCTGGGTTTAGTGCCCAACCTGGGTGAGAATCCCTCAGCCCAGGTCAGCTTCAGTTCTGCAGGCAATTTCCAGAATGGTTCTTGTTTCCCAGACAGCCAGAGACAGTCTTTGTTCTAAAGGTCACCAGCCCATCCTCACTCTCCAGGACAAGCCTCTTTTGTCTAACTTAATCATCACGGGGTACATCGTAAACCAGCCTCCTCTTGTTGTGTCCAGTGGAGATGGTGATGCATATGCCATCTGAGTGATGCTTTTTAAATGACAGGGAAGGAGTTGCAAGGAGAGACCTGCTCCTGCTCTTGGGCTCCCCTCGGCTTCTTCTCGGTCCCTTAGCTGCTGATGGCAAAGTGGAATGCCCTTGCTTCAAAGCTCAGAAATAATGCCCCATGGTCCAATCAGGATCCTGCCATTGTCAATAAAAGCTGGTATTTACTGAGCACTTACCATGTGTCAGGCACACTTAATCCTCAAACGCATCCTACAAGTGATATACTATCACCACACCAAGTAATAGGCAAGACAACCAAGCACAAGAAGGTTAGGAGATGTGCCTAAAGTCAACAGGAGACATTTCCAGCATCCCCAAGCCCCAAAGCAAGAAAACCCTCCCTTCCTTTCTAACATAACAGGATTTGCCCAGCAGGGCTACAATTAGAGCTGAGATATTCTTTTAATTAGCCCTCACTCTTTGATCAGCTCCTGTGCACTAGGAATTATTCTAGAGCCATGGCTTTTAAACTTGAGCATATCAGAGGCACCTGGAAAGAGGTCCCACCCCTTTAGTTTCTGTTTCAGAAATTCTAGAGTGGAGCCTGAGAATTTGCATTTCTAAAAAGTTCCCAGAGATTGCTGTAGTCAGGGACCGCACTTTGAGAATCACCGTGCTAGAGATTTTATACATAGCAACGTCAGCTTTTTACTAGAATGCCAAAGGTAGGTCTAGTTTTTGTTTGTTTTGTTTTATGAATGAAATTGAGGCTCAGAGAGGTTGACTAATTTCCCCAGGACCACAGAATAAATGGATCTGGGACTGAGCACTTGTATAGGATGGACAGACGTTTTAGATATACTGTCTCGTAACATCTTCATCATAATCCTATGAGGTCGCTATTATTTTTATCCTCACTATACAAAATAGAGACACGAGCTCAGAATGATTAACTAGCTCAAGGCCACACATCCTGAAAACAGAGCAAGCAGTATTCAGACGTAGGTCTGCTGTTCACCTCTCCATGCTTATGATTCTGCAAGAGAACAGTGCAGTCAGGGCCAGGTTTCTTGGTTTTTTCACTTCTGTCCCCTCTCCACCCCACCCCCATCAACACCTCCCCCAGAGGTCAGGGAACAGATCTCCACCCTCCAGCCTAGACCCCCAGCTCTGCCCTTACCCTTACTACCCCCTCAAACCAAAGAACAAATTGCAGCATATCAACAGGGAAACTCTCAGGAGAAAGCAGCCTCCTGCTAGCTACAGCCTCCCTCAGGGCCCAAGCTTGTGCCCTTAGAAGGTGCCCACCAGGGCTCCATTGGTGCAAGCTTCACCCCTTCCCTGACGGGAACAGGGGATCCTGGGGATCATGGGCCAATTCCCCCTCCCAACCCTAGTCAGAGCAAAACACCCAAGAACACCAAAGATATACATCAAAAGTACAATCTTTGGGGCTGCTTTAAATAGATAGAAGCAGGGAAAAAATCCAGACAGAGGAGAAAACCATTTCTTTAAGTTCTGGTGCATGACAGTGCACATTTCTGCCTGATTAGTGTGCGCCTATGTGGATGACTTAACTCTAATACACTCAGGACTCCCAGCCTCCCAGGGTGAAGCATCGCTATTGCCACGGTAGCATGGAGGGGATGTTTCTAGGGAATCCAGGGCCCTGCCCGAGTGAAGGCATCAAGAGGCTTGGGCCAGTCTGGCTCCCTCCAGTGCTCACCCTCCCAGCCAGATGTTGCAAGTCCTACCACCTAGGTCTGGGAGAACTGAAGCCCAGGTCCTGCCTTGCACCCAGGCTTTCTGGCCTATGAGGCCAGGGGCAGGGGTTGATCTGCTAGAGAGGAGGAGCAGGGGCAGGGGTTGATCTGCTAGAGATCCCCCAGCAAGCTGGCCAGGCAAGAAGCAGAGAAGTCAGCAGACACAAAGCAGACCGCACTGTGCCGTTGACCTTGAGAAAGCTAGAGGTGCCATATCTAGTGTGCACTGCCCCAAAGCAGGGATGGCTATTTCCCTGTCTCTGATCCTAAGGGAGAGAGGGATATTTTTCAAAAGGAGGGAGGGGAACAGGGCTGGCCTCCATCACAGCCTGGCTGGAACCAGGGCAACCCTAACTTAGTGACCAAGAATGTCTCCAGGTGATTCACGTTGTTTTATACTGTACCACCCTTGAGGTCATTATTTCCATGCAGCTATATCCCTGGAGTAAAGAAGGACTTTGCTCTGCCCAACACTTAACTCTTTAGAACCTCCAGGTGCACACATGGTGGCTGTGTTTGGGGGTGCGAGGGGAGGAGATTGGGAGCCTCTTTCTGGAATTATGGAGTTGTTGAGTAAATCCACCTCTTCATAATCCTTGGAAATCAATCCTAAACCCATAGCCTTGCATTTGCTCACTAAAAATCTCTAACCTTTTGGCCACCCTCAGAGCCATCATTTTCTTTGCCATTATCTGAACTCCCCCTACCTCCATCCACATCCGGGTGCTAAGGCTTGACTTAGCACCTAGGAGGATTAACTGAGGACCCCCATGTTTTAGTCAAGTAAAAAAATATTCCATATCTGCCAAGGTTATTATTAAATACTCACAGGAGCAGGAATCTCATGGCTACTATCAGATACTCCAAGGTAAATGCCGAGGTAGGAGACTTTCTACCACCTTTTCCCACATCCAAGGATCAGTCACCCCCACCCCAAGTGCAGGAAGGAAGAGGAGCAGGGGTGTGTGTGCCTACTCTAAATTTAGCTCCCAGGGCTTGCCTGGCACGGCAGGTGGAAACACGGCTTACTTAAATAGGGAAGCTGATACACTCTGGTCCCAGGGAAGGCAGACAGTCTCCAAGTTCAAGCTGGAGGCAGAAAGTGGGCCAAGGCCAGCAGGACAAGCCCCCTCCTGGGGTGCAAGCCCTGGGGGTTGTGGGAAGTAGGGCTGAGCTAGGCAAGGCCCCTGGGCCCAGAGGCAAAGGAAAGATTTCACCTCCCTCTCTCTAGGCAACGTGCCTGCTTCCTGCCCACCCTCAGGAGCTTTGCAGGGATCAAAACATACCCCTGAGAGGGCACGGGATACGCAACAAATCCAGCTTTGCAAACAAGTTCATGCAGCATGCCATGTCCCTCCTCTCACACACCACAGAATGGGCATGGAGGCATGGCCAGCCCGTGGTTTGAGAGATGCCAATGCCCACGGCAACACAACAAGGTGGGAGAATCTGTGTCTAGTGTGTCTACCCATCAGGCTGATCCACCAGGAGGTGGGGTGTCATAAGGGTTTAAGGAGACCCCCCCGCCCAGTACCTGCATCTCCAGAAAAAGATCAGATCTCCAGTTCCAGATTCAAACCTGAGTCTCCCTCACTGCTTCCCCTTCCTGTCTTGTCCTCTTGCCCATGAACTCTGTTCTTACCAGTTCTTCTTCCTTCCTCTGAGCAGGCCCTGAGCATCCTTTCTTTAATTGCATTCTCATTAAACAAGCCCTTAATAAATACATACCAAGGGAAAGAAGGTTGTGCAACATAGCACTCTCACAAGTGATAATTAACACAGATCATAGCAATTAAGCAAATCAGGGAACAAGGAAAGGGTGGGCAGGACAGATATATTACTGGTTGCATGTTTAGGAAGGGGCTGGCAGCCACATAAATCTCCACTCTAACACGACAGCCTTGGGGACAGCTTCGCAATTTAAGAAAAGGGTATATTGTCAGGTTATCAAGAATCATTTTAGTCTCAGCCTGAGTTTGATATGGGGTGGGGGGAGCAGAGAGGTAGAGGGCTGCTGGATTCAGCCTCCACAGTTGTAAGAACAACAGCTTTAGGACCCCTATTCTGCCCCCTGCCATGTCCAGGCCCCCCCAACCTCACTCATCCTTCAGCCCCTCAGCACAATCCCTGCTACCCTCCCCTCTCACCAGACTTTGCTTAACTGGGAGGCAACTTGATATAAAGAGCCCAAAAGACCAGGATTCTCAACTACTTGACCACCAATTGGCCATGAACCCTTGGATAAATCATCATCTTTTCGGGACCATGGTTCCTGGGTCTTAGGAAAGCACTGTACTGTGGTGTCCAGCTCTGGCGCTGCCAGGAGCCTCTCCAGCTGACTGTCTAGCCATCTCTGCATCTCCCCTCCTAGTGCTGCTCCGAGGATTCAACTGGGGCTGCCTGGAGAAGGTCATGGGGAGGACCCAGGTTGCATTCACTCTGCAGACCAGAGGGGCAGGGGGCATAGCAGGTGAGGCCTGCTGGTCTCCCACTTGCAAACCAGTCCACTATCCCTAGAGTTCCCAGAGGATAGCTCAGGGATTCATCTTAACCTGCTCAAGGGGCCCCTCCCCTACCTGTTCTGCCCAGATGAACAGTCCTTGGAGGAGGTAGGGGCTTCCACCTGGAAAAAATACCAAGATTCTGCCCGCAGGACATATACACACGTGCACATATACATATGAGTGTGTGTGTGTGTGTGTGTAGTGTGGTTTCTCACAGACGACTGGTTCTATGAATATTTTAACAGTCTAGTTGCTGGCATCCACCATCCATCCAGGCAGCAAGAAGATGGTAAGCCAGAGGTGTAGCTAGGTGGGTCAGTTTAATGACTGGAGGAGTTTGAATTCCCTGTTCGCCCCTGACCTCTGCCATGGCCACAGAGGGAATTTGGCTGATCAGGGACGGGATGGAGGTGGGGGATAGGAAAGTAAGGTGCAGGGCACTGTGCTCACCCCATGAAGGGGAGCTGCAGGTCTCAGGCCCTCTTCATCAGGATTGCTGTGAAACCAGGATACATCTGTGCCAAAGGTACAAGAGCAAACTGCAGAATATTCTATTCTACCCAGCCGAAGGGATGTCATTAAATGCATGGCTCCAGAGTAAAAGAAATACTCTGTCCCCCTCCATCACCAGGTGCCAACATGACAGGTCTGCACAGTGTGTACCTTTTGCAGAAACAGCGCCCTTAAAGGCTGCTATCTCCCCGTTTTCAGTGCAAATGTTTACTTTGTATGCCTAACCCAATGGGGGAGGGGGCTGCCTAAAGCCAAATCTGACAAATATAAACAGGAAGAGGTGCAGGTGCCAGAGATGGAGTCAGCTTACATAGAAATCCCGCCATGATTTAGTAGGCGATTGCATTCGGACTAATAAATATCGTCCCCTAATCTCTTAGTGTTTGATGCTCAAATCTATCAGGTACATATTAATGGATATTAAAACCCTGTTCCCTGTGTCTCTGAATGTGTGTCCTCAGTCTTCATATTTGTCCCAAAATTGCAGAGCTGGAGCAGGTTAGACCAGCCCGCCCTGTGGAATCTCTGTGCAGGAGACAAGAGCCTTCCTAACCCGGCACTTGAACGATCTTCTAAGTCCCTCCAACACCCTCCAGTCCTTAGTGTGGGCTGCTGGAAAGGCAGTGGGCAGTGGAGGAGGTTGAGGGCAGAGCAGCCAAAAATAAAAAGGACCAGAAGGCAGGCGTTCACTCCCCCTCCCAGTGGGTGCACGTCTGATATCTGGGTAACAAGCATCCAAGTTGCAAACAGCTCTGGGCAGTGGGGAGAAAGCACCGTCCCTACCATCACACGTGCAACCCACCTGGCATCTCCTACACCCAAGGCATGGACACCCTCCCGCAGCACACCTAGACCGCTGACACCGAAGACCCGCGCTGCGCTGCCACCCCACTACCCTGCTCCAGAAGCCTGGAGTAAAGGAACCAGAGACAGTAAAAAAAAACTCATCCCGAGGCTGGCTGACCGCTGGAGCAGGGATGCATGCCCACAGTGCCCGGGAACCGCAGCGGTTCGAGCCAGGCGTCCAGCAAGAAGCCGGCAGCAGCGGTGTCCAATGCGTGCCGCACTCCAAAGCCCACCCCATCCAAGGAAGGCACTCCTCGTTTAAGTGTCCCTTCCTCCGGACAGAGGTGGGTGCAGAAGCAGGAGAAGAGACCGAGCTAGGGCTGCCTTACCCAAAAGCCCAGCGCCCAGCCATCTCGCCCGCGCCTCGCCTCGGTCCCCAGCCCCGGACATCGCTGTGTTCGCTCCGGAGCGCGCCAGGGGCGCGAGAATTGGATACAGGGCACCGCTGCGTTCGCAGCCCTCGGTCTGCAGTGGGCCGCGAAGCTGCCCGAGAGCTCTGCGCCGCCGGCCGGGCTCGGGAAAGTTAGCGGGGAGAGCGCCAGAGGAGAGCTGGGGGGGAGGGAGAGGAGGAGCCGGCTGCGGGAGCGGCTGCTGAGGGCACGCGGAGGAGAGGGAGGAGCAGGAGGAGCCGGAGGAGGAGCAGGAGGAGCCGGAGGAGCCGGAGGAGCTGGAGGACCGCCGAGCGACGCTGCGCCTCTGCCCTGGAAGCGCTCCAGCCGCAGGAGGGGCGGTGGCCGCCACGGAGCTCAGGGCGCCCCCGCCCGCAGCGCGCCCCGCTCGGCACGCCCCGCCCCGTGGTCCCGGAACCCCGGGGACAGGCCAGGATCCCCCGGTGCCTCTCCAGCTCGGGCTGGGCTGCTGCGGCTTGGCACTGCAGAGCCCGCCCGCAGGCGCCCTCACCATCCCGAGCGCAGAACTGCCAATTAAGAGGACAGTTTGGGGTGGGGGTGGGGGGCGGGGAGTAGAGACGGAGCTTTTCGGGTGTTGGGAGGCTGTTGTTTTGCTTTGGGGAGCACCGAGAGGGTGGCCGCTCCCTCTCGCCGGGCCGCGAAGGGACCGCTCGAGTGTCCGCAGCGGGCGCTGCCGCAGCCGGGGAGCGCGTGTGGCCTCGCGTCCCGCTGCCCCGGGCCCCGCGCGCCGCCTGCGGCCACCCCTGCGCGGGCTCCCGGGGGAGGGCCTCCAAGTGCAGCCCGCCCGCGCCCGCCGCCCACCTGCCTCGCATTCTTCACAGACTCCTCGGCAATCACGATGTTCCTGGTTAGGGAAGCAGGCCAGACCTACCAACATGCGTCTGGTCCTGGGCCCTGCGCCCCGCTTCACCCTCCAGCGGCACCTCCAATTTCTCATTTCACTTCCTCATCATCTCCCTCAAACTCCACCTTTTCGCCTTCTTCCAAGAGTTTGAACCCAGTAGGCTCCCGGGACCTCCCTCTGGGGGTGGAAGTGGAAGAAGGGCCTCCTGGCATCAGGAGGGGTCACAGCCACGGCCAAGAGCTGAGCTGGGCCTGAGCAGCAAGCCTTTTCCAGACAGTCTTGAGTTAACAGTGAGTAGTGCTCTTTGGGGTGGTTTGGTAACTCATGACTGATATGCCCCCTCAGCACCCCTTTCCCAACCAGCCAAGCCCCTCCTGCAACCACGGCCCCTTGTGTGCTCCTGAACCTCCATTCTCTGCATGTCTGGGGACTGGCGCAGACCTGGAAACCCAAGTCCACTCCATGGCCTCACACACTCCCACCTTTCAGGATCTTAACTTGAGGTCCACGGGTGCGCTTCAAAGTAATCATGGCCCCTGGAGATTGTACAGGAAATGCTCAAGATGGTTTGAGCCCCACCCCACCCCCAGGGGGGCTCGCTGAAGTTTAGTTGATGCCATGGGTAGTGACTCTCGGAAGTCAGATGCCCAGAGTCAAAGCCCAGGCCCAGCATTTATTGAGGAATGACCTTGAGCAAGTTACACAATCTTCAACCGAAGCCGCCTTTGTAAAATGGTGAAAGGAATAATATTGACCTTGTGTAGTTGTTAAGGGCAATGCCAACCTTAGGCCTGGGCAACGGGGGTGCCAGCTTCCTGCGTTGAGAGGTTCTCATACTGGCCCATCTCTGGCCATACCCATCCTCATTGGAAAAGGGTTCAGGGCACAGGAGGGGGATGAGGCTTGCACCTCTTCTTCTAGACCATGTTCCAGGTAGAGCTCTGGACTTATTTTCCAGGCCCATCCTCTCCAGAGCTGACTGTGCTAGACGTGCACCCATAGGCCCAGGGAGTGGGCAAGGCACAGCTGTGTGCAGGCCACCACAGGGCGTGCAGGTAGAGCATTCCCAGGCATGCAGGAGAGCCAGGTCCCTACAGGGCCAGAGGAGAGCAGACTAGGGAATGGTCTTGAGGCCTGGTCTTAAAATTAAGACCATGGCAAATGAATCACAATCAGAGGATGTTAGGTAAATTCTGACACTTTATTATCTTGATTTATAACTTATATTTAGACACATATGTTATTTCCATTTGTACACTTGCCACGGGCCTCACAAACACCAGAAGTGGCCGGGGCTGTGAAGGCTGAATAAGCATTGCTTGCCCATTTGAGGTCTCTGTAGAGGGTAGGCTGGATAAGCGTGCAGGACATTTCAGTTCTTATTATTCTCAAAGAGGTCTGTGGCCCCAAAAGGCGAAAGCTCTCCTCCCCCAGGAGTTCCCCACACAGATCAACAGGGCCAGGCATCTACACTGCTGGGCGCTTTATTTTTACAGCAGGGGTCATATTTCCCAGAGCAGGAGGCTTAAACGAGAGCAGAGGTGAGCCAACGGGAAGGAAAGTGACCCCTGCCCAGAGGAGGGGGAGGGGAGGGGCACGGGCCCTGGATATTTTTAGATCTGGATGACAAGAGGAGGTGCCAGTTTCCTCCCGAAGGCCTTCACCTCTGTGCCACCGCTGCCCAGCTACTCACCAATTCTTAGCACCGGGAGGGTCCTAAGGAAACCCACACGCCTCACAGATTCAAAAGAAAACACAACACGGGTCCTAAGAGGCAGGACTGGGGTAGCCCAAGGTCACAGAGAAAGTGACTGTTGCAGCCAAGATGAGAACCTCCCCCATTATTTGATTCCCTCTCTCCACACCCCCAGCTTTCCTCTAAAGAACATCAGGAGGGCTCCACAGTTGGGCAGAAAAAGTGCTTCAGAAATGCATTAGCGGCTAGAGGAGTTTTACATTTATAGAGCACTCACTTCCCTGAAAAATCCTCAAAACCCTACCATTGATCAGGCAGGAGGCTCCTCCCCAGGGAGCCAGGGAGAGGGCGCCAACAGGTCAGCGTGCCTTCTCTCCCACCTCTGCAAAACTCTCTCTTGGAAGAGGCACACCACCCACTACCCACTCAGGCCCCCATCACCCCGTCTTTGGGTGGGGGTGAGAAGGTGCCGCTCCCTTCTTGAGGGCGGTGCTGTCTTAGGCTCCGGCTGCACTTGACTCCGGGGATGGGTTATTCACGCTCTGGTCCTGGGTGGCCTGGCTCAGAAATACCTTGAAGAGCAAGTTTTCAGGGATGCAGAGAAGGATTGGGCCCAGCGCCAAGTTGCTGTCAGGAACTTTTCATTCCCAAGCTGGAGGAGACAGGACCTAGATTTAAGGGAAAAGAGACTGTTTTCTGGGCGGGGAGGGAGGGTTCATGCAGGGTCCTTTGAAGCAGTTAGTCCAACAGTTTTCTCTAAGACCAGGTGAACCCCTCGGCTCCTTCCCAGGGGCTCCCCCCTTATCCAATCAGGGAGCTGGACTCGGGGGAGGAGAACGAGGGGTATGGAGGCCAGAGCTGGGGGGTGGGGATGAGAAATCCTAAGGGCAGATGCCAGCTTCTAGCCTCTGGCAGAGGCTCTTACTCTGATAGGCACTCTAGGGGGAGGGAGGGGGGCGGGGGGGGCGGGGCAGTGCCGGGTTCTCACCTTCTACCAGGCTGCTGCTTGGGTGTCTCCATCACGGCCAGTTTTCAGAAAGCCGGTCAAGACCCCCGGCTCGGCTGGAAGGGGTAGGGAGAGCTCTGATGAGGTCTCCGGAGCTATTTTGAGAGGCGTTCCTCCTAAGTAACAAGAGCCTGGCAGGGATCCTGCTCCCCCTCCCGCACCCCTATTGCCCTTGCCTGCCTGCCTCCCTCCTCCCTCCCCATCAGCCCTCGCTGCGGCTCGAGTTGGGGCATTGCAGGTAACTGCTTTGCCAGTGGAGCGCTGACTCGGCTCTTAGAGGCTCTTAGAGCCTGAGAACTCGGGGATCTGCAGGGAGCCCCCCCCCCCACTTCACAGCCCCTCCCATCACCCAGAGCTGCGACTGTCCTTGCCTTTCCTGAGCTACCCTCTGGTTATAAAGAGGGCCCCAACCTCAGGACCGTGGCTTCTCTGCAGGCATTGACTTAAAAGCCCCTAAATCCTTCTGCCTCTCAGGTCGAGGGCTAGTGGACGCTACAAACTTTGGGAGCCTCCTTCTAGTGCACCCAGGTCTGCTCCCTGCCCATTCCTCCTCCCCATTCCTTCCCACCAGCTCAGGGTACCAGCTTGGCCCCAGCCGCAGTGTCAGCATCCGCTGGACTTTGGCAGGAGCTGAGGGGGTTAACCGGGCAGCATGCACCAAGCCGGTCCGCAGGCACGTGGCTTAGCAGTCCGGCAAGGAACTGGCACCTGGCGCCTCAGCACCTTTGCTCCCAGCCCACCTCCCGCCAGGCCAGCGAGCTGGAGTAAACTCTTGCTGAACCTCCTCCCCGGGAAGTCCGGGGTTCCCTCTTGCCCATCTCCACTTTCTAAGGGCTCTGGGCACAGGCAGGTAGGCAGCCACGTTTCCTACCCCTCCCTTCCTCTTTTTTTCCGTTTTCTCCCAGGTTCTATCCAAACATCCTTTCAGGCAAGTGGGGGGCGGGGAGCCCCAGACAGATGAGCTCATTGGGAGGAGGAGAACAGAGGGAGGAGGGAGCTGAAATGTCCTGCCCAGGAAGATGCTCTCCGGACAGTCCCGAGCTAGAGAGGGGCGTGTGCCCATGGAGCAGGTGTCTGCCCCCCTCACGGCAGCTCAGAGATGGGGTGAGTCCTGGCCACCTCTTTATTTGGGGCTACATTTGGGATGGGTTATGAAGTCCCAGGGCAAGGTCTCAGCCACTGTACCTAGCCCCTCAGAGCTGTGTATGCCGCTGTGCCCTCCCATCAAGAGAGGCTGGGGGCTCAGGAGGGCTGCGGTGGGAGGCATCGGGAAGGCTTGTCATTCGTTGCAACCTGGCTGCCCCAGGACTGCCTTGTTACCTGAACAGCCAGATGTCTGCCTGCCCTGGACCTGCTCCTGCCCATGAGCTGGGCACTGATCGATCCAACCAGCAGCATAAAATGGTACGGGGCGCCAGGCAGGACTCCTCAGATGTTCCAGTCCTGTCCTCTATGAACACTTTAGTGTGGGAGCAGTGGCTCTTAAAAAGTGGGGGAGCAGGGTGTGTTGGACTAGGAGAGGAAGGGTGGGGGTGAGGGAGGAGAAGGAGGAGAAATGGCAAGGCCAAGGGTGGGGGTGGGACAGAGGAAAGTCTTCCTGGAGTGAAGGGAACTTGGAGAAGTTGCAGACTAAGGCCGAGGAGGAAGGGTAGGGCGAGAGAGGCACCTGGCTAGAAGGTGAAGAAGCAGCTTTATAGGGTTTTGAAAGCCAAGAGAAGAGGAGTTGACCAAAGTTGTCTGCCTAGAGCTGTGGGGTCAAGGCCAGGCCATGCAGGGGTCAGGGTGTTAAGGGGTCTGCTGAGAAGGCTTTGCCTCTGCTTCCATCACTTTGACCCTTACTTGTGGTCCTTGGTCATTTGAGATTGGTGCTGAGACCCCGCCCCCCCACCTACAGTCCCCTGCCTTTTCTCAGCACGATGAGATAGATGACTTTGGCATGACACTGCCCTGAGTTTGAATTCTCGTCTGTTTTCTAGCTGTGTGACCTTGTGTGTGCATATACCCAATACAGCAGAATCGTGGTCTCCTCATTTGTAGACGCGAGGGAAGGATGCACATTAGGAGAGTTGTCCTGAGAATTAAGCCAGGTGATAGACATGAAGGCCTAGCTAATACCAGGCACGGACCAAGTACTCAAAAAATGATGCTGTCTTGTGAGCCCAGCCAGTTCTCACGCATCCCACCCCCTCACCCCCCAAGACTTTTCAGTCTGGCTAGGAACCCATCCTACCATGGCACCAGTGGCGAGCCCGCAGGGTGTGAATGTGCCCTGGGGCAGAGGCGGGAGACTGGAGACTGACAGAGCTGGGAGGGAGAAGTCCGAGAGCACTGTCATCTTGATCTGTAGTTCTCACTGCAGCACAGGGGGGCTTTGCTCAGGCTGGAGGACACAGCTTAGACTTGGGGGGATCTTTGGAAAGAAGTTCCCTGAGCATGCCTAGCTCCAGATCCCCACCCCTCCCAGCCTGTTTCTCACTGTGCAAGGGGCTCACTACCTCCCCTTCTCCCACCCTTAATAAATCAGGTAAAGAAGAATCAGATAAAGGGGTACAAGGCATAGAGGTATCCCGGGGAAGAGCGTGACTGGGTAAAACAGCAGGAAGACAGGCATTTGCCTATGTCTGTGTCTGATTTCTCTTCAGGCAAGCAAGAGTTAATCCTACTTCTATACTTTGTTTTTTTTTTTTTTGTTTTTTTTTTTTAAGATTTATTTATTTATACAAGCACTGGGGATAGTCAGAAGCTCGGGAGGGTTAGACTTTGAATCCTCACATGAAGACAGCAGAAGCCCATTGTCAGTAACTCAGAAGGCTTCTGAAAGTAGGCCCTGATATATGAATCTTCTCAACACCCCCCCACCCCCAAGTTAGGCTTGAATACCTTCCGGGATGGGGATCTCATTACTTCAGAGAAATTCAACCCTCTGCACAGCTCTGACTTACATTAGATCAATATCTGTCTCTGGCCACCAGCCATAATATTTTGTCTTGGGGCAGAATGGGACAAGTCTAATCCCTCTTCCCCGAGGCCACAGCCAGGGCAGCTGTATTGGCCAGCAGCTGTACTATGCACTTCCCCTCCAGGCGGAATACCCCTCTTCATCTCTCTGTGTCTCCTAGGAGAGGCTACTGAGGCACACAGTTCCTAGACCTTCTGCCACCTGTTTCCAGGGAACTTATCCCAGTTGTATAGGCAGCTGGGATTAAGGAAAGGGTGACTTTGCCAGGACTGTAAGGGAAAGCCCTCCTGTGGAATCCCAAGCAGCCAAGGTGAGAGTGCAGTGTCCATGTGACCCCCTTCCCCATCACCTCCTGGGCTTTCAAGGTCTTGATTACTAGAAAAAAGAAAAGCTGCCTTACCAGGCTGCCCACCCCCGACTCACCTGGTCCCATCACTTCTGCCCCCAGAGTTTTTCTCCCTTCTAGCCAGAGGCCTCCTCAACCTCAGGGAAGAGGTTAGGCTAATTTATTTTAGAGCCAAACTTCAAGACACTAGATTAGCGTTCCCTGCTGGGCTTCCTTTCCCAAGGCCTTCTGGAGTGCTCACCCACCAGGTGGCTAGAGCCTGTCCCAAGAAGTGGCTGGCACCCTGGACATCAGCATGATAGGAGGCTGCCAGGGTGACTAGAATCTGGGGGCTTCAGGTGAGAGGTCTGTCAGGGCAATGCCACCAGGGCCATCTGTGAAGAGATCCTGCAGACCCCTTCAGCAAAGGCCATCTGAGCCCCCAAAATGCCAGTGGGGGAGATCAGCAGACCTAGCAGGAGCTCACCCTCCTCCTGTACTGGACCCAGCTACCTAGCCCACATGCCCCCATCACAGCCCAGCCTCCCCCACCTAAAGTGTTTGGGGTACTACCCCCACCCTTGCAAGATGAGAGGGAGTCACGTGGCCTAAGAGGGAGTCCTATACAAAACCAACGAAGGTACATCACACTACTGAGGTGTGGGAACAAGACTCTGGAAATTGGAGCTAGAGGACATGAGTCTTCTTGCCCACGGGGAAGAGAAACTTGGGTTCCAGCCCAGGCCCTGTCAGTCCCTCTCTGAACCTCAGCTTTAAAACCCGAGTCCTTACGGGAAGAGTGTGAGCCTTTTCCAACCTGGGCCCACTGGGGCAGAGCAGGCAGGAGCCTGGGCTGGTGAGTGCTGCTGTGCTGAGCTGTGCTGGCCTGTACTGAGTGCTAGGCCCAGACTGAGTGTGGAGTAGTAAGAAGAACAATCAAGCTGGGGCCTGTTGCAAGATCTTGTCTTTATCTTTGATGGACACGTAGCCTTAAGCAACTTAATTCCCCGTGACTGGTCCTCAGTTTCCCTTTCTGGATAATCAGGTGTGACCAGGTAGTCCCTGGGACCCCTTTCATCTCTGATATTATAAAGGTCTACTCTCCTTTTGCCCCCCAACATCTGTTCTATGGACTGAAAGCTGCCGCTGAGGAGAGGAGGCAGGCCTAGGGCTGTGCCTGCACCCTGCAGGTGCGAAATGAAGGAGCAGTGGGGATCGAGAGACTCTCAAAAGAGATGTGCAGTCACCTCCACCTCAATCAAGGGGCGCAGGAAGTGGGAGACCAATTCCAAGCACCAGGATGAGGAGCCGGCCCTCCCCCCAGCCTTCAATCCTCCTCCTACCTCACCACCCCCACACCCACTCTAGGCAACTCACTCTGCAACCAAAACTACCCCAGCAGGCCCCAGCATCTGGGCCAAAGAACATTAATTTAGGGGAGCTGCCTGAGCCAAATCCAGCTCTCCCAGGAGCCAGGTCCAGCTTGTGTCCTCCAAACTGTGCAAGGAGAAAAGAATGAGGAAGATACTGGTGGCCTGGCTGAGTATCAGGGGCTGTTTTCCACCCCATAAAGTAGTAGCTGGGATCCCAGTGCCTTCTGAGGCTCAGTCTACCTCCCTTGCCTCACTTTCCCTATCTGTTAGGTAGAGAAGCAGCATCCCTAACACCCCATCCTTGGAAGGATGGGGAGGGAGGCTCTGCAGGGCAGATATCCCTTTAAACCAAGGTACCGTTTGTTCTATTAAATACCATCCTCCTCTGATTAATGCTGCCACCTCCCTCTGGCTTCTCTCTTAGGTAGAAGCTGTAATTCTTATAGGCATTAGGACTACCAATGTCAGGATTTTTCTGGAATGTTCTCAAATGTACTGGTGATGGTCTCTGATTCACCAGGGAACAGACAGAAGTGACAAAGAAATCAGGAGAAAAGTAGGAATCGAACACTTCAGTATTTCCTTACCATTTAGGAAGTTGAGATTTTTCAAGAGAGAAGGGCAGAGTGTGTCTGGGATAAGCGAGCTCCTAGGCCAGGAGCCTTTGATCCTGAACTCAGGCTGATGGCACAGCTTGGAACTCGGTGATGCAAATAGGATGTGAGCACCCTAACTCTTTCCCCCAGTCACCCCATCTGTGAAGTTGTTCCAGGACAGACTCTGGCCTGCTGTCATGTATTTTCCCCAAGTCCAGAGAAGGCAAAAGAGATGTCCGCCCAGTCAGACACAGCTGAGAAGCAGGTGCCAGGAAGGATGCCCCGTCCATCCACAGAAGAACAGGTAACATCAGCGTAACATTTAACCTTGGGAGATTAAAAGGGTGTCCTCCGAGAAGAGGGTGTTGAGCCACTCTGTGGTGCTGCTTCTGAGTAGGGTAGAGTCCCCCAGGATTCAGGGAAGGCAAAGGTGGGGAAGAAATGAAACCTCTGTCACCAGATCGGGGAGGCCTACCTCATCCTTGACCGGGGTCTGGCAGTGTCAATGGGCTTACCAGGAAAGGATCCTCCGGGTCCGTCAGGATCCTGGAAAGTCTCAGTGTACCCCACTCTGCACCCCTGAAAAAAGCCACACTCAAGGGATGTTCAGGGGAGACGATCTGTTTATTGTAGCCAATAAATCTAAGTGATAAGACAAACTGCAAAAACCTCAGTCCGCTCCAAAAAGCAGACACAGCACAGCCACGGGGTCGCAGAGGACCATTTCAGTTTCTCTCTCCACCACGTCTCCCATCCACCATGTAGCACGTAAAACCAAGAAAGTGCATGAAAGTAGTTGGGTCTCCCCCTTCATGTGCACAAAGAGCAATGAGAACATTCCAACATTTGCCTTTGGTGAATCAACTCAGAACATTGAGAAATGATTGTCCCCCTCTCCCCGCCACAATGTAACTTTTGGGGTGGGTGTAGTGAGATGTTTTTTTATTTATATATATAATATATCTATACCTATATATAGACTATGTACAAATGCATCAGCAAGCTTCAGCAAAGGAAGACACAGCAAGAGGCACAGCGAGAGACAAAAGCTGTCTATCCTTAAGACATTAGTAGGAAGGAAATTTCTTGATTCATCACCCGTTCCAACTGCACCAAGTCATTCCTGTTTTCTGGGGCTGTCCTTTTGGACCTAGTCAGTCCTTTCCATCATCCATCTGCTTAACCTGACTTTGTAGATATTTACTAGCCCACCTCCCCAAGGAAACTCGCAGGGAGAAATACGGCTCCAATCAGCTTTTCCTTTTTATAATAAATCGGATATAACTGTGATGAGCCCATAGGTAGGAGGGCAGCTATTTCCAAAGCCAGTTCCAAGGCACCTCACGGCGTTTCAGTCCTGAAAATGTGTGCTTTGCTCTTATAAGCTAAATCTCATCGGTCAGCCAGCCCTTCTCTCTTTACAACGGCCCTGAATTAGGAGGAAGAGACAGATAGGGGGTTCAGGGAGAGCAGGAGGGCCAAGGGCAGTTGAGAAAACCAGCAGACTCAACTCAGCAGAGCGCAGTGACAGGGACATGCAGCCAGAAGTGGGACTGACAACCCACCGAGCGGAAGAGGAGCAGCTTGCTGGTACAGAGAGCAGGCTAGAGAAATGGCTGCTGCGGAAACATCTCACCGGCTTCCCATCTCTACTCACAGAAGCCCCACCTTGTTCCCAACCTCCTTGCCCCGGGGGAGCAGCTCTGAGGCCTCTGGAGGAGAGTCTAAGAGGCTAGAGAAGAAAGTGCTTATGAAGGTGGGCACCTGCGCAAAGGTGGGTCCCGCTTGTCCCTATCTGCTGGTGGAGAGGCACTGCTCTCCGAGACCCCAGTGGGTCGGGGCAGAGCAGGGAAGGAACCCAGAAGGAGAGTTAGGAATTGTTAGGATAAGCCCAGGGAATCTTGCAAATGAGTCCCCTACATGTTACGAGTCCTGGAAAAAGACAAGTTCCCCGCATCAGCATAGATTCTCCCTCACTCCTCTGGGAGAGGAGAGCCCAGAAGAGGCGAGAGCTGCATGTGGCCGAAGTGTCTGACAACCACCCTTGATCTCGGCTGGAGTGAGGTGCCCGCCACCCACCTCTCCCTGTGTCAGCTGCTCGGCCTGCAGGTTGGGCAGTGTCTGCAGGCCCCAGGCATCCTGGTGGCTTCGCCCATCCCCATTGGCAGTGTGTTGATTGGCAGTTAGGTACTGAGCCGTTGAGTTAGAATTTCCGGATGAGCTGGCCCCACCCCACCCAGAAGCTATCTGGCTGGTTGCTCACCCTCACCCTGTGTCCACTCCGCCCTCTCTCCCTCTTCCCTGTTATATCTTCCCTGGTTTCTTCCTTTCCTCCCTCCCCAGGGCCCACAATCTGGAATCCCTTCCTGCTTCCTCAGCTCCAGCCCCAGAAGCATGGCTGCAGAGATGGAATTAGATGCACCCAAAATTTTAACCTTGGTCCCCACAGTGCTGTCCTGGCAGTTCCCAACTCTTATGGCTTTGTGTGCGTCCCTGGCACCTGCACGGCGCCTGGCACATGGCAGATGCTCAATAAATGGATGTTGAATTGACGTGAATTGAACTGAAGCTCCCATTTGCTATTGCTCTCTCCCCAGATTGGCCATCTGATGGGCAGAGGCAGAGAATGGTCCCTGAGACTGTCAGTCCTGTCTGTACCTCCTTTCCCCAGACTCGTCCCTGCCCTGGGCACTGACTCCCTGAGTCAGGGCAGGCTGAGCGCCCGGGAAGGCCGGGAAGTGCTGCAGGGGTCAGCCAGCGGGGAAAGAGGACACTGCCCACAGCTCTGCCCTCAGCCCTTCACTCCATCCCTGCCCAGCACAGCCTGGAGGGGCCTGGGAGATGAGCCCAGCTCCTTTGCTTGTCCACGCAACCCCCCCCATCTCCCAGGCCCCTCCTGCCAGGAAAACTATGGCTCTTGATTTAAACTGGAGACTGAGGCGCCAGAGGAGCTGCAGGACCCTCAGTTCCTGTCTGTGTGTTTGAACTTGTTCCCTCATCTGTAGCCTGAGTGACTTGGTGAGTTGGTTTCTGAGGGTCTCCCAAAGGAATGTTCTCCAAGTCAGCAGTTTCTCTGTCTCTCTCCCTGTCTAGAGGCTTAAGCGATTTCTTTAATGTGATTATAAATGGCAGTGAAAGTTGGCTCCCCACAAATCCTACTTTCTTCCCCACGGAGGGAGTTCAGGGTGGGGGCGGCGCGGCTCCAGAAGGGACCTGGCTCCTGATCTTAGAGGCCCCAAGACCTCCCCTCACATTTCCCACTTGCCTTGAGGCTTTCCCTGCCCAGTTGTCTGTAGGCAAAATCCAAATGACACCCCCAGTGAGGGTAAGAGGCAGGAGGGATGTCCAGACAGGCCCTGAACGGAGCTGTCCAGCTCTGCAGGTCAGCTCGTCTGGCCTTGGCTGCCCTGGTGGAAGGACAGGATGCCTGCTGCCAGCTCCACTTTCCCAGGGAGGCCCCGACCCCTCACTCCCTCAGCCGACTTTGAAATTCATTTCCTGCCAGTGGGTAATTATGGAGGGAAATGACCAGCACCTGGAACAACACAACCCACCCAGCTGCCTTTCCACTATGACCCTCACCCCAAATCCCAAGGAATTAGCAGCCCACAGAAAACCCCCAGGTATCTGTGGCAGCAGCTAGAGAGGGACAAGAGAGTGAGAGCGGAGCTGCCTGGGCCAGGGCTTTCCTTCAATGCCCAGGAAATGCACAGTTGTCCCTTTAACCTATACCCCCAGCACCACCCCCAGCCTGACAGGGATGCCCAGGGCTGGGAGCAGCGGGGGGAGCTGGGAAGGCCTCTCCCCAACCACAGGTCCTCTCTGAAGTCCCTGCCACCAGCCAAGTCCCAGGGCTGGGCAGATTGGGCACCGAGCTCCCCCTCCACACTGCCCACCCTCCCCTCTTCTCTCTGGAACCCCCCTCCTCTCAGGCAGGTTTGAGCCCACTTCTCCCTCCCCAGGGCCCACACATCCCAGATGCCATGACACTTTTCCCAAATGAAAGAGAGGTGGGTCACTCTTGGTGCAGGGTGGGGGACACAGTGAGGGGTTCAGGAGGCCCCAGGTGGGCGCTGGGATCCCTGTTCAAGAGAAGCACACTGAGAGAGGGCAGGCAGGGGCACACTGTGCGGGGCGGAGTGGAGGGAGCGGGACACCAGGGGCCGGGCGCCCGTTACTTGGTGCCCTCGTCTGCGTTACCCTCTCCATCTGTCTTGCCCTCCTCCTCTGTCTTCAAGTCATCCGTGCTCAGTTTCTGCTCTTTTTTCCTCCTCACACACTTCACCACCATCAGCACCAAGATGACCACAGCCAGGAAGCCCCCCACAGAGGCACCCACGATCACCGCCACTGTGGAATCCCGCTCAGGGGGCTCTGGAGAAGGAAAAGACACAGAACTGCTGAGCACAGGGGCCACAAAGGGGGGCCTCCTCCTCTGCCCTCTGATCTTAGCACTGTGTGGGGTGGTCCTGACTACTCTCCTCCAAGGAAAGACTTGAGTCAGAGAGAAAAATCAACCCTCCCATTGACTGGAGCGCTCCACCCACACCCCCAGGGGAGGGTGGATACTGCAGAGCGTGGACTTCGAACCCCACAGACCCAGATTAGAGTTGCAATTACTAATCCTCAGTTTCTTCATTTGTAAAGTGGGAATAAGTGGGAATAAAATAATACCCTCCAAGGAGGGCTTGATGAGGATGAAGTGTCATAACCAAGTCTAGTCCTATAACTGAGACACAGTAAGTGCTGGGGAGGTGAAGGTGCTATTACCATAAACAAGATCACGACCTTGACCACTGTCCTGAGGACTCTGTCCAGTTCTGCAAGAACTGGAGGGAATGAAGGGATGCCTGGGCCTTCCTGGTGGTGCGAGGGGTTGAGCGCAGCGCTGTGAGGCTGTCTGTAGTCTGTGGCTTGAATTCGCTCCCTGGCTGGCTGGGGAGCAACCCACATGGTGCAGCAGACCTCTCCTGTCTCGCCCGCTGCTCCCCTCAGCAGTGCATTTTGGTACATCTGACTGTTCTGCTCCCCACTCTCTGTAGTGAATCTTCTCACCTCCCACAACTCTGGCCTGTACCCCATTTCTAAAAAAAAAAAAAAAATTGGGATGCCTGACCCCAGTCCAAGCTGCTGCTCTCAGGGCACAGCCTCTCCAAAGTTGCCCCAAGCTGATACAGCCCAGAGTAGTTGGGCAGGAAAGGTCAGATGGGGCCGGTTCTGGGGGGCCCCCACCCCGCCCTCACCTTCCAGGAGGACCCTCAGGTTGATCTTGCCGTGGCCGCGGTTGCGGTCAGGCGGGTTCATGATGTAGCAGTTGTAGATGCCCTCGTCCTCCAGCTGCACATTCTTCAGCATTACTGACACGTCGTACTTGCTGGGGTTCCCCGAGAACTCCACTCGGTCTCGGAAGCGCTCCAGCTTCAGGTTAATGATCTTCAGGCGAAACTGGAAGAACTGGGGGTTGGACAGGGACAGGACAGAGTGCTAGAGGGGCAGCAAGCAGGATGCTCCCCCTCCTGGGAACCCTCTTTCCTGCAAGCAAGACTGCCACACCCCAAAAGGGCCCACCTCCTCCACCCTCCCCAGGCCACCCAGGGGTGACATCAAGGTATCCTCTGCCAAAGCCTTCCACAGAAAGCCCACCAGGGTCCAGAGGAGGGCCAGTGGGTGGGAGACGTGGGCTTCCGACTGAGAAAGGGCCCCTCACAATACTGCCCCCGCCCCCTGTCCTGCCCATCCCAGGCTTCACCATCTCCTCGGTGCAGTTACTGCACTCCTGGTACGTCCAGTTCATGGAGAACTGCTTGTGGTTCACTGTGTAGCAGGAGTTGAAGGTGCAGGACAGGCGGGCGTCGGAGCCATTGAGGACGTTGAGGTTGGTAGGTACTGTGACTTCCATGCTCCGCCCCGGTGGCACTACAGACAAAGTCACAAGCTGATGAGGATTCAGGCTGACAGGGAGGGCGCAAGGTGGGGAGTGGAGCTGTGGCAGAAGCTTGGGTCTCTGATGTTTGAAATTAGTTTGGGGGTACGGGGGATGTGAAGCTTATAAAGTCTCCTGGGGTTAAGCTGGCTGAGCAAAGCTGGGATGGAGAAAGATTGTATTGTCTGCCAAGCCAGAGACCCCTGAGAACCTTCTCCAGGACCCCTGTGGGGCAGCCTCTCCATCTGGCCATCTGACCCCACTCCTGCTGCTGCCACCTGCTTGATGAAGACCTTGGACAAGGGGCTTCACTGTGCTGGCCTCAGTTCCCCCTTCTTCCTTCTACCTCTTCCAATCATCTTTGATGAGTCAAAGTCCTCCCAGCTAACGCCGGGAGCTCATGAGGTGGGCAGCCTTGAGGACAGATGGAGATTCCAAAACCCCAGGGCCAGAGTCAAGCAAGGTGCCTAGTGCAGCCCAGTGCCCTTCTTTTTCCTCAGCCTTCTGGCAGGCCAGGAAAAGGTCCCCAGAAGAAGAGATGTCATTGCAGGGAGCACTTGATGGGTCCACAGGCACAGGAGTCCCTTTGGGATAGTCAGGCCTGGAAAGACACAGCTAGGACTGATGCAGGCCAAAAGGAGGCCGGTGGGAGCCTCAGGCTTCTGTGGATCCTATGAGCAGCACCAGTGTTTGCTCAGGAGAGCTGTGGGCTGGGGCTGAGAAATACCCCCAACTCTGACACCTAAGCAGGGCAGAGTCTAGGGTACAGGCAGTCTTGGGAGAAAAATTGAAGGCCCCCCCCTCACTCTCAGAGTTACACACCTCCTTAAATTTTGTATCCTAGGCACCCCTCTCCCTGCCTCACCCTTGTCCTGGCCTTCATTCTAAGATTCTCTGCCAATACTTAGAACCTCCTCCCAACAGATGAACTTTCTTTACAGAGGGTAAGCAGCGATGCTCCGCATCAATCATTCACTCATTTACCAAATATTTATAAATCTCCCACAATGGCCTAGACTAAGCCCTGGGGGATTGTTGCTGTGAACCAGACAGGCAGGCTCACTGCAACATGCAGCTTGTATTCTAGGGAGGGGGAGACACTAAAGGGAAAAAAGAATAATGTGACTTTCAGTAGTGACCCATCACAAGAGCTATAAAAAACAAAGCAAGATAAAGGGGTGCTATTTTAGGTGGGTGGTCAGGGAAGTCTGCTCTAAGGAGGTGGCATTTAGGCGACCCTGAAGAAGTGAGGCCATGAGCCAGTAGAAGTTTTGAGGTGCTCAAGTTCCCAGGCAGTGGGACATCAAGGTCAAAGTCCCAATGACTGCAGGAACACAGCAGCGCCCTGGCAAAGGCCAACGGTGAGGCCTCAGGGCCAGGAGTCAGGCAGGGAGCAGGCCACAGAGCATGGGAGTCGGAACACGGAGCTGGGATTGTCGTCTTCTGAAATAAGTAGTCACTCGGGGGCTGTCCAGGCAAGAGCTATGGCTGTCAATATAGGAAGAACACAGACCAGGAGACCCTTAGATGTGGGTTCAATCCCAATGCCACCTCCATCAGCTGGGAGGACGTGGGCAAACTCCTTCACCTTCTAAGCCTCAGTCTCCTCTGGAAGGCACAGGTGATAACGCCTACCTACCTTCCAGGGTTGTTCCCATGATTAAATAAGGTAAAATACATAAGCACAGTGCTCAGCAAGCTCTGATTATCCAAAATCCTCCTCAAATTCTGCCCCCTAAAAGAAAGGGCTTCTGGGAGAGTCTCCCAGGAGAAAGTACCTTGGGGCCTGACCCCTCAGGCCAGCCCCTGGGAATTCCCTCAGACCTGACACACAGCCCACGTCCAGCTGCTGGTAGGCAGAGGAGCCCCCGAAGGTCTCTTACTTTTTGAATTGTTTTGATTCAAACAGCTGCTTGGCCCCACCCCAGAAGCAGAGGTACTGCAGCCTGGAATCTGGGAGAACAAAGTTGGCCCCAACAGCCTTGACACAGTCCATCCCCCAGGATGAGGGGGCAGGGAGAGCAGGTGGGGCAGAGGAGATACTCTGAACTGTTGGCCCTGGAGGTCATGACCCCTGAGCCCTGGATGGAGGGAGAGGTAGGGGACCCACCTGCAAAACCAAGGACCCCAGGTGTGTGCAATAGTGCTCATTAGGGGAGTTGATGTGGGGAGGCTAAGGGTGACCCTGCAGGAAGAACAAAGCCCAATTCCCATGTCCCCACTTTTATGGCCATTATGAAATCACAGCGCCAGGCAAGAAGGTGTACAGAAAATTCCAGCGCCACCCCCACTCTGCAGAGGCAGAGAAATCTGCAGGGAAGGAGCCTGGCAGGGCCTTGTCCTGAGCTCGCCTTGTATTGCAGTAAGTCCCTGCCACCTTCCCAGGCCTGTCCCCTTCCCCACCAGAAGCACCTCCACCAGAAGTGACATCAGGAAGTAGCTGCTACAGTCTGAGTGACCCATCCCTGGCCTCTCCCCTGCCCAGGCCCACAACATCACACCTATTAGAACTTGAACCCCAGTGGGCAGCTCCAACCATCCTGAAGAGCCAGAATCCTGGTGTGTGGGAGGGCAGAGCTGTGGGGAGTGAGGGGCTTTGGATGGCAGGACGGGGACAGAGAGGTGCAAGGCGGTGCCCCTCTGCGGCATCCCTACTTTGCAGACCCGCAGGAGGAACGCATGTGCCCTCTAGTGGCCAGAGAGGTCAAAGACAAGTCCCAACTGCAGGGAGAAGGCGGGAGACACCACCAAACTAGAAAGTCAGGGGGAGAGCCTCAAGAGCTGCAACTCCAGCCCTAGAGTTTTACCAGCTTGGAAAATGAGGGCCTGAGGGAGATGCTCACAGGCGAGAGAAAGCAGGGGCCAGAATCATGGTTCCTGACTTCTAGTCCTGAGCCCCCCACTTCAACCTGAGACCTCTCCAGGCTACCAGGCTCCCTGTCTCAAGGCAAGGGCTTTGGGCTTGCACCAGCCCAGGCCCTCATTAAAGATGAGGCACATATAACACAATGAGGTCAGAGCTGTGAGCAAAATCCTGCTGTCTTGACCTCTGTCACTTTGGGAAAGTAGCCAAATCCACACCAAGGCCCAAAGAAGGACTTCGTAACCACAACAAAGAGCAGGGTTATGCTCTCCACAGACACAACAATCTTATTATCGTCCTTACTTTCCAGATAATGAAATGAAGCACAAAGAAATTAAATAAATAACCTAAGTTCACAGCTCTAATGACAAGGCTAGATTTGAACCCAGGGTCCAGGTTCCAAACAGGTAAGGGTATGATTGTCGTTGAAGGTATCCCAGGGATGGAGCCAGCCCCATCTGTGCCATCCCCCAGCTCTGGGCAGGCTGGCCACAGGGGACTGGATCTTATGATTTCTAATAACAGAAAGGAAGTGATGATCAACAGGGGTTAGGAGTTAGGTCCAGAGCATTCCCTGTGCTCCCCCACCCCCGCCCCTGCCTTTCTCCATGTCAGGCCCACATCATCCACTGTTTTAACTGGCCCACCTTGCAGAGATCACAAAGATTTGCTTATTTTCTGCCAACCACCATCTCCTGCAGAGACTGGGATTTAATTCTTTTTATTCTTCATTCCAACCCTACAGCAACTATCAAGGTGGACTTATCTTATTCTTGATTTTAACAGGGTAGAGAGACTGTCTACGCACAGAAATTGTCTCCTCAGCTTTCTGGGGCACATTGTCTCCTGGGGCAAACACTGCCTCCCAGGTGAGTGTGACATGCATCCCCCATCTCCTGCATGCTTACATATGAAACTTCCTGCACCCCAAGATCAATCCTTCCAGACCAGTCCATCCCATGCAGCCTTGATTTCAACCTTCTTCATCACTCCTCACCGCAAAACCTGCGCTGGCTCTCTGTTGCCTTCAAGACCAAGTCCAGGCTCCGGGGCACAACTTCTGAGGCTTTTATCCTCTGGGACCTAGCTCATGAGCCTAGCTCATGTCCTCAACCTGCCCTCCTCTCCTGCCACCTCCCACCCCTCCATCAGCCTCCATTCCAGTAACCCCAGAGTTCCTTCTTTTCCAGAAAACACCCCCTTCTTTCACTCCTTGCACCTCTTTGCCTCAGATTGGAAGCTCTTTCACCCTTCAGCCCCTAAAGCCCTCCTACTTTTCCTGCAGATCCCAGCTAATAAGGCTTCAGCTCAGGGACAGCTTCCCAGCGCCTGTGCCCTCTCCCCAGCCCTGTGCCCGTGGCAGCCACGTGACTCAGAGGCAGAATGGCAGTGACAAGGACCAGACAATGTAACCTCCCTGCACCTCAGTTTCCTCATCTCTAGAGCAGGAGATAATGGCAGGGCTGCTGTGGGATTAAAAACCTTGCTAGCATATGTCTCACAGCAGTGTGTGGCGCCTGTCAGCTCGACAGGGCTTAGCTGCCATTATTACCACCACGCTTCCTGTTATTGTTACCACCGCACCTAGGACACGGCATTGTTCTTACTTGTCGATGTGTCTCTGTCCCTCAGGTGGCTCTGGGGAACTGATTCTTATTCATCTTGGTATCCCTGGGCCCAAAGCTGTGTGTGACACACAGTGGACATGCAACGAAAGTCCACAGAAGGCAGGGTAGGCCTCTGCCCTCTGTCTACCCCCAGCAGCAGATCCATGCAGCAGGCCTGGCCAAGGACCAGACTCCACTTTCTAGGCCTCTGTCTGCAAAACCCAGACATTAGGCCAGGCCGGAGCTAGCAGTCTTGAGAAAAATTCTAGGCAACCCAATCATTTGGATTGTTCCTGACTAAAACTGGTCTCCTATGCTCCTGTTGCGTATCCAGAGGTTGCCTAGTTTGCCCCCACCCCTTGGCCAGCTCTATACTCTTCCTCACAAACCCAGCCCCTGGCCAGTCCCCTCCTTGTCACTCATAGAATATCTCCATCTTGGGACTGATGCTATTACAGCCACCAAAGTTCCACTGTCCATGCCAGCCCTCTGCCCTGGAGTGCCCAGGACATGTTTACCCACACACCAATCAAGTTCAAGTCCAAATCCCCACTCCTGCGTCCTTCCTGAGCCTTCCCACAATCCCCACCCCTCCTACCCCTGCCCTCCCCCGTCCCACCCAGGTTTGGAAAGGCTTTAGCTTTTTCCCACCACCTCACAGCTGCTATGCCCTGACCTCTTCATCCCAGACTGTTTTCCCCTAAGCCACACCCTGGTCCTGGTCACAGAGGCCCTTTCCTCTCCTCACGCAGGTCAGGCTCTCACAAGTCTGTCTCCCTCCCCCAGTGGTTCTCCTCATCTCCCAAAGGAGCTCCACCCCCAGCTGCATACACAGAGGCCATTCACCCAACTCCCCCTTTTTACTGGCACTTGTGATTCTATCATCAACTATTGTTAATAAGCAGCACTGTATCTTCAACACTGAGAAACCAGCAAAGTATCTAAGTTAAACAGCTAAGAAACCATGACAAACAGGGGTTCAAATCTCAGCTCGCCTCAAACTAGTCATGTGATCTTATAAGGAAAGTTACCTGACTTCTCTGTGCCTGTCTCTTCCTCTATAACATGAGAATGCCAGCATCTACCTCCCACAAGGACTAAGAAAGACACACAGCACACGCGAGCATGCTCGTAAAGGCCAGCTCTGATGGAGCACCCGCGGCGTGCCAGACCCACAAACAACCCAGGCAACAGGTAGGTATTCCCCGGTTCACCCGTGGAAGAACTGAAGCTTGGAGGGGTTCTAGTAGCTCTATGGTCACGAAGTAAATGACAAATGTGGCTTTACACCCAGACCCGATTTCAAGACTCATGGTCTTTCTACTCCCAAGTTTCTATAACATTTCTGCTGGGTTGTTGATATATCCAATAACTCAGCAGATCTGGTAGGCCTTGCCATGCAGGCTGCCAGGGATGCTGTGCTGTTCTGCCTAGCTCTTCTACCTAATACCCAGCGTGGTATGCCAGAGACCGAGAGACAGACTTTGTCCTAGGGAATATTCCCGCAGTCAATTCTTGGACTTGAACCTCAGTTACTACACCAGCAATTACTAGGTTTAGGAATGAGAATGAAACTACTCTAAATCACACTTGCAAATAACTGTCTAGCCCACCGACCCACCAGGAAAGTGGTCAAAATGAAATTAATATCCAGGCAATTTGACAAGACAGTCTGCGTGGCCGGATTGAGCGGTTCTGGAACATGGTCTTAATGGGCCAGAGCCTCGCCCAAACTAGGGGCTCCTTTTTATTCTGTTTTTCCTGATCCTATCACCTGGCCCCTCCTCCACTTCAGCTGGCTCAAGCCAGAGGTAACTTCTCTATCAGCCTGCTTCACCAGGTCCCCTCCCAATCCAGAAATCGCTGCTCAAGCCTGATTCCCACCTACTTCCCCCACACATTTCAACAAATCAGGGGTACAGATTTCCAGGGAACCAGACCAAGACTCAACTTTCTGCCCTCCCCAACTCCCCCATATACTCTCCTAATATCCTAAATCTACCAGATCCCAAGGAACAGGGTTTATGGAAGAAGCCCTTTAGGGGAGCATTAAGTCCCAGAACCCCACAGATTTCAGATTAAAGAAAATCCATAAAGAGTCTGTAGATCTAGCTACCCTCTGCCCCCACCCCCATGTAGGTCAACTTCAGGGAAATCCAAAGAAAATCACCTCCCTAGATAATTGTCAGCCCCAAGAAACTCAGATCCCCTGACCCAACATTTCTGTGGCAACTATTCCCAGCATGATGCAGCCCCCAGCAATGTCTCCCCCAGACCCGGCAGGCACCTCCCTTCCCAAGGACATCAAAGGGAAGCTTAGCTATGTCTCCCTCCTGCCCCCTTCCCCCATCCACTTCCAGGCGCCTCTGTACTCGGGACCCTCGGGAGCATGCAGAGGTACAGTCTAACTTACCCAAAGAGAAAAAGAGACTGAGCCCCGTGAGACTGAAGGCAGGGCGAGGTAGCCAGGCATCTTTGTGCATTTTCAGACTGAGATGTTAGTCGGGTGGGGTGTGGGAGAGGGTGATTTGAGGGGCGGAGGGCTACAAGGGAGAAATGGTTAAATGCTAAAAAGAAATGCACAGATGTACTTCAAAGACACATACAACATTAAGGAAGCTTTATTTCCATCTCTCTAATATGGCCGGCTTGTATGTTGCTGCTTAAAAGAGAGAGGGAGTGTGTAAAGGAGAGAGAGAAAAGGGGATGGAGTAAATTTTGTGGTTGGTGGATTTCAAAAAGCAGGTGGAAGGGCATGAAAAAGTCTTTCTGCAAAGAACAAAATTCCTCAAATTTTTACCCTCCAGAGCAAGCACGAAAGCAAATCCTGACTCTCCTCTTTACTGGGATGCTTGTTGGGTTTTGAAAGTTGCCAGAGGCACACATTTATCTCAAAGCTGTCATCAGGGAGAAACTCTTTTGTCATTTAAAACTCCCCCAAAAAGGAAATGCTTGTTTTTTTGCATTATGGAGAAATGGTTCAGGAAAATGAATTGAGGAAACTTTTAGGAAGTAATGACTTCTTCGTTTTTTGTGAGTTTTTTTTTTTCCCTAGCATTTCCATTGAAAACAGAACACATCAAAGCAAACTGGTGTAAAAACACCTAAGAGATTTTGCAATCCAGTGTGAGGCGAACCTATGGGGAATTCTGATTCCATCAACTCAACAGTAAAAAGACATTTTAAGACAACGGGGAAAAAAATAAATATAGACTGGGCACTATATCATATTAATGAATAATTCTTAATTGTTTGGGAGGGTGATAAAAATATAATTATCAGTGTAATTATTTATTACACTGAAGTGTCTATAGGTGAAATGATAATACTGGAATTTGCTTTAAAATAGTCCTTGGGGGCAGGAATGGGAGGGTTGGGGGTTGTCAAGAGAGGTAGGTAACAGCTGGCTATTGTAGCTAAATGTTGAAAACCCTAGCCAGGGCTTCCAAGGGGGCCTGGTACAGTTCTCTCTTCTGTTGTGTGTCTTTGAATTATTCTTCTTTTGAAAGAGGAAGACAAATAGGCTAATGTAACAAGGAAAATTTGGGATGGAGACTCAAAGTGACTCCAAACACAGAAGGTGACCCCCCCCTTCTAGGGAGCCACCGAATAAGAGCACATGCCCTCAGGCAGCTGTCACAGGAACTGTGATGGGCCATTGATGCACCAAAGAGAGAGCAACTAGTATTTCTGTGCATTAGCTCTGTGCCACGTGACAGCTCAACTTAACAGTAACCTGGGATAGTTCATTTCCTTCTTTTTTAAAATGAAAGCAAGAAAACACAGCTTCTTAGGATCTAGGAGTTATAGGCAGAGCTGGAGATAGGATTCAAACTGAGGTGTGTGTGAGAAACACTGGGGATTCCTGGGATTCCATACTATCTACCACCTAGGAGGCTATTTAAAAAAGCCCAAGGAAGGGGTCTCCAGGGATGATAAAAAGGAAGGGGCCAAGAAGAGAGCATGGAGGAACTAATGAAGGCAGCTCTGTGCTTGGCGCAGAGCACTCAATATGCAGGGGCTGCTTAATGCCAGGGGCATGTCTGAAAGAATGAATGAATGAATGAATGAACGAATGAACGAATGAATGAACGAATGACCTGGGAGAGGGAACAGGGAGAAGTGGACATTTGTCATGAAGGCAGTGAAATCTAACAATTGCTGCTAAAGCTCTTCTAGCTGGGAGAGAAGTGGGTCAGAGCTTAAAGGTAGTGGCTGAAGGCAAGAAGGTGGAGTGGAGGCTCTGTGGTTCTCCCACACCAGAGGAGGTTGTCCAGGCTCCAATCTTACACAGATTCTGTCCTCAAAGTGCTCTGTCACTTCTCTAGGGTCTGGCTGCAGCTGGTTTATCCACAGAGCACACAGCCCATATGAAGGAAAATCAAGGGAGGAAAGGAAGGGGCTGCCAGAGAGGAAGAATTCTCTGGTGACAGTGGCCAGGCTGCCTCTCACTGTGCTCAGGCTCCAGGCCCCCTCACCATTGGCAGGTGTACCCAGGGGGTAGATGGCACCAGTTTGGGGCCTCAGCTCCCGCCCATGCCATCCCAGACTGCAGCACAGCCTCCCATGCTGCCGCAGGCACATGTCAGCCAGAGAGATTTGGTTTGATGTAGCCGGCCTCCTCTTTTTTAAAAAATGCAGCTAAAGGTGCCTGTGAGGCCCAGAAACCAAAGGAAGCTGCTTACCCAGCTCCCTTGGTTTCAAGCTGGGTCCAGAAGCTTCTTTTTGAAGGCATCTGAGACATGAAATGGATACAGAAATGGTTCCTCTGTTTCTATCTAGAATTTTGCTGAAACAGGATATAACATATAACAGAATAACCCTGTCCACCTCCACCTTCTAGGACCAAGTGTCAGAAGGTGCCAGATCATGAGTAAGGGACTCTGGCAGGGGGAGAGTGTAGGGGCGGGAAGGCACAGTGCAGGTTTTCTATGACCCGAGCAGACGGGGTAAAGGAGGAGAGTCTTTGAGACTTCGGTGGCTTTTTCAAGGTTTTATTGAGTTTACCAGGTACATGGCAGGCAGGGGTGTGGGGCGGGTGGGGGGGGGGGGCAGGAGCCTGGCAGCCTTCCTAGCCCCCAGCAAATCTTCTCTCTTTACTGGGCTCTCTCTGGCATTCTCTTCCCCTCTCTTACTCATTCTCCTTCCGGTGTTTCCGTTCCATGACGCTGCCCTTATAAGCCCGTCTCAGCCCAGGTGAATCCGACCTACATATGCCCTCACCCCGCTCCAGGTGCCCGCCATTAGGCATGCATTCAGGACCACAGAGATCCATCATCAATCCTAATGGCAGGGGGCAGAAGCCTGACAATCATTTACCATACAGAGGGCTACCCCAAAACCCCCACAGCTCAGTTGGACCTCCAGATGCCCATTTGCTCCAAAAGAGTATGCCTTGCCTGGAGCCAGTAGAAGCCTGGAAGCAGAAACTCAAGAAGGTCTTTGCAGAATGAAGACACCTATGTCAAAGATAGGCTTTTTGGGGGTGAAGCCCTGATTTTGGTATTTCTACCCAGTGCCATTTATCAATGAAGATTTTATCAGACAACACTCCCCTATCCACACTGCTGGAAAAAATTTTACAAATAATTAGAAGGAAGGCAGTTTCATTTTAGCTTTAGAAGCCTAGAAGAGACTAGAGAGAATCTTCCCACTTACCTTAGGGCCTCACTTCTCAGAATGTGGTCCCCAGACCAGCCTCACCAACATCACCTGGGAGCGCTTAGAAATGCAGAGCCACAGATCCTGTCTCAAACCCAACATTTTTCATAAGATCTCCAGCTCCTTCCTGAACACACGAAAGTTTGAGAATTGCCTTCAACTAATATTAAGAGGTTTGCCTCCTGTTAGCAAGGCACTGTGAGAAGCCAGGTGTGGGGAGTTGGGGAGAAGGAATAGCTACGCAGGAGCAAATTTAGGATTCAAATGATGACCTCAGGTGATCTGCAGAGCACAGGGCTGCCTGTTCATGGACAGCAAGATGCATTGCACCCTCTTCTCTGCCCCAGGCCCTTTGTAAGCCCCATGCCAGGAGGGGTTTCTCTTAACCCACATAGGGCTTTACATTTGTAGCGTTTACGAATTTAAAATCAGGTTTTTAACCACTTGTGTAGAGGGTACACAACCGAGGGGCCCCAACCAATGGGCATGGGTGCAGGGCACCCGTGCCTGTAATTGTAGACCCCTAGGCCCAGAAAACAAGGGGAGTGTGCACGTGTTATTGGGGACACCCGTGCCCAGGAGCCAGTTTAAAGGGCCATGCCACTCTGAGGGGGCTCAAGCGGCTGTCTCCCCACCAGGTGTGTCTCCTTGGTTCAGCATTAAGGGCCTGCAAAAAATCTACTGAAGTCTCTGAAATTATCTTCTCGTCTGCGAGAACCGATGATGAACCTACCCAGCCAGGGATGGTTGCAAAACAAGAAACGTGCCAGTTTCTTCTTCTAGGAATACCTTTCCTCTCTTGCCTGCTCAGCTAGCATCTAGTCTTTCATCAAAAATCTGCTCCAAAGTCTACTTCTTGTCTTCTACATACCTCCTCTCTCTGTGTTCTTGTGATGCTGAGTACTTTTATTTATCAAATCCTTCTTGCAACAAACTCAAATATCTATTTAATGTCCCTTGTGTGCCAGACACTAGCTAGAAACTACAGACCCAGAAGTGAAGAGCTACAGCTCACATTAAGAGCTCACATTCCAGAAAGGAGGCTATTGCCCAACATCCCAGGCCAGGTAGGTTCACCATCAGTTCTAAGAGTTTAAGAGAGAACTTTGAGCCCTTGGCATCATCTTCACATGTTTTAATAGTAAGCAGGGGAGGAGACATGCCAGCAGGGAGACAGCAACTTGAATCCCCATCCCCCAGGATAACACTACCTTTTTATCACCTCCTTCCTAGGCACAGGTGTACACACTTGCACATGCACACACACCTGTGCTCCAGGTGTCCACAATCAGGCACTCGTGCCCCACACCCACACATTTTCTGTGTTAACACGACCAAGGCCACAGGTGATGGTCAGAGGCTAGTGGCATGAAAAGCCTGATTAACTCATTTACCCAACAGAGACAAATGCATCAACTCCCAACACAGCACGATGAGGATAACCCCATCTACAGGAGCAGTGGAACAAAGATCCCTGGGATTGCTTGGGTCTCCATGTCAATTGGAGTCAGACAGTATTGTTGGGTTTGTTTTTTTCTTTTAAGTTGTTGTACCCTTGGGGGCCTCCCCGGTGGCGCAGCGGTTGAGCACTGGGTTGCGAAGCTGCCCACAGCCTCTGCAGCACCAGTTCGATCCCCGGCTGCTCCCCGGCCACCGGAGGAGGGTCCCACATGGCGCGCAGACCTCTCCTGCCGCCCGCTGCTCCCCTCAGCAGTGTACTTTGTCAGTCTGCCTGTTCTGCTCCCCGCTCTGGCTCTGGTGAATTCTCTCACCCTCCCGCGCTTCTGACTGTACCCAGTGCTTGTATAAATAATAAACAAATAAATCTTTAAAAAAAAAAGGTTGTTGCACCCCAACTAAACTGTAGCTCTTTAATAACAGGAATTGTGTCTTACTCTTCTAAGTTTGCACTGAGCCTCTACTGGTCCCAGGACAATGTGAGGAATAAGAGGTCACCCAAGCAGGACTCAAGCAGGACCTTGAAGGAATGTTGATTTGGACAGGTAAAGAAGGGAAGAGAATGCCAGACAGGGGAACACCAGGAGCTAAGGCTCAGAAGCAGGAAAGACAAAGGCACATGGAGCAGGAGGTTCCTGTCATAAAATAAAAGGGGGGGTGTGTGTGTGTGAATGGGTAGACAAGATAGCACCAGAACACAGAAGGCCATGAACATCCAATGTGGTGTTCAGAGACGTGCTTTTAAAAGTTCTAGAACAGCTAACTCACTGTTACTCTCACCATCTGGGAAATAAGGAAGGTCTTAGCTTTCTGAAAAGACTCCGAGTTCCCTTATTTTATGATAAAGAAGAGATGTTTTGAGAGTTGGGTTTACAGAAGTAATGGGTTGCCTGATCTCCGTGAGGAAGATCAGACCACATTCGCAAAGCAGCTGGCCAGGACAGGTCAAGGGTCCTAAGAAATTTTGCTTATTCTTAGCGGGAGAATAACTGGTCTGTGTCAGATAAAATTTGCAAACTAAGTCTCTTTGGCTCTAAGTAGCTAAACTCACTGAATGGCCACATGATCCCTTCCAACTACACACAAAAAACTAGTGTTTTATAAAATTGTCGATGTAGACATGCAAGCCTACTGACTAGCCAAAAGGAGGGAAAGGATGGGGCTGGCAACTAGGAACAAAAGCTTAACTGAAGGGCTGGCAGAAGGCTGCAGTCTTTTAAAGAAGGCCCATCTTCTACAGGTTCCCAGTGGGCAGGCTGGGCTCTTTCCAAGCCCACTAGCCAGACTCTGTTGCTGCTGGATAAATGCTCCATTATTCATGGGTCGCCTCACCACCTCCACCCGTGAGCTGCTTTATGTTGGCACAGGCCTGCGTGCTTCTGGAAGCCTTTGAATAGTGGAGCATCTGGTGTTCTAGGAACTTAAAATACTGCAAATTCAAATAACCAAACTGCTTGTTAAAGGATCTACTGTAAGGAGATCCAACTTGCTCAGTCTCCAGCACCATCCTGGGCCTCAGAATGTCATCCCTCAGAGCTCTCCTAAGCCCTTCCCAAGCTCAGCCTCCTAACACTCTCTTTTAGGTATTTTGAGTTAAATGACTTCTTCCCACTAACAAGAATTCACAAGAGTTGGGAACTGATTCACCAGAAGATAAATCCAGCTGGGAAAAACACATTTGAAGGAGATGGAGGACTCAAACCAGTCCTAGCCCCTAAATGACCTCATTTAGTTTCCTCTAAATCCTATGAGCCTCCATTTTATATACAAGGGAAGCTACCTCAAAGAATTGAGTAAGCCTTGCAATATCGAAGAGAGGAAGAGGCAGAGCTAGGCTTTGAACCAGACCTAGATGAACTTGAAGCCCATTCCCTGTATCATACACCTTCAGTTCCCACCTAACAGACAGCCACCCCCAGGGAAAGGCATGAGGGAGTGAACAGGTCTTTTTTCATGTTCGCCTGCAGGTTTTTTTGGTTTTGGGCAAAATAAATATTTGACAGGCATGGGAGTCTATCCTCAACCCTGACGCCATGCCTATGTGTGGGGGTGGGGGTAGGGTTGGAGGCGAGAGCTGAGAGGTGGGTTTCCCTTCGCTCCTCAGTTACAACTGCTGAACCCAGAATGGAAGCCAAACTGAGTGGAATAAATTCAAATTTGAGTGAGTCAAACTCTGGAGGGAGCACCCACAATTCCCCCATCAAAGCACCCCTCTGCAGGGGGCACATGGGAAGCTGCCCAGCCCACCCTCCATCTCCTAACCCAGCCTTTCTCTTCCACCCAGAATAACAGGTGTAGAATCGTCATCCATCCTCTGCACTCTGTATCCCGAAGGTCAGCGTCCCATACACACAACCTATGAGGAAGTGGGAAGGGACCCCTTAGACAGCTGGTGGGGGGTGCTACTTAATAGCCCAGACTTGAAACCACTTCCTCTCCACAAATTCTTTGGAAATGAAAGAATCATCCTCCCCTCATACTTCTCGTGCCAATATGTGTTCCCTTTCTGGTGCGTCTCCATAGATCACTTTCAATTCACTGACTGTAATTGTTGGGATACTCCTTGTTTAGAGCTAACAGGTGAAAAAGAAATAATTAATACTTCTTCTCCATGACTGAACAAGAAAAGAGCTTACAGACCTCCAAGTGAGGACCCAAGAAGGGTTGGTAAAAAATAAGGAATCCCAAAGGGTGCAATGAGAGGGTTGTGATGTTTGGAGGATTAGGGGATTCCTTCAGAGATAACATGTAGCCCACTTGAGTCTGGATGAGAAATCAGAGAATCAAACAAGACCACCTCTTTATTCACGTCCTGAAAGGCTAAACGGGAGGAATGGCATGCAGAGAATGAGAAAGGGCCAGGGTAGTCAAGGAGAGGAACTGACCTGAGTCCAGGCTAGAAATAGGAGTGCAGAGCCAAAGGATTTTTTTAAAAGATTTATTTATTTATACATACAAGAGCTGGGGTACAGGCCAGAGATGCAGGGGGTGAGAGGATTCACCAGAGACAGAGTGGGGAGCAAAGCAGGCAGATGTACTGAAATACACTGCTGAGGGGAGCAGTGGGCCAGACAGGAGAGGTCTGCTGCGCCATGTGGGTCATCTCTCTGGCTGGGGATCGAACTCTTGCTACAGTGGCTGGGGATAGCTTCACAGTGCTGTGTCTTAACCCCTTGAGCCACCAGGAAGGCCCACCAAAGGATTTTTAAGACGAACCTTACCAAATCTTAAAGTGGAAACCTCACATTTCAGATGAAGCAAGTGCAAGTGGCTCCACTCTGGTGACCCACACCTGTCATTTTGAAAGAGACAGGTGCCCAAGCTCTGCCTAGAGATTTCAAGTCAGGATGCCTGTGGTGAGGCCAGAAAAAAGCCACTGGTGATGTGAGGTCCGTCCAGAATTAAGAAGCACTGGCTTAAACCCTATACCCGTAGTATAGCCCACCTCCAACCTGTTCACCCTCCAAAAACATTCCCAAAAAACATTCCCAGGGCCAAGACCAGTCCCCCATGGGTGAGTCACACAGGATTCCGCCAGGAACTCTAGCTCCCCTAAGAGTTCCTGACTGTGAATTCCTCACCAAGTCTCCACTCGCCCCTCAGCCAGGGCATAAAAACAGGAGGATTTCCTCAAAACACATTTATTTTGAGATAATTTGCCAAAGGAATCCTTTTGATTGGATTTGATTCCTGTGATCCTTCCCTGTAACTCAGCCAAGAACAATGTCCAAGCAGAGGGGCTGATTTGCTGGCATGTCTTCAGCAGCTCAGTCAGGTTCCCCAGGTCCAGAGCCCCCCTCCAGAGAGACCAAGTCCATCGCCACACTCCCGCCCCTTCTCAGGGCCTGTTCCTCCAGAGCCATCCATCTTTCTGCCAGATTCTGAATGCTCCATCTTCAGCCCTCTGACCAGGCAATGAGGCTGGAGGTCAACTGGAGGGTACGGGGTTCCTGAAATAGTTGGTGGGGTACTCAGGAGGCACGGGGAGAGAGTTTCTGCGACTGCTGAGAATGAAGGGAACACTCCTTTCTTTTCAAAAAGCTTGCATTGTTTGGGGCACCCCCCAAGCTGACTTCCCTTCAGGTGGCATTGACCTTAGAGAAGGCCGAACTGGGTGCTGCAGGGAAGGGAAGAAAGAAACAAAGGATGTTTGTAAGAAGAAATTCAAACATGACAGTTAGTGTTCACTGAGCTCTTCTATGAATCTGGCCCAGTTCTCGTTTCACATGCACCATCTTGATTGGTTCTCACCACCTGGGAGGGAGGTATTATTTATTCCCATTTTAAGGATGAGGAAACTGAGGCTCAGAGAGGCTAAGTTATCTGCCCTAGATCACCCAGCTTCTAAGTCACAGAGTCAGGATTTGGACCCAGGTCTGTCTGATTCCAAAGCCTGTGACCTTAAACCACTGACATCTAAAGCCTCGGAAAGAGGGCACACCAGTATGCCTTCACTGGAGTAAATTTAATCAAATCAACAAGAAAAAAATCAAAAGTTCCTTATTACTCTGCTCCCTCTCCACTAACACATTTGTACCGGAAGTCTCCAACAAGTGGCCTGCAGACCAGAATTCACCTGCACGCTTGTTTAATTTGGCACAGCAGGTTTTAAATGAACTTGAGCAGCCCCTGAAGGCCTTTGGGTTTGTGGCCTTGGCCTTTCATCACACTGACTTTCTTGGATCTGTTTCAAGAAGACAGAAGGGCTATTTTCCACGGGGTTTAAATCACAGGCACATATCACTGAACCAGGGAAGGTAGATTTGAAGGAGATTCACACCGAGGTCATCTCAGCTCATAGACTTTTTGCAAAAGTCTGTCCCCAGGTGGGAGACACAAGCAACTGTATCAGCAGGTCTCCCATGGCATTCCCATAGTATCACGTGACAGCAATGGTGTAAGGATGAGGGGAAAATGGCTCCATTCAGCTGCAACTTGGGAGGGAGGTACTGTTGTCCCCGGGGTGGAACCAGGCCAGGTCTCCGACCTCACACTTCCCTGGCTTCACAACCTTTCCTGGCTGCGATCATCTGGGAGTCATGTGTCCACCGTACTGGGGCGACAGGAACAAACACAAGCCATTATCTCACAAACAGAGGAGGCCAGCCTTCCTGGATCCAGCCAAACACTGCACCTTTGCTGGCCTGGGTGCCTATCTACAAATAGCTGTGTCTTACAGCTCACTCCTTTTGTCCCTGCCACTACTCACTACATGCCAGGTGGCCTTTCTAAGTGCCATATAACCCCGGGGAGCTGAGCAAAGAGAACACAGGCATCAGGCTCCCTGTTATTATTTGAAATTTGGCATGTAGCCTGCCTGGGGTTATGTTATATCAAGGTATATAAATCACAGAATTTAAGAAAAAATTAAGAGTTGGAAGAGGCCTGTTGATAGAAAGGAAAATAATCCTTGCAACACAAGCCTTGTCCAGGAATCTGCTGGCACCTTCTTTACTAGACTGTGTTTAACTGATGAGGCAGACACACTTTGCCTGACTGATGAAAGTGCCTCTTTTTACCAATAAAATTAACCATCTCAAGCCCCACTGTCCCTTAATACTCGAGGAAAAGATGTAATATTACTCTTCTGTCCAACAGAGCTTCAGCTTCTCAGATGTCCCCACTACTTACAAAAAATCTACTGAGCACAAATCTCTGCCCTCAGCAGTGACCTCCCCAGGTGACCTAGCCACATCCACCACCCACAAGTCCACCGTATCCTTCCCAGCACCTTCTCCCACCTCCAGACATCTACGTCAGCGGGCCCAGAACTACCCTCACCATAGTCATGTACATGGCTTCTGATTTTCCACTTGGTTCTTCTTCCTCGGGCACCATGGGTATTATTGGGGAGTAAACGTGCTTCTGGTCGGGGAAGAAGGGAGAAATGGTATTAAAGTTCCTAAAAAGCTGCACATCTTACATGCAAGAGAAAAAGCCATCATCTACTATGGCGTCAGTCACCAAAACTGGTAAGTTCAGAGGGTTACTAAATGCTAGAGAGCGACCATCAATACTGATAATCCAGTCCTCCTAAAAACTAACAAAATTCATTTATCAGTGAACAGCAAATTCATTGCTTCAACAGCCAAACATTTTTGTTCAAATGGGTGTTGCAAGAGCAGCAGGGAATCCTTATCTTGCCAAACAATTTGTATTCTGTGATGATTTCCTATTAATTGGAGGCACGGCAGGGTGGTATTAGTCAGCAACTAATTATCCTCCTCTGGGGGGGGGTGCTTCTAAGGCAGGGAAAGCCCTCACTGAGGCTTTGTGGGGCTGGAGGTGCTTTGTGAACCCCATTCCTGTCATTACATGAGGAAGCAACATCACTCAGTGACAAATTCCTGGACTTTGGGAGGCCCCCACTCTATGTTGTGAGAAAATCCTATAAACAGGGCCTCCTCTGGTGGCACAGGCAATGGAGTCCAGTGCTGGGAAGCTGTCCTCAGCCTCTGCAGCGCCGGTTCTATCTGGGCCAGCCAGCGAGGGTCTCACCTGGCGCGGCAGACCTCTCCTGCCACACCCGCTGCTCCCCTCAGCGTGTATTTCGTCAGTCTGCCTGTTCTGTTCCCCGCTCTGTCTCTGGTGAATCCTCTCACCCTCCCACGCATCTAGCCTGTACCCCGGTTCTTGTATAAATAAATAAATCTTAAAAAAAAAATTAAAAAAAAAAAGAAAAGAAAATCCTACAAACAGCCCAGAGATGGAAAGAAAACTATGGAAAAAGGAGCTTTTAAATGTATTTAAAAAAAAAAAGAAAGAAAGACAAAGGAGTCCAAGGAAGTGAGTCCACTCCTCAGTCCCTTATTTATAACTCCATTACAAACTAATATGGAGGGGGAAGTTCTTCTTGGTCCTCTTCTTCTAAGAGAATATTGAATCTCAACCACTAACTCCTCCTTCGCTTCACTCCTAAAGGTACCATAACTCTCCTGTGTATTTACACAGTGCCTCACAGGGCGCGAAGCACTAGCATATCATTGTGCTGTGTAAACTTTACAATAGAGCAAATATGTTGCCCTTATCATTTTACTGATAAGAAAATGGAGTTTCAGGGAGGTGATAGAGCTTGGCTCAAACCCAGACTTTCTGATTCCAAGTACAGTGACCTACCAGAGTGTGCTGCCCCGCTGGATGGCCCTGCCTGCCCCATCCCAGTCACCCTGGGGTGCTCCTACTCCAGTGATGAGGATTTCCAGAGCTTCTCCCCACTTCCCACTCTGTACCTCCAGACCAGACCTTGGGCACATGCTGAGATATGCTGGTGACTAAGACCTGAGAAATGACAGCCACACCCGGTGGATCCTGGCACAGTATCTACTTTACCCTCAAGGGCTCAACAGCAAAATGGTAGCATTTTCTTACCTCTTCTTCAGCTTTCTTTGTGTTCTCCAGGTTTTTTGTGGAAGTTGGTGAACTGCAAGGAAAAGTGTGCGGAATTAACAAGCTAGCACTGCCTATTCAAGAGTGTCTGTGTGAGACACCCACCCCATCCCCCCACCCTTTGCTCTGTAGAGACAGAGTCCTCAGGAGAGAAACGATTCTGTCTAGAGAATCCATCTCTCTAATGGAGAGCAAGAAAGTATTGTGGATATAGTTTGGGCTAAAAAAAAAAAAGCTTCAGCTTCTCTATTCACTCGAACAATTTTCCATCCATAACAACTTCAAGTGAATGAATTGAGCGGGACCCCAGATGAGACTTTTATCATTTCTGAGCGCCAGAGAGATGCACCTCAACCAGCAGGGGGCAGCAGAAGCTCAACAAGACACCAGTTCAAAGGACTCCGGGGACGAGGCCAAGCAGAACTATCCCCACAAACACCAAAGCTGTGACTCTGGCCCCTTCCTTCAATCTCTTGACCATTTGCCCTCAGCATTTGCCATTGAAAAACTGCACTTTTTTTCCTATTTTGACCTAAGCTAGACCTAAAATAAGTCTGAGTTAAAACTAGAAAACTTATATTCTTATCTCAAAATAGAAGTATTTGTATTGTATTTTATGATTATAAAGTTATATATTCTCACTGCAAAAGAATTCAAATAATACAGAAATGTAGAGAATTAGAAATTGAAGTTCCAGTAAACTCCCTACCCCTATGGGAGCTGCCTTTTCCTTTATCCCAAATACCACTATTGATATCTTAGAATTACCCTTTCAAACCTGTCTCAATGCAAGCACCCGAAAATATATTTCCTGTACATGCTACTGAAGTGAGCACTGTGTAATTTTCTAATTTATAAACATACATTACACTCTGTATCTACACTACTACTCCTTGGGCATCTTTCCATGCTGTTGCATTGAATGGACTACTAACCCACTGAGTTATTATCTTTCTGGAAAAAACTGAGGATGATTCCAAATTTTTACTGGAATCAGTGCTACTGAGAACATGTCTGTGCACAAATATCTCAACATATCAACCTGATTATTTCTCTAGAATAAACTAGGTCACATGGAAATGCTGCCCTTGCTTTTGAGAGGAACTGAGGCTCAGATGAGGAAGTGAGCAGATATGGAAGCAGGTTGTCTAATTCTTGGGTCTGTGCTGTCTGCATGTTCAGAGCTAAGATCCTCAGAGAGGTCAAATGGTCAAAAACCAAACCAGAGAGTGGGGAGAGAAGGGGCAGCTGGGGGAAGCGCAAAAGCAGAGCAGACACGCACTTTCTGTAGAAGCCACGTTCTAAGCAGAAAGGAGACTGGAAAGGCAGCATTGCTTAGCCTTCGTGGGAGTCTTTCCCTACTGACCCTATTTCAACACAAGAGTCAGTCTGCCCTGGCAGCTTATTTCATCAATCATTGGATAAACAGCCAGTGAAACACTAGCACCACGTCAGAGCATCTGAGCGATACTGGGAAAGCTACTGATGAAATCCAAGCCTTTAAAAACACCTTCCAACAATAAATAATTTGGAGCCTGAGAGCATCCATTAGAAAAATAACCTCTCATGATCACAATGTGGTCCCTTGAAGCCTCTGACAACGCTCAAGATTGGAGTTTCTATAGGAAGCGTACAGTGTGGACAAAGCAAAAACCATGTCTCTCATAGTTTTTGCCTAAGATTTATACTCTTAATTATTCTCCACTTAAACCGTAAGAGCTGGTAATCTTTGTGAAATACCAAAATGAGCTAGGATGCTGTGGGAATGTGCCAGGCCATTCAGGAGCACAGTGAGTAAAGCGCTGAGGGGTGGGGGGGTGGGAAGGGAGTGTCACTATGGAGATGATGTCCAGTGTGACATTAGGAGACCTATCTGTGGCCACAGATGATGCTATTTTAAAAAAGCCCTTTCTGTGAAAATGGCAGTTAGAGCCTGATCACTCTCTTCCACTTCAGGTTAAAGGCAGTCATGCACCTCCAGCCCCCCAACTCAAAGGGTTCGTGCAGCTCCGCACCTCATGCTTATGTGGGTCCTCTTCATAATCAGTATCAACACAGAGAGCAGCAGGATGGTGGCGCAGATGATCCCCACAATGGTCACCAGCTGGCCACCAGCCAGGATCTCGGATTTGGGCAGTCCTGATGTCACCAGTCCTTGGGAAAGGAGAAAGCAATGAGAGGGCCTCATTATTCCAGAAAAGGGCTGAGACAGAACCCCAGGATTCCTACAAGTCAGGTCAGAGAGTGGGGGATAAGGCCAGACCACACCCCAGGATGAAATATTGGACTTCAGTTGTCCCCAGTAGATTGAGAACCAATGTCTGACTCCCCTTACACACCCCTAACATGTCGATTAAGGTAGGTGGGAGGAGGGAGAGCCCCTCCTAATGAAAGTAGAGTTTCCTTTCATATTAACAATATGAAATGTGGTTTGTTGAATGACAGACTTTAAAAAAATATATTTATGCATGCATGCATGCAAGAGATGGGGTACAGGCCAGAGATGGGGTTGGGGGATAGAGGATTCACCAGAGACAGAGTGGGGAACAGAACAGGCAGATTGAAGTACATTGCTGAGGGGAGCAGCAGGAAAATCAGGAGAGGTCTGCTGTGCCATGTGGGTAGCTCCCTGGCCAGCTGGGGATCGAACTCGTGCTGCAGAAGTTGCTGATAGCTTCATAGGTTGCGTCTTAACCCCTTGCACCACCAGGGAGGCCCCAGAAATAACAGACATTTTAAAGGTAGCTGATGTCTCAATGGGGAAGGTGTTTCTGAAAGACCCTATGCAGAGCACCCAGCCACACAGTCAGGATACCAAGCAGGGCCTTCAGAGGTGCTCCCTCACCCCTCCCTCATTTCCTCAATTCATTCTAAATACACACAGCAAGTACCTCTGCGTTGCCAGGCAGCACTGGGCATGGAGGGTACAAAGGCAAATAGTGTGTGGTCCCTGCCTCCCTTCAAGAAAGGGGACACACGTAAACATAAAACCACACACTACTAGAGACGCTGAGATCAACAGCACTCAGAGCACCAAGGGCACAGAGAAAAGGGTAGTCAATTCTAGGGAGCAGAGGGTGAGAATTTGCCAGTAGACATCTTAAGTTTAAGCTGAGTCTTAAAAGAAACACCAAGTTTCATGGGCAGACAGCCTGGAAAAGGCCACCGGCCTTTATGCACCAGGTCTCTGTGGTGCTCTTGGAAACTAGGAATAGCTCCAGGGATCTGGCTTAAAGGTTCTATTTGTGGTAGGAGATTAGACTGGAGAGATAAAAGGGGCTCCATCATGAAAGACCTTGATTTTGGACCAGGAGTTAGCTTTTTTCCTGTAGGCAATGGAATGACTGAAAGACTATAAAAGGAAGAGAGAGTTTAGATCAGTGATTTAGAAAGATGGCACAGATAATTGCAGGAAGAATGAGAAAGGTGATTGGGAATAAAAGCTAAGACTGCGTAGGGACAAGCCAGAGATGTGACAGCAGAACTAAGGTGGTGGTGATGGACTGACTGGAAAGGATTCAGAGTGAGTACAGAGAGGACGGGACATGCCTGGTAAACAGGGAGACACAGGGAAGGGAAGAGTCAATTCCAACTCCGTGGGCATCCAGTTAGATAACTGTGTAGCTGGTGGTGAGGCCGGGGGATGGGCTGGGGAAAGGTATGCTGGGGCAGGTTCAAATATATGCATTTGAGTATTTGTAGCATATATGGGTGAAGCTGACCTTTACAAATATATATAAAATTGTATATAAGTATACACATAATATTGTGTCCAACACAGGATTATGTGCAATATTATATCCAGGATTACTGAGGAAAAGTAAGCTGAGGATGGACAATTAGAGTACCTTTGTGATCGGAGCTACCTAGGGTAGAAGCGGAAGGCGGGAGGCAGTGCACTGAGGTGTTAGTGGCAGACGAGCCGGGAGACACCAGGATAGCCTTTGCATCAGCAACTGGCTCTATCAAGAAAGATATTGTTGATTGTGGTGAAGGTTATACAACTCTAAGTATACAAAAAAAACCACTGAGTGGGGTATATGGTTTGTGAGTTGTATCTCAATAAAACTATTTTGAGAAAAAGGGTCAGGAGGAGAGCGATAGTAAGCAAGGACACGGGAGACAGAAGAGTGTTATCTGCGTGCTGAAGGCAGAAGCAAGTGAGAGCTTAAAGGGCCACGTTGTGCAGCTCCCGAGGAGAAGGAGAGTGTGGCCCCTGAGGGTGGGGTTCTGATAAGCCCCTCACAGAAGGGAGCTCAGGATGGCAAGGGAGAGAGATGGGTGGGAGCAGATGTAAACGTGCTGTGAGCATGAGGGCTTGCCAGCTGAATGAGCTCCCACTAACGGCCTATGTTTTTTCTGTGAAGTGGAAGTAAGACTTCTAAGAATAAAAAAACCCACAGGCCTGCTTCCTTCTCCACCTGGGACCCTTTGCTATTATTCTCCAAGCAACCACAGTCAGCCCTTGATGGCTCTAGAGAGGCAGAGTCCATGGGCCACATCCTCACAGCACACTGTGGGTCATTGTTTACTTTTAACCCTCTTCACCTCTCTCAGTCCACACGACTGAGTCTTTTCTTACACACCACTGGTTTTAACACACAGCATTTGCCAGAATACAGACCCTTTGATCACAAAACCCGTCTCTTTTAGTCCTGGCCCCTTCCTGTTTTCTCTCTGTTGCTTGCTCTCTCACCAGCTCAGGATCAGTTTTCCTTCCACTGCAGAGCATAACAGCATCTCCTGAGAGCCAGTAAAAATGACTTTGGACAGCAACTCCCATCCATTTCCAAGCTCCCATAAGTCAGTAGATCACATGGCAATGAGTGAGGTCTGGCAGAGGCCTGGTGTTCACTAAATATTAGCTCCATCCTCCCTGACCTACCAGCAGGGCCAGAGCTAGGGGCAGCGAATCTCAAGAAACATCACTCTCAGGGTCGTCTAAGTCCAGGGTCAGCCCCTGAGAGAGATGCCTTCTTCAGTGCTTCACCCTAGAAGCCTGTCTGGCCTCACCCTAGTCTAGAGCACCTACCAGCTAGGAACCCCCTCATCTCTCCTCAGCCAAGTGTTACATACTTTGGGACTCTTTCAGGATCACATGCAGCATAATAGTTTTCTTGAATTGCTTGTTCCCCATGTAGATTCTGCAGGTGTAGTTTCCTCGGTCAGACTCCTTCACTCCTTGGAGCATGATGGAGCCACCATTGTGGGAAGGGTCCCCCACCAGGCTTACGCGGTTCTGGAAGCGGCCCCAGGTTTGGGGGTACCCCACAGGTGCATTGGGGTTGGGGTTATAGCGCAACACACTCTCCTCCTAGAAGGGAAAGACAAAAATGTGTGAGACTGCAAGGACTAGGGGGGAGGGGGGATGGAGAAGTGGGGGGAGGGCTCAGGACTAACAAGAACCTGCAGGTGTGGGAAGTAGAGATACTTCCAGGAAGTATCAGAGGGCAGGAAGTCATGCACACACACGCACTGACACACACACAAACACACACCACCACCACCACCACCACCACCACCAGACCAGGAATGACATCCATCTCAAGAGAGAGGTAAGGAGAGTTGGAAGGAGGAATTTTTCACTTTTTTGCATTTCTTCAGTAAAAAGAAATAAAAGTATACCTTCTTTTTTGGTGACATTTGTGCCTGAATTTCCAGTGGGCACCTGAAACATGTCTAGCCCTGAACTTCAAATCTTCCCCCCAAACTGGTTCCTTCTAGTCCACCTCATTTGGGTAAATGGCAATACCTGCTAGGCTGAAAATCATAGTCACTCTGAACTCCTCTCTGTCAACAACTCACATCTAATTCTATACATGCCAAATCTAGAAATACAAGAGATAAAATACATTCTAAATCTTCTCACCCCTCCGCTGTTAGCATTCTGGCACAAGCCACCACCTCTCACCTGCAGCAGTTTCCTTACTTGTGTCCCTGCTTACCCCCAACCCAGTCTATTCTCAGCAGATGAGCCTTTCGAAATATGTTAAATCATATGACTCCTCTGCTCAAAATCCTCTCATGGCCCTGCAGTTCTACGAAAAGCATAAGGCTCTCCGTGATCTTGCCCACCCTTTTCCTCTCTGATTTCACCTTCTACTTGCTCTGCTCTTACTTCCTTGGGTCACTTCACTCCAGCCGCACTGCCCTGCTTGCTGCTCTTTGAGTAATGGCCTATACAGTTTGATTCAGATGATTCTGGGTGGACAAAGGACTCAGGCATCTCACTCAAGCCAATATGAGTAGAGGATACCCTTCACCTTCCCATATACATCATACTGAAGGGTCCTATGTCTGTACTAGAGTTAATACCTTCTAGACCTGGAACAATCTTTCCCCTAGACAAACATCTGGTTCACTCCCTCACTTCCTTCAAACTTTTGCTCAAATGTCACCGTTGACCAACTACATAAATTAACAACCACAACGCCCTGCTTTATTGTTTGTTTCCACAGCTCTTACATGATGAAATGACATGTTATCTACTTATTTCTTGTTTTACCGAGTACGTGCCTCCATCTTACTTTGTAAGTCCCGTATCAGAGCAGGGACTTGAATGTTCACTGCAGAGCCGATACTTAAAAAATACTTGTTAAATGAAAAAAATATTGGAAGTTTTAATAAAGATATGTAATTGTTAATGTTTTTTAAAAGCTCTTAATACAGGAAATGGGTATGCAGACATAAAAAGATGTGAAAAGACCTGGCCTCTAACCTCTTGTGATTCAAATTCACAACTCAAAATGTCAACTCTCATCCTATTTTCTGCCATAATTCACTTAGTGGGTGACATTTAGATACATGACAGGCTCCCAGGGGTGAACCAGAAACCACACTCCACCAAGATGCCACATTTTCTGACCTACTGCATAGTATACAAGTGAGTACAAATGCCTTTTTTATAGGCATGACCTCGAATATATCTTAATGTACAAATGTTAAATCTTTTATAAACTTGGCTCCATAACTTTTATTAATGTATTAATTAAGTTACCTGGGAATGTCCCTCACAACACACCTTGACACTCAAGTACATTATCATGTGAATGTGGAGCCCCACCAGTCAGTGAGCTATTGTGTATCTACTGCTCCAGCATTCCCATGAAACACTCCTCACCCTGGCCCCCAGAATCTACTAATCCCAACACCTGAAGCATGCATGAGACAGAAAATCCCCTCTATCACATAAAAGGGGTGATGTGGCACAAGAGAAAACTCACAAAAGTAACCCAAATAAGAATAATAATGTAATCATTCTTATGCCTAGTCCAGAGCTTTCCCAGCCAGGCCCTGAGTCATCCCCTTGTCTTCTCATGGAGTCTACAAAGAGGAGGAGAGAGAAGAAGAAGGAAACGAAAATGCAGAGGACAAGTCATGTACAAATGCTTTACTCCAACTATCATAGATTCATCTGAACGATGCTAAAAGCTAAGCATTTTCTTCTTCCTCCTTTTCCTCCTCTTCATCTTTATTATCATCTCATCAGTTATTTTTCCACTAGGGACTTGAAGTGGTTCAGTCAAGTGACCAAAAAGTGGTTCAGTCAAGTGACCGAACTAGGAGACAGCTCAGATCCGACAAGCTCCAAAGCCCAAACCATTGCAATACAACAACATGACACCTGATGCCTAGATGCCCCACCTCTCCTGATCCCCCTCTCACCACACTCTCCTGACACCATTGGCCAGAAGCTTCCACTACAATGCTGGTTCCTCCCCATTACCTTGGCACTCCCTTCTGATGAGAACGTCCATTCTACGTTGGTCACACGTTTTTCAGCTGTGCTCTCAAAAACACATCCCATCTGAGTCGGGTCACCCACATGAACTGTGAGCTCTGGAGATAAAATGGTAAATCAAGTCAAACCCAAGGTATAATCTATGTAACCAAAAAACTTCTTCTAGACCAGAGACTCCTTAAAGATACATAGGAGTAAAATAAATGTCACTACTAAATATGTACATGTCTCCTATACAGTTGATTCAGATGATTCTGGGTGGACAAAGGACTCAGGCATCTCACTTAAGCCAATATGAGCAGAGGATACCCTTCGGCTTCCCATATACATCGTACTGAAGGGTCCTATGTCTATACTAGAGTCAACACCTTCTAGACCTCTTTCATCTCTTTCTCCTTTTCCAGAATGCCTTCCATTAGGCCCAATTCTATTTTAAATTTATACTAAAGAAAGTACAGAAACTTTCTTGAATGTTAAAGCCCCTACTTTCTGTTCACCCATTGGAATGCCCATATGTGCTTAACATAAACAGGAAGTGGAAAGTTATATAACTCATTCTTACATATAACCCACTGACTTTCACAGCTGAAAAACTGAATCATTGGGTGACTTTCTCCAAATTCTTTTATTCTTTTTTTACAAGTTCTTTTGGCCTTACTTAGGATTTAGTTCTGGCTACAGTACAGATCACAGGACTCCTTGCTAATTAGGTCAAGACAAAAGTTTTCCTATTGACTTTTCTTTCTGCTTCAACCCCTGCCCCCACTCCTCCAACTGATGCCCCTTCTGGCTTTCCAGCTCTTCTTCCTTCTGCTTAATTGTATAAGCAGCTGACCCCATCACATGTCTACTGCAGAAAAGGTCCCTAAAAAAGAAAACAATTAAAAAGACATTTCTGATTTTTTTAAATAACACTCTATCTACACAGATCAGTCACAAAGTCAACTGGGCAATGAAAGACACAAGCCTCGTTCTAACTGGACAGAGTTCCTTCAAAAGAGCATTAAGCAAAGCTCATGCAGAGGAACAAACACAGAACATAAGCTGACCTTTTCATCCACATTGTTTCCCCGGGAGAACATTAACTTAAGTCCCAGCAGGAAAGACGCACAAAGGGAGTAAAGCAGAAGAGAATATTGTGAACTCTAAACCCTGTGAGGGAGGTTATTTTGACTGCTGTAAAAATCCACTCCAAAAAATACCAGTAGATGAAGATCAACACATTAAGAACTAAACTAAAATGCGGTAATAGCAACCAAACATTCTGAGTCATTTCAATGTACCAGGCGTTATGTCTGACACTTTGTACATAGTCTTCCAGCGAGTCACTACTGTTTTCCGAGATATGCTCTGTTACTCTGACTTAACCGAAGAAAGTAAGAGACCAAAGGGGCATGGCCAGCGAAAGGGGGAGCCTGCTGGTCCACCCAGGCCTGAGCGAAAACAAAGCCCAAGGTTTTTCACTCACTATCCTGTACCACCTCACGTAAGTGGAAGAATGGCTGATTCCAGAGGGAAACTGCAGGAATATTATTTCAATTTTTAAAAATATTGTCTATGGTATTTAAAATAAGAACTGTGGGGCCTCCCCTGGTGGCGCAGCGGTTGAGCGCTGGGTTGCGAAGCTGCCCGCGGCCTCTGCAGCGCCGGTTCGATCCCCGGCTGCTCCCCGGCCACCGCAGGAGGGTCCCACATGGCGCGCAGACCTCTCCTGCCGCCCGCTGCTCCCCTCAGCAGTGTACTTCGGTCCTTCTGCCTGTTCTGCCTCCTACTCTGGCTCTGGTGAATTCTCTCACCCTCCCGCGCTTCTGACTGTACCCAGTGCTTGTATAAATAAATAAATCTTAAAAAAATTAAAAAAATAAAATAAGAACTGTGGGTTAAAGAGTTGAAGTAGTACTACAAATCACTGGATGACTGGACAAATGAAGTCTCATACAGGAGGAGACGCCCTCCATCAAGCAAATTGGATACCTTGCTACTGCCTACTAGGTAAAATTTAGGAGCTGGATCTATTTCCACTCTGACTGGAAAGAAAAATAAATACAAGTTATTCCACTGGCCACTGGGAAAATACCTGTCTACCCCTAAAATTGTTCTAGTCTCTTTCCACAGATTCTTCAGTTCTGGAAATTGTCTCCCCTTGCAGCAGGCCTTCCTATATCTCTTCTCAGCAGCATAGGCATCCATCTCAGAGGCTGTGCTGATACGGACAAGCGTTCATCATGACTTTAGTGGACAAAGCAGAAAGGGTAGCCCAAAGATAATCCTCAGGGAACATGGCAGCTGATTCACTTCCTCTTCTTAGAGAAACATATTGTTTGGAATCAAAAGAAAAATGCCAATTGAAAAACAAAACAGTAGGAAAAAAATTGGAGAGAGACCAGAGGTCACTTTCTACCATTCCTTCTACAGTCCAATTTTTACAAATCAGATTTAAGTGAGGGAGGCTAATTCAATAACTTACAAGTGTTTATTGATTGCTTATTCTTGCCAGGCACTGTGCCCAGGGCCATTTAGAAAACAAAGAACACAACCCCCAGAGTATGAGGGAAGACACAACTGAACAGGGGTGAGGAGGACAGGGTAGCCCAAAGGAGCTCATTGAAAGAGTGGATGGAAACCAACTACTGGAGAGAGGACAGTCCAGATTCTAGCTCCTAACTGAACTGCACCTTCCTGAGGTCAGATAACTCCTTCTAGCTCACACTTTTTTTTTTTTAAGATTTATTTATTTATGCATACAAGAGCTGGGGTACAGGCCAGAGATGTGGGGGGGGGGTGAGAGGATTCACCAGAGACAGAGTGGGTACAGAACAGGCAAACTGACATACACTGCTAAGGGGAGCAGCAAGCAAAACAGGAGAGGTCTGCTTTGCCATGTGGGTAGCTCCCCAGCCAGTCAGGGGATCGAGCTCCTGCTGCAGAGGCTGAGGACACCTTCACAGTGGGGTGCTTAACCGCTTAAGCCACCAGGGAGGTCCCGTCTAGCTCACACTTTTAAAGAATGCATCTATTTCTGTAGTTTTCAAACTTGTTTAAAGCAGCAGAATTCTTCCTTCAAACAAAGCCTTACTAGCATCACAAAGAATAAAAAACAGGGGGGTTAAATTCTGGTCACAGAGGGGAGTGGAATTCAGGTCACAGAGGCAGGTGGAAGCATGAGGTCTTCCCTGCCTGCTTCTCCATCAACACCCTACCCTGAACTCACCCTTTATGCAGCCTACAAGGTTCCTTGCACCCTGAGGGCTTACAGAGCACACACACCGTGAAAACCACCAGTCTACAGAAGCCACTGCCTCCACTTACAAATGGGAAAATAAGGTTCAAAGAAGTTAGAGAGATCTGCCTAATTCTTTTACAGCTCCAAAAGACTTCACGTAGTTATCCACAAAATATGGACATTGCCTCCATGTGGATAATTGATGGGAAGAAACTGGACTTTGGTCACAGGTGCCAGGTTCTAGTACCAGATGTGCCATTTAGTAAAACAGTGAGCTCGGGCAAGCAAGTCACTGAAGCTCTCAAAGCCGTAGTTACCTATCTGTGGATTGGAAAGAACCAATACTCCCTTTGTAGCATTTTCATGAGGATGAAATATATTGAGTAAAATAATTACTGTCATTGTTTTATCTAAAGAGCACCATTCGTGAGGAGTGTCTCCTCCTCCGCATTTGCTCAGCACAACCACTTCCCCGCCCCTTCTGCACGTTAAATCTCTAGGGAAGCACCAAGGTACCTCTGGGCTCCTCAGGCAGCACGTGCAGCACCACGCTCCGTTTCAACACCTCACTCTCCATTTCCAGGCGGATTTCACAGGTATAGGTCCCCTGGTCAGCTTCCTCCACATTTTGGAGCAGGAGAGAACCGTCGTGGTGTAAGATGTCCCCCACCAAGAGGGTCCGATTCCGGAAGCGGCCCACAGACACACTGAGGTTGGAGTAGTAGTACAGCACGTAATCCTCCTGGAGGGAAAATCTAAAGTCAGTGGTTCCAGACCTGGGAGTCTGGATTCAAAAGATCCTGTTCTGTGGGGGCAGCAGTGTCACCGCCATCATCCTAACAGCGATTAAAGAGCACTTTGTGCCCAATTAATGACCAGCACATGCCAGGCACTACTCTATAACTGTTATAAGGCTCTGGGGCTCATTTTACACAAAGACATCTGGAGAGACAGGGTCCCTATATGTGTATTTCTTACAGTTTAAGATAAGAGGAAACATAACTTTTGAAAACTATCTCCTGCCTCCACCCTATTTTCTGCCACGGCCCCTGAATTAGATGCCATTCAAAGGCATGATGCAACCCTACAAGCTGGCTGGTGGCAGGAGTGCGGGCAAGTTGGCTGCCACTCCTCTTCCTTCTGTCCTCCTCAGGCAGCATATCATAAGGAATGAGGAGGAGTCAATGGGAATGGTTTATGGGCTGGGAGGGGAAGAATTCTTATTTCAACTTATACCATATAAAAATTTGAGTGAGAATAGCATTATAGGGAAAACATGCTCTGAGCTAGAAAAACAATCTATTTCATTTGCAAGCACTGGCATTTTACTGGACATATTTCATTACTAACGACATATCTCATAAATGATCCTGACATACTATTGGAGCAGCTGAGCCCTGTGCCTCTGGGCCCTCAGAGCAGCCACCACCGCCTCCCAGGCTGAGTGCAAATGGAGTTTTTTTCCCACCAGGATGAAGGGCCAAACTCGACCCCCTGATGTCCAGACACCCAAGAAGTCCAGCGGGAATGCATCCTGAGTGAGGGGGCTGAGGAAGGGAGTAAGCTGAGTGGCCATTTTGTGAGCCTTTAAAAAGAAGCAATGCACACAGATTTGCTCTATTTTTCACCGGAGTGGCTGCAGAAGCAGCACCAAACCAACTGGGTGGTGGGCCTTCGCCCACCTCCCCCCAGAGCAGGGGAGCCCCCCCCGACCTCAGTAGCAGCAACTTGCCATACCCTGCCCATTTTTGTAACTACAACTCCACCTGGCATCATTGGTTGGTAACTGGGCCTTTCTCCCTCCCCCTCTACCTTATTGATTTAGAATAAATAGGTTTTTTCCTTTTGCTGTACCAAAGGCCCTTTGATTTGCATTTATGGTTGTGGGTGAATGGACCCAGAACTAGAGATAGGTTATGACCCAATAACAGTTTTTAGACCCTTTGCCTGATAACAATACAAGTATCTCCACAGAACCTCTGCTGAGGCTTCATACACTATTTCCTCTTCCAAGGAGCTCCCATGAAAGATGCTCACTCAGCCACGCTGCACCCTGTTAACCCCAACACTTCCAGCATCCGTGAAGGAGAAAGAGTTGATTCCCCAGAATATAAGTGGGCAGTGGAATGCTCAAAGAATGTCTCCATTACTCACCCAAAAAGATGATTGTGATACCATCCTTTTCTCTTCCCCACCTACCTATGCTTCTCCACGAAGGGCAGAAATGGCGGGGCGGGGGTTGCTAAAAGAACTTTATGTGCCTATCTCCCTTTAGCTTCTCAATGACCTGAGAGTGAAGCATTACCACTAGTACAATCACCCTCATTTTCTTTTTTTTTTTTAAAGATTTATTATTTTTTATTTATACAAGCACTGGGTACAGTAAGAAGCGCGGGAGGGCAAGAGAATTCACCAGAGCCAGAGCGGGGAACAGAATAGGCAGAAGAACCTAAGTACACTACTGAGGGGAGCAGCGGGCGGCAGGAGAGGTCTGCGCGCCATGCAGGACCCTCTTCCAGTGGCCGGGGAGTAGCCAGGGATCGAACTATCGCTGTAGAGGCTGCGGGCAGCTTTGCAACCCAGTGCTCAACCACTGTGCCACCAGGGAGGCCCAATCACCCTCATTTTCACAAATGGGGAAGCTGAAATCAATGAGGTTGAGTAACTTTCCCAGCTGATTATACAACCAACAAGCCAAGTTAGGAGGAGGCCCAGTTCTGACAAACTCTAAACTCACGCTCTTGCAACACCATTTCACAGCACCTCTTGACCTGAATCCCTTCTCTCCACACTGTTCTGACACCATTGGCCAGGACCTTGCTGCTACTCCATAGTCATATTACCTCTTCTTACCTTGGCATGCTCTTTCGATGAGAACATCCAGTCTACCTTGATCACACGTTTCTCTTCTGTGCGCTGGAAAACACATTCCATCAGAGCTGAATCACCCACATGGACTGACAGCTCAAGGGAGGAAACAATCACATCACTCAGGCCTGAGGAATAATCTGTAGAAGTCAAAGGCAAGAGGAGGTTATCATTTAGACAAATGCCCTCACCAACAAAAACCTAGTAATCACCTAAACTGTACACCTTCACTCTGCCAGTGACCTAACATGGATGATGTATTCAGAGTCCCCTCACTCGAACCAGGATGGCATTCCCAGGGGGTGAGGAATACCCTGTGGCTAGCCACACAACTCGGGCAGAGAGACCCTGCAATCTTCACACTACACCACAGGCGCTCTGGTCCCCTCCTCTTTACCAGTCCCTTCTTCTTCTCCAGATTTCCTCCCCTTCCCACCCCCAATCACCTTTCTAAAAAAAAAAGAAAAAGAAAAAGAAAAAGAGAAATCCTGAAGTCCCTCCTTTTAGGTCAGAATTTAAACCCCATAAATAGGAAATGTGGGGGACTCTTGCTCTAAGTTTAGCACTGGTTCCTTATCTGAAAAGCCAATTACAGGTAGATTTATTTTTTCTTCCTCTTTTCCCTTTGTTTCATTCCTTTGCAAAAGCTTGTCTCCAAATTTGCCAGTTGAGCTGGCTACAGGGCAGATCCTGACAATTAGGCCACTACAGAGCACAGCTTTCCCCTTGAACTTCTTCCATGCTTGCCTTCTCCCTACTCTACCCCCTCCTCTTCACCCCCAGTTTTCCGTCAACCCTGGCTTCTCAGCTTCTACATGTTTGCACTTGTAGTACACCAGCCATCATCTGCACGGTGCTGAGTCATTTCTTTTTTTACCTAAAGAGACCATCTCTACATGGATACTTCTGTTTCCACAAGACATGCTCTAGCAAAGAGATGAAAACAGCAAGAAAGACACGTTCAGAAGCTGGCCAGGTCATACCACAGGAGAGCCAAGTGATGGCATATGGGAATGTGGCAGTCTTTTCATGCAAGCTGTTGCCCTGAGAGAAAAGCCTTTGCTTCCTGCTCAACAGCAGGCACACACAGTGGGGAAGACAGAAAAGAAAACATAAACTCTAAAGCCTTTGGGGGGAATTATTTTGAAAGAAATCAAAATTAGCTCCAAAAACTATTTGGAATTTTCCTATAAGGAAGAACTGAGCAACGGTTAGGTGGTATAAGAAGCTAATTAAGAGCACTGTATGTGGAATTAAAGGAAAGTTTGCTAAAAAGCAAAAGCAGCAACCAAAGCAAAGAGAAACATATATCTATCTAAAGGGTAAGCTTTGTGGAGAAATGGTTGAAGAAAATGAGGCTTTCACAGAAGAGAAAAACCCCTCCACACAGAAATGCAAAACCACATGATGGCCCCAAGCCACAGAGTGGACAGTTAACTCTCCGGGTAAAAGGACAAAAACCTGCAGACAGCATCACAGACCTCTGAGGAAAGGTCTAAATGCCCTCTGAGATCATTATAACCCTGCTGCCATGAAAAGAATGTTTCTGCTTCGTGCCGTGTGTGTGTGTGTGTGCATGTGCATGCACACACATGTGTCTGCATGTTGTGTACACTCTGCATTGCCTGGACTTAGAGCAAAGGCAATTCTTCCATGCTCTTTGCTGAGTCTGTGCTTTGGTCACTCTCCACGGTTCAAACACCAATAATAATGAAAATAAAAGACTATGAGTATAAATCACCTAACTAATTGATTCTTCCTACAAAACTAGATCTATGGAATAAAGAGAAAAGGAAAAAGGATCAGAAAAGTTAGAATGTCAGAGATGAGCAACAAGAAGCATCCTGAGCTGTTAGGGGACTTTGGCCTGGTCTGAGGAGGTAGCCCACACTTTTGAGAAAGAAGTGGAGCTTAAGGGGGAACCTGAAGGATAAGAAGCCTTCCGGACAACTGAAGAAAAGTGAAGAGAGAGGTTCTAGGCAAAAGAAACCACCTCGTAATGGAAAAGAGCTCAGTGCATTTGAGGAACCAGTGCACTTAACATGACTAAAGCATGAAACAATTACTGGGATTCTGGGACTCTCTTTGGTAATTTCATTTCCTGATTTGAGTCTAGCTGTGGTTTTAAAGATAACAATTTAAAATACAGGAATGCCAGAGCATAACTTTTTTTGTATCCCATCAGAGAGTCCTAGACCACCCAGTAAGGACCCAAAGGCATTCTGTTCTTAACAGAAACAGAGGAACATTCTGATTTCCAAGAAAGAATGTGCTACCAAGCTTCTAAAACAGCTGTTTCAGGCTAACTGTGAAGTTCCAGGTTAGGGTTTCTGTTTTCAACAAACCAAGGAGAAATGAAAATACACAAAATTGGTTTTGAAAAATGAATGTGGGGCCTCCCCAGTGGTGCAGCAGGTTGAGCACCATGCCGTGAAGCTGTCCGCAGCCTCTGCAGCACCGGTTCGATCCCCAGCCGGCCAGGGAGCAACCCAAATGGCGCGGCTGACCTCTCCTGTCTCGCCCGCTGCTCCCCTCAGCAGTGTACTACAGTCCTTCTGCCTATTCTGCTCCCCGCTCTGTCTCTGGTGAATTTTCTTACCCTCCCCAGCCTCTGGCCTGTACCCCAGTGCTTGTATAAATAAATCAATCTTTAAAAAAAAGGAATTTAAGGGCCTGCCCGGCGGCACAGCGGTTGAGCGCTGGGTTGCGAAGCTGCCCGCAGCCTCTGCGGCGCCAGTTCGATCCCCGGCTGCTCCCCGGCCACGGGAGGAGGGTCCCACATGGCGCACAGACCTCTCCTGCCGCCCTCTGCTCCCCTCAGCAGTGTACTTCGGTCCTTCTACCTGCTCTGCTCCCCGTTCTGGCTCTGGTGAATTCTTTCACCCTCCCGCGCTTCTGACTGTACCCAGTGCTTGTATAAACAAAACAAACAAACAAATAAATAAATAAATAACATGCCTCTATAAAAAAAAATAAAGTCTAAAAAAAAAAAAAGAATTAAAAAAAATAAATAATAAAAATGAATGCATCCTACAAGAAAGCAAATCCCCTACCTTGTTCCTTTGGTGTCTACTTACCCAGTAACAGTGGTATCAGGATGAATATCAGGGGGCAAAACATGGTCCTCCTCTCCATCTTCCAATCTTAAGGGGAAAAGAAGGGGGGTCAGAAAGAAGTGTTGAGGGAAGTTTGTTGATTTAACAAACCAAAAGGAGCCCCTCCATGGGCCAGCCTCTGTCTGAGTTGCTGGGATGCAGCCTGAGCAAGAAAGACAATTTCCTCTCACACATGTGGTTGCATGAGGGGGGTAGGCAGAAAAACTAAGTGAATGCATGAATAAGAAAATAAGAAGCTGATTAAGTGCTCTGATGAAATAAAACAGGGGGTGTTTGTAGAGCCACTGAGGGGGCTGCTTTAGACTGACTATAAGAGAAGATGAAAGTGGTCTTTCAAGAAAAAAGAAAGCAGATAATTGCAAGATACCCTTAAGAAGATAGCCCTGGCTAGTCAAACAAAAAAATGCCAGAGACTCAGATTTTGTTGTGGCCATCATTTCACTATATATGTGAGTCAAGCCATCAAGCTGTGAGCCTTCAACTCAGCCAGGGATATATGTCAATTTTCTCTCAATTAAAATTACAGGATACTCGGCCTGAACTTTGTACTGATCTCTCCAAATTAACTTAAATGACTATTTCTAAACATAATGAATGATCAGGACATGTGGGAAAGGAAACACACAAATAAAGGGGAAATTTTCCACTCAGTTAAGGCATTCACCAAGCTCTTTAACTAAAAGAAGCCACCTGAAAGGTCCACAGTGAGCTTCCCCGCCTCCCCCCAACACCCCTTTTTAGAAAACTTTTTAAGGCAGGGCAGTGTAGATATAACAAGAATTGGACTACAATGGGCAAAAAGCATTTTTTTTTTTAAATTTCTGTATGATCTGCATTTACTTGACTGCATCCACTAGCTCCTGGGAAAGACACCACTGTTTTATACAAGACCCCACAGTTTTCCTAATGAAACAAAAGGAGTGCAAGGAGTTGCAAGGAGTTGCAATTCAACCACCTTGGGCTCCTATCTACTACTGTGGCTGTTGTCAGTCATGATCCCTGCACCCTAACATCCTGCCACTGGAGCAATTCCACCTCAGGACCTGCTAGAAGAAACAGTCTTTTTTTGTGCATTAACATGCAGTACCCTACCTCGCTCTGGGGGGAGTCCAGCATATACAGGGACCATTTTAATTGTAAAAAATTATATGCATGAGATTCCTTGCCTGTATTCTAATCAATAAAATCCTCCATCTGGAAAATCAGTGTCAAACTGTTCAAAGAAGTCCTACCCTAGCTCCCACTTATGCAGGAAAGTCAGTTGACCTTGCTTAACCTCAATTTCCTCGCCTGTAATATGAGAATAAAAATGCAAGGATTAAATATAATCACGTAGATAACAGTGCTATTGAAAAATAGAAAGTATTACCACAAAATCCTCTTTTATCACTGAAAAATCAGATAGGAAACAGAGTTTGTGGCTTTAAAAGACATTTTGGGTTCTGAGATTTCTTTATAGAGATGGCAGGTGATGAGCCAGAATGAACTGGAAACTTTGAAGTTTCAATTTTCCCATTGTAACAATGTAGATAATAATCATACTGACCCAGATATATGGACAGTCACATTAAGTTTTCCCAAACATAAGTCTAATGAAATTACAGTTCTCCCTCAAGATCACCATAACCCTATTTCTGCTCCCTGTCACCAACCTTACTCCACACATACATGGGAGAGGATGACACAGGGCTCCCTTTACAGCATGTCAGAACTTTAACTTATCATATCTGGAACATCTGAGGTTCCTGTTGTATCTGGATCAATTGGTTGCACTCCCTCTTCTGCCCAGCCTACAACTCTCATTTATTCCCTCCAGCAGTGCATCATTTGCATGGAGGAGTCATTGATTTTACATGCTTAACACCAAACCCTATTAAGTCTACATTCTCAAGGGCAGGGTCTGTTTGCGCTTTGTTCTATGGGTGTCCCAGACCTGTGCTACAGCACCAATAAAGTACCTGGTATACACTAGAAAAGTGCGGATGGCACAAAAAGACCATCAAGGTGAAGTCAGCTTAGATGTTCTGCAACTGTATCATTTTATTCTGAGAAAAATGGGACCACCAAAAGATTCTGAATCTAATCACCAAACGTAAGTCATTCAGAGCCACACCCAATTCTAAGAAATGTGCAAACAAACGCATGAGTAGAAGATACCCATTTTCAGACCTAAGTACTCAATTGCACCATTGGAATTCTATATGCATCAATGGAGAAGTAATGATTGAATTGAAAAAGCAGTGAACTGAATTTATTTTTTAAATCTCTTCCTGAGACAGACCTTTTGTTAACTAACTCTTAGATTATTGGGAAATCAGTCAATGCCCCTGAGCCTCATCTTTAAAAGATTGGACTTTTCCGCTGAGATACATAGCACCACATTAGAAGTCAACAGTTGATATGCAATAAACTGGAGAAGGTTATGCCAGGTACCGAGTTTTTTTACACAGTGACCCACTTCATCCTCACAACAACCCTATGAGATTTTACTGACGAGGAAACTAGATACAGGTTGGTGAACTGACTTGCCTCAGAACACATATCAAGTGGCAAGCCAGGATCCACACCCAGGCACACACTGCACTGCCCCTCCTGTAAAAGCAATGACTGCTGTAGAGCAAAGCTTCCCTGGATTACATTTGTCAAAGCAAGATTAATCTGCCCCCCTAACTGAAAGCTCTCCCACACTCTTCACAAACACTCCTCTTCATCGTTCCGATCTCAAGTTAAGTGTCATTTCCTCAGAGAAACCTCTCCTGAACCACTCTTTGTGGGTCAGACCTCCTAGCCACATGATTTCTAATTGTCTATTTATTTGTATGCCCATTTAATTAAAGTCTCCACCCTCACCCCAAGACTACAAGCTCATTGAAGCCAAGAGCTATACCCATATGCCACTATATCTCCGGTGCCAACTCAGCGTAAGGCACAGGGTAACAGCCAATAGCCACTTGTCGCATGTGCTACTAACACCTAGGAGAGTCATTAACCACTCACCACATACTTAACACTTAGTCAAATTTCCTTTTCCTAGTTGGCAAATATTCAGAAATTCTCATCAAACTTCCACATAGTCAGAGTTATATATACATATATATATGCATATATAAAAAACAAATTTCTGAATTTTATATATATGATGAATAGCAATCATTTAAAATCTAACCAAGCAAAAAGCGAGCTCACCCATCGAGTTGAATGGCCAGCTACATCAGGCTGCAGTGGCCAAGGGTGATTCTCTAAAAGTGGCTGAAAGTGTCTCCTGCCATTAGCGCGTTCACCCAGGCCTTGAATCCCAAACAGCTACTAAACTGTGTAAGCTGGCCCACAAATACAGACCAGAGACCAAGCAAGAAAATAAGCAGAGGTTGCTGGTCTGGGCTAAAAAGAAACTCGCTGGCAAAGGGGATTCCCTACTAAGAGGCTACCTATCCTTCGAGCAGGAGTTAAAACCATCTCCCTCCTGGTGGAAAACAAGAAGGCTTGTGACACACATAACATGGACCCCATTGAGCTGGTCAAGCTGGTCGTCTTCTGCCTGCCCTGTGTTGGAAGGTGAGGGTTCCCAACTGCATGATCAAGGGGAAGGCGAGGCTGGGGTGTCTGGTCCACAGGAAAACTTGTACCACTGCTGCCTTCATACAGGATAACTCGGAAATCCTAGCTGAGCTGGTGGAAGTTATCAGGACCAATTACAATGACAGATACACTGACATCTGTTGTCACTGAGGAGGCACCCTCCTGGGTCCAAAACCTGTAGCTCACACGGCCAAGCTGGAAAAGGTGAAGGCTAAAGAAATTAACATGAAACTAGGCTGAGTGAATGTCGTAGCACCTTCTCTACACTGGTCTCCTCTGCCAGTGCCAAAAAAATAAAATCTAACCAAAGCATTCAGATGCACCATAAGCACCTTGATAATAATAGACTCCATTTAAATTTTGCACTTCTACCCTGCTTCCTTCTCCAGATACTAGTTTATCTCCTCAGCAGATGTTCTGGAGACAATTCTGCATCTACTGTTTTGTCCTGAGCTCAAGGCTCTCATAATATAACTCCCAAAAAATATCTTCTATCATTCCTGGAGAGTTGTAAATGCCAGGATTACTTTTCCTGTTATTAGGCTAGAAGAACTGCTATCCTTGGCAAAATTATGACAGAACAGAAACCTTCCAAAAGGAGATTCATGACAATAAGACTAGCACACAGGATGTGAAAGTGACTCCCAAATATTTCAATATTATAAGACAAAATAAGGGAGAGGTACTGCCTCTCAGTAAGAATGTTTGCCCCAGTAAGCACTGAGCAAACATACCGGCATGGCCTTCCCCACTCCATCACCTGCTCTACCCCTAATGCTGAGACCCCTCCACTTACACTTGCCATGGACTCCAGGCTCACAGATGTCTTTAGGTGTATGGGTCCACAAAACCACTCTGAAGCATAAGCCTCTTAAAACGTCTCCTTGTTTTTCCTTCCAAGACCAGTTAATGCAGACAGGGAGGTTATGTGGCTCCTTGTGACACAGTCTAGGTCCTAATCTCTCAACTCTCTATTTGAAGGGAACTATGGAAGTCATCTTGTTTCCTTTTTCAGACTGGGTTATACCTAAACCATCCAACATCAGTCTTCCCGGAGACCAGGATTATGGAGAGGGAGTGACAAGTATGGGCAACAGCCTAGCTCTCTCAGGAGGCATAACTCCCTGACTTTTTAAGGTTAAACACTGGCCTGTCTAGGATTGGAAGAGGGAAAACAGTGAAGGAACAGACCTGCTATGAGTGCAAGGGAAGCGAGACACTCCTCTACCTAAAGCCACAGCTGACTATAAGCTAAAACCATATCATCACCACCACCACCATCATTTACTCGTTTATGGAGAGCAAACCTCACTCTTCTTTTCTCTGAGGATCATAACAGAAGTTACTCCACACTACAGAAATGAAAACTGTTTCCACTAGACTCTGTTCCAACAGTCCTCCTGTGAGGCTGAGTTTTGGCATGTGGCCTCGCCACCCAAAAGGACTGCCTTTAATTAAACCTTCAGAACCAGCATTCTTCTGAGGGAGAAAATTGCAAATCACTGTTTAAGAAATACAGAGTGATTGCTTACCCAAGATGAGTCTGCGTCCAGGAGAAGCACTGCACTGGACTCCCCCACAACTGCAGTTCCCAGGTCCTACTGAAGAGGCTTCTTTCAGCACAGATGGTTAGACTCAGCAAACCAAATACATGAGTTCCGAAATAGCTAGAGATATAAACAGGAACCTCTAAATCAAGTTCTCATTTCAGCCCTCTAGCCGACTATCCAAATATTTTTTACATTTTCATTCTAAAAAGAGGTAATAAATTCAATTCACTGAGGGGAACCTCATATTCCAGCCCTCAGAAGCTATCCTGCCCCACTTCTAGATTACAAGATCTCTTGGGATCTCGAATCATCAGGGGAAAAAAATCAGCCTCCTACAAACAAAATATAGTAAATTTAAGATTAATGCAAAACATTATGTATTCAAAATACAAAAACCTCTATGTCTTTCTCCCAACTGTCAACTTACCACTTAATTTGTTTATTTCCTTTGACCATGTGACAGCATTTCCAGACTACAGGTAGCAATTTTTTCCCCAAGAATCCCTTGGGTGACTCAGAATCTTAGTTAAGAACTCAAGGCTTTTTCAAGTATTTCTTGCTCATAAGTTGCCACTTCACTGAACGTATTCTCAGCCTACACGTCCTCAGCCTGGTTGAACTGGCTTGACTGACACAAGGGTATGCTTGTTTTCTGGAACTTGCCCCGTGTCATTTGAAAGTTGTTGAATGCTGGCTCTTCTTAAACCATATTCTTATGAAGTGGTATGCTGGTAAGTGTATGCTCACCATGACTTATTTCAAGGTACAAAGCGTTTAACTTGCAAAAATCCTAAAAATATAACCGTTGACTCTTGCTCTGTGAGCTGGCTCCAGCACCCACCTAAATCCATGCAGATTCTTGCTGTGGTACAGCTCAGAGATGAATGGTTGCCTGACAGTAAAAACCACAAACCACCCCCCACTCTGTTGCGCACGACAGTTTTCATCTTATATGTAGATATATAACAACAACAACAAAAAAAAAAGACAGAAAGTGCAAAGAAGTTTATTAACTATGATGTGGTAAGGATATCAAGAGTTACAGTATCTGTGTACATGGCCCAACTTTGCATACCCACCGACAAAAACTCAAGTAAAATACAATAATTAACAGTCCAACAGTCCAACACTACAACTCCAGTCAAAGGAATGGCGCTGCCTCTACTGGCAGCAAAGTTTTGAGTTGTGCAATTAAATGACAGGCTTGGTCCACTCACTCTTCTTGAACTCTCCTGTGGAATCATAATTGAGTGACACAGTAGAACATTTAGGTTCCTGATTTGGCCTCCAAATATTTTTTTCAACAGGGACATGAGTGGTTCCATCTTGAAGCACCAGGGTCCAGATCGACAACTGAAGAGAAATAAGATGTGCCCCAATAAGCCTGAGGTAATAGGCCATATGGAAAACACAAAGCATTTTTTGAAATTCATATACGGGAACAGAATTAAGAGCTCAATGCACAAAACTCTTAAGGTCATGTCACCACAAATAAACACTTCAGCAGCCAAAGAAAAATCCTAAAAGGTTTTTTACCCTTTCTAAAACTTTCAAGATAAAATTGCTTTTCTAGCCAAGGCTGGTCTCCACACAGTAATAAGAACTCAAGGAGCAACAGAAAGAAACAGAGAAATAATAGCACCTTAGAAGATACTCAAACAATTGGTTAAAAAAAACCTGTGTTCCTCCATCTTTAAAGAAGGCTATGTCTAAACACTGCATGGTCTGCTTTGAAGGAAAAAGCTATAATTCAGACATATAAGGGATGAAGAAAGAAATTGATAGCAGCCTATGACCGTGATGTGGCCATAACCCCATGCAGCAGACTAACTTACCAACTTACTCTTTCACCATGAAGGACCCTGTTGCTCAGTCATTTTAAAAAGGAAGCAAATCCTGAACAAAGCTAAAAAATAACATTAAAAAATCACATATTAAGTGTTCCCACAGCACCACTTACCTAAAGTGCCAAACATACCACACTGGATGAATCCTTGTAAGATGGCTAAAAGGACAGTACAAAATCTAGCCAAAACTAATTCCTCAATTAATGGCTTTAACTGGATTCCTTTCTCAGGGAGACAAGGATGCACAAAAAGTCTGCCTCACAATTAGATCTTTATCTTCAAATTTTCTACAGCCCCAAATTATTTACTTTCATTGCTCAAACTGTTTTCTTCATTCTTTGAGGTGTCAGAATTGGTCTCACTAGATTGGGCTCAGAAACCACAATTTTTAACAAGTAGGCCAAGAATGTGAGGTTTAACCACTAGAAATACAAACTGTAGAGGCTGTCTTTGCCTCTTCTACTTTTTTACATGACTAGAAGCAAACTGTAATCTCTGTTAACTAATCAAACCCTGTAATCTATGGACCAGGTTTACAAAAGAGGTGAGACCAAAACTCTTGGACCTCAATACCTGAATTTTAAAAATAGATCTTGGCAAATTACATAAAAGTGATTTTTTATAACATACAGAATATGATGCTATCATATGGAAATCCCCTGAGTCAACTAATGAAGAACCATGGGAAGGGACAGTTCTGTTTTAAAAAAAAATGGGATGAGGGGAATAAGTTTTGTCTCTTAAAATTGAGAAGTGAACTGTATCACGCTATTACAGAGGACTATACTGCTAATACTTTCTGACATGTCACACATATTTCTTAATAGTTTGTAGAAAATCCCATGTAAATTTTGACAAAGGTTACCAATGGAGGAAGTTGATAGAAGGTATCTAGAGAACAGAAGGGGGAAGTCTAAATTGCACACAAACTCACTTCCTTTTCCCAAATATTATGCAAGATTAGCTTGTAAATACCTTCATTTATTCATATTGGTGTGTTTTAGAAATCAAAAAAGTTTTGAAGAAAAACACTGGTAAAAGAGATTTCCTTGCAAATAATTACTAAAATATTTTATACATCCTCACTAAAAAGCTTTTAAAGAGTTTTCCTTGCCTCTAATCTGTAAAGTCAAGAAGGAAATCATATAGCAGTCAACTAGAAGATAGTAAAATAACAAAATGCACCTAGCAAGACAACAGAAAGGAATCCTCATGCTTCCTTTCCTCCTTTGTAAATGGATGACCCTTTACTATTTCAAAAACCCAGTCAAAGCGGAGCATTGATTCTTAATCCCACCAAGAAATTTAGGGTTGTACACTTCAAGTCACTCAAACACAAATAATATCACTCAATGGTGATATTATTAAATCAATAAATTTATGCTATATGCTAAGTCACAGCTGAAAATGTTCATGGAGCATAAAACAAAGAATACTTATCTCAAACAAACATTTTATCTGGTAGTGCAGCAGGAAGTTACACATTCCATTTCATTAAAAAAAAAAAATTTGGCATCAGCAGCATGGCCAACATTTAGAATTCTCCCTTAAATAAATGGAAGAAATCATGTAATACATTCAAGAGAAATTATTTTCAGGAAAAGAATTCCTTCCTTCAAATTAGAATATAAGTTATTAAGAGGGGTAGTTATGAGTCTCTTCTGAGAGTTTTTAAACAGTTTATAAATACAAAAAGAACATTTCTTCAATAAATAAATGGCTCCCTAAAGTCTTTACTGGTGACTTCCAGAATCCTCCATCACTACTGTCCAGGCCAACTCCACCTCTCTGAGAGGCTTTGGCTACTAGTGGGATGGCACATTTTCTGTCTTTAGGTGATTTTTCATGCAGACTTTCATCAATATGTCTCTTCACAGTCTGAATCCTAGACGGAAAAGTACAATAGTTAGGGTTTATATATGAAGTATAATACCACAATTAGAATCAGGCAAACACCACACATTAGGACCCCCATATGAAAGTCAGCTTGGGGAACTTTGAATCAACACTCCGAAATCCCCATAAAGCTTCACAGGACCTCAATATAACTGAAGTCTATTAGACCTATTTCTGCTTTGAAATCCTAAGGGTTCCCTCCACATCATCAGATCATCAACAATCAATTCTCAGTTCTCATTTTACTAGATCTGACTCAGCAGCAATTGACACATTTAATCATTTTCTTTTCACTTTCTTCACATGGCTCCCAGGATATTCAACTCTCCCGGTTTTCCTCCTACCGCACAGTACATTCTTTCTCAACATCTTTTACTAATTCCTCTTCATCTCCCCAATCTATCAGCCTTGGTGCACCCCAGGGTTCATTCCTTTGACATCTTTTCTGTATACACTCATTTCCTTGGTGCAAATAGCTCCACTAGTCAATCTGCTACTGAATACTAATTATGCTTTCAGTCTAGATCTTTCTCCTGAACTCCACACTTACATAGACAATTGCCTATTCCACATCTCCACTTGGATATTTAAAAACTATTACAAATTTAATACATCCAATCTCAGCTCCTGATCTTCATCCTAAAACCTATTCCACCCACAGACTGTGACTTGGAGGATGAGATTTTTCCAACATGCAAAGAATATAAGTTATTTGAGGGCAGGAATTTTTGTCAGTTCTGTTTACTACTGTTTCCTAAGTACCTAGAATCATATCTGGCACATGTCAGATACTCAGTAAGTAAGTGCTGGGTAAATTAATAATTGAAACGTAGATAATAATCATATTAACTTATTTTGTGCTGTCAATATTTTTAAACCCCAAAGGATTGGTATTAGATTCTTTCCAATGGCACCATTAACCCTTCTCTCATCTTACCTATTATAGTGAAATGCCCAAGAGGAAGAGAAACAAAGAACAATGCAATGAATAATTGGGCTGCAGTATCATGGCCAAGTGCTGAACTTGGCAATAAGTACAAAGAGGCTCAAGTTTAAACCCTGCAAAGACAGGTATGCTTCATATTAGATCATAAGTTGCTTTTGACCTGTTTCCAACTGCACCACATCAGCGAATCTCTTCCTCCTAGGATGCTGGGACAGCCCCACAAGCCTAGTAGTCACAGGAAGAAGGAATGACAGGCCTTCGAAATTTAAATCAAAATTTATGCTTCCCAACATGGGTATTTCTTATTAGCAAAGGCATTAGTCATTAAAATGTTATGGTGGAAAAGGTTTTTTCCACTCCTTCCCTGGAAAAAAGTAAGGCTCTGCAGAAAAGTTAAATTCAGGACTTCTGGGTCAAATCTCCTAGCATAACCTCGGTCGGCGATAGGATACGCCTCTTTCAGGATGCTCACTGTGAGTCAGCAGAGGCTGCCCTACACCGTCCCTGCTCTAATATAAGGACACAAGAGACTGAGTCCATGAGAACGGAACACAAAAAAATGGTTAGAATTGGCAGGGATTCCCTGAGACCAAATGCTCTAGGGGAAGACAACGATTCACATCTCAATTTAGAATGATCTCTCCTGCCTCTAAGGACAAAGCAGGACAAATAAATACAAACAGCAAACAGAAGAAATGGACGTACCAGGCACTCAGCACAACGGACACAAAGCCGGGCCATACAGTCACCCTCCTCCTCCTGGTCAGTGCTGCAGAAAGAGGACAAACCCAAGCTGAGCAATTGCCAGCCACAGTAGAGAGGAGCGGTTAAGACACAGGTATTGAAATCACACAGGACTGGTTTTACATTCCAGTTCTGCCACTTACTGGCACAGTGACTGGGTGAATTACTTAAACTCCAGGAGCCTGTTTCCTCATCTCTAAAATGCAGTTATTACCACCTACGCTTAAAGGCTAGTGATTAAGACTAAATTAAAAAAATACATGAGTTTATACATGTACTCAATAAATAGGAGCTGGTAACAATCATTCATTGAGAAAGGCACTGAGCACTGACCATACAAGAGGCATTGTGCTAGGTTGGGGATACAGACATCTTAAGACAAGGTCCCTCAAACAGCTCACAACCTCAAAGGGGTAAGAGACCTGTTAAAATTTAACAAGCGTGTTACAATACAATGTGATGACTATTAATAGAGTTAAGTTTAAAGTGCTGGGACAGCAAAGAGGAGGGCATGACTAGTCTCCCCAGGGGATTCAGGGACACTTAAGTGGTGACATTTCAGCTGAGTCTGGGAGGATAAGGAAGGAGACTAAGGCAAACAAGAGAGGGAACCATGGGGATTCCAGGTAAGAGAAAAGCATGTGGGAAGAAAAAAATTTGAACAAGTATATATGTTCAGTGAAGAAAATAAACTCTACAGCTGGAATGTGAGGCACATGAGAAGAAATGGCAGGAAACAATAAACAATGTGACTGAGGGTTAGTCATGTCGAACCACGCTTAGAAGTAGGCATTTTTGTATTTTACTAAGAGCTCTTTATCTTGGAGGAGGCGGGACAACACAGATTCCTTGTAAAGGGCACGTCTCTCCCATTGAATAAATGCATATGGATACCTGGTCAAGGTAAGGATTCCCTCCTCAGGGGGGAGGGAAGCAAATATTGTTTTAAAATGAACAATGATGTAAAAAAATAAATAATAATAATAATAATAATCAAAAGAATTCCTGCCTCAGATTAGGAACCCCTGACATAGACAATGGAGAAAGAACAGTGTCTTTATGTAGACTTCCGTTACCTTTTTTCTTTAGCAAATTTGTTTTAAGGGAAAATACTGGATTATTAGTGCCCACATGTTTGATAAATGTTTTTGAGAACTACAGCCCAATTAGCTCCAATTTAGAGAATCTGCTGATGCAGAATAGATGTTGCTTAATTTAAATTGCTTTTGCTCTCCAAGACTATTTTTAAAGCTGCTCTCACTGCTCAGGCATTTTTTTGGGGGGGAGACATCATCTCAGTGGCAAAAGATGGAAAGGAGGGAAATAACTGACTTGTTGGATTTTCCTGTTAATTTTGAAGGAATGCTATATCCACTGGAGAGTTTATATTCAGAACCATTGCATTGTGCAATCTGATATCCAAAGCAGGAGACGAAGAACATACTACCAACCCCTCCATTCTCTCTCCAAATTAACATCCACAAATCTCACCCTCAACCTTCCTTCTAGTACTCCTCAACAGAACTAGCCTCTTTAAAAAGGAAATTTCACCAGCAGATCTGAACTTGGCCTGGGAGAGAAGAAGTTATGAACATAGGTCTATGTACTCTCCACAAAGCAGGAGTCTGAGGGGAAACAGGATCACAACTCCAAGCTCCAGCTGAACTTACTCATCGGAAACCTCAATAGACGACTTCTTATAACCAGACTTGCTCCTCTTCGTCAGCCCCGCAGACTTCCTCCCCATTCGCACCAACAGCAGAACCACCACCACAGCTGAGGGGATGAAGACGAGAATGGAAAGAAGGGTGACAGAGGACAGCATGGTGCCAAAACCTAGAGGAAAAAAAAAAAAGGTCAAAGAGAGACGTGCAAGAGTGCTTCCTTTCACTTGAGCTAGGTTTTTACCTTTGCTCGTATTCCAGTAACACAAGGAATAAATTCATTGCAGAAAAGGTAGAAAATACACAAAAGTACAAAGATAGGGCCTCCCTGGTGGCACAAGGGGTTGAGCACCACACTGTGAAGTGGTCCACGGCCTCTGCAGCATGAGTTTGATCCCCGGCCGGCCAGGGAGAAACCCACATGGCGGGGCAGACCTCTCCTGCTCGCCCACTGCTCCCCTCAGCAGAGTCTTTCAGTCAGTCTGCCTGTTCCATTCCCCACTCTGTCTCTGGTGGCTCCTCTCACCCCCCGCATCTCTGGCCTGTACCCCAGCTCTTGTATGCACAAATAAATAAATCTTTAAAAAAGAAAAGTACAAAGATAAATAAAAATTTATCCACAACCCCAAAGCTAGGATTAAAACATTGGTACCTACCCATTTAACTTCTTTCCAGGAAACCTATAAGTTATTGTCTTAAGAGATGAAGAAGGAAAAAGGAAGGAGAGAAGAAAAAGAAAAAGAGAGAAAGAAGGTGGAGAAGAGAGAAAGGAAGGAAAGAGGAAGAATGGTAGAAAAGAGAGAAAAACAGTCCTAAGACAGTCATCTGTAATGAGCCATGATACGGTGGTGTGTCTCTACTAAGTCCTTGATTTAAATCCAGTTAAGGACTGGCATGACAGACCCCCGGTCACCAGGGGATAATGTAGGTAAAAAGGTCAGTCCTTAGCCTACTCTCCTCCTATTTCACACTAAAACGAAACTGATGCTCTTTGCAACATGAAAGTAGCATGCAGTCGCCCATCCTTAGAGGGATTCCCTTTCAAGACACAGGCAAGAACACAGGTCTTGGGCCTCCCCTGGTGGTGCAGTGGTTGAGCGCTGGGCTGAGAAGCTGCCCACAGCCTCTGCAGCACCAGTTCTATCCCCGGCCACCAGCGAGGGTCCCAGATGGTGCGACAGACCTCTCCTGCCGTGCCCACTGCTCCCCTCAGCAGTGTACTTCGGTCCTTCTGCCTGTTCTGTTCCCCGCTCTGGCTCTGGTGAATTCTCTCCCCCTCCCGCACTCTGACTATACCCAGTGCTTGTATAAATAAATAAATAAATCTTTAAAAAAAAAAAAAAGAACACAGCTCTCATAACCTAGGAAACAGAATGACTTCTATGTCACACAGGTGGCCACCCTCCCTTCATTCAGGGATTTGCCATACAATCCACAAGACCCTTGGTCAACCAAAGTTAACATAAAAAATAACAATAATAGAAACTATGATGATATTTGATGAACAACTTTAATTTGCAAAATAAAGATAAAAATTTCACCCTTATAGTCAATTCAGGATGACAGAATGCTTCAACAGTCAACTGGCTTACAAAGATTAAGTAGCTTGCTTATTATCGATCGCTCCAGAAAGCACCATAGCAGTCACAGAGCACTACACAGAGAAGGGTGGTCACCGGAAGCTTACCCCTTTCTGTGACTGTTAGCTCGGTCACAGGAATATTATGGTGCACGTCAGGGGGGTTCTTCACAGCACAGCTGAATGTCCCGTTGTCCTTTGTGGTGGGGTTGCTTATGCTTATGGATGCATCCCCTTTGTACACATCTCCAACCCAGGAAATTCGATCCCGAAATGTGCCTGCTGTGGTTGGGTACTGGAAAGACTGATAGTGAAAAATCTAAGAAAGTGACACCAGGAGGAAAAAAAGTTAATATGGAAAATGTAAAGCTAAAATGTCCAAAATAAAATACAAATGTAAAATGGGCTTTTTTAATTAAGCACATTTTTTTATGCTTTAACTATCCTATTGGTTAAAGGACAGGTTAATAAATGTTATCAGAAAAAGACCCGATAAAAGAGTCCTGGGATTGAACTTTCAAACCTCTTCTAAATTCTCCCTGATATCCTAAAGCAGTATTTCTCACCTGGGGGTAAATTTGCCTTCCAGGAGACATTTGGCAATATCTGGAGATATTTTTGGTTGTCACAATTGGGGGTGTGCTACTTACTGGCATTTAGTGGGTGGAGGCCAGGGATATTGCTTAAAACCCTACAATGCATAGAGCAGCCCTCCACAACAATTATCAGGCTCAAAGTGCCAACCATGCCAAGTTGAGAAACCCTGTTCTAAAGTAGCATCTAACACATGTATGGGATTTCATAGTACACAAATAACTTCCACATATTTATTCAATTAACCTCATAACAATGTTGAACTACATGGGACAGTTATTATTATTCTGAATTTATTGAAAGAGAAACAAGGTCAAAAAAAAAAAAACTAAGTGAACCTAAAAGGCACAGCATTCACAAGTGGGAAAGGAAAGGTTTTTGTTTATTCTCAAAATCACCAGGAAGATATAATATAATCAAGCCCCTCTCAAGTTATCTATCTCGGCAATAAATATAAACCCAAATCAATTGCATGGTCAGTACTCAATGAATATATGTTAAATTAAAATGAAGCTGCTTCAGATTGGTGATCAGACACTCACTTCGTCACCAAAAGCACATAATTATATCTGGTGGCTGGTCAGGCAGGTACTGCCACATAATATGATCTCTCTCTCTGTTGTGCAAGATTTAAAGCTTTCCTCTTTCTTTGTTTACTTGGTACCCCGAATTTTACAACCACTGAATTGCCTAATTTTGACAACATCTCAGACAAGATGCTGAATCACTTACTGGCTCATTTATTCATGCATTTATTCAGCAAATATTTATTTCACACCTGCTATGTGCAAGGCACCATGTCCAGCAAAAGGATATAGTGGGGCCAAATAGGCACAGTACCTGCTCACACTGAACTTACAATCTAGTGGGAAAAACAGATACTAAGAAATAATATGGGGCCTCCCCAATGGCCCAGCAGCTGAGCACCGCGCTGTAAAGCTGTCTGCAGCCTCTGCAGCGCCGGTTCAATTCCCCCCCAGCCATGGAGAACCCCACATGATGCAGCAGACCTCTCCTGCCTCACCCACTGCTCCCCTCAGCAGTGTCTTCAGTCCATCTGCCTGTTCTGTTACCCTCTCTGTCTCTGATGAATTCTCTCACCTTTCCATGCCTCTGACCTGTACCCCAGTTCTTGTATAAAATAAATAAATAAATCTTAAAAAAAATAATAATAATATGTGTGATGAGTCTGTCAAAGAGGAAGTAAAGAGTGTCTAACCACTAATGACCAGCATCAATAGAAAAAGGTCTGAAGCATCTTATTGACAAAACAAGATCTGCTGTGTATTGTCAAAATTAATCCAACTTGTAAGTTCCAAGCTAAAGTAGTGACACACAAACCCTTGCTAACTAAATTAGTCTGATAGAATCCTAACTGATCTTGTAGCTGCCACATCATGCTGTGACTTTAAAGGATCACTAACTCAAGGTGGGTGAGTATGCAGATTTTTCTGACCAGCCTCACAGAGTGCATTTAAGCTTTCTGACCGTGTTGCTTGCTCTGCCCTACCTTTAGCCAAGGAGGAAGAGCCAAATAAGATCTTTCACAGTTCCGTGAACCACCCAAAAATAAAGTGAACCAACTTAAGTCTAAAGAAAAAGGAAGCAGAACTACAGCCTAGTGTTCCTCACATGAGCCGGCTACCTACCTCCAAGTGAAATGACATTCACCACTGGCTCCCAAAACAAATTCAAAGCTTAGAGATTAAAAATCAAAGAGAAACTTTTCCAATGAAGAAAACAAGATAAACAAATTGAGGATACTTTCAAAATACACTCCTGGTAGGATGTTCACATTCTCAATAGCATCTACCCTGAGCTAAGGATACTGCTGGAAGCATGAAGACAAAGGACTTTTTACAGCATGGCAATCTACCATTAGACATCTTCAATGTGATCTGAACCATAAAATCTATTTTATATGTGTGATGAAAGTATATTGCTTCTGATATTGTAAGACCATCTGTCACCAGCAGAGTCGGTCATCAACACTAAGTGCCACCACTGCCTTCAAAGGGAGATGTACAAATCAGGGCAGATGCAGAGTCACTAGAAGAAGATGCCAAGATAAATCTAGAGTATAGATCTACAAACAGATACACCCACTAAGATAACTTCATATGACAGGAAGCCAGCGGCTCTAAGAAAAGAGGACCTAGAAAACTTTTCTATCCAACGGTCCTGGAGGGGCCCTTCTTAGTAGCTCAAATTTGCAAATGAAGCCATAAAACAATGCAAAAAGAAATAAGAAAGGGAAAACAAAGTAAACCACATTTCCTCTGAGCGTCTGACAAATTTTTTCCTAGCGCTTATTTATAAGATTATTACGTAGAAGAAAAGAAAAAGCCCTAAAAGACCAAATGACTGTCATACAGGATAGAAGCTTATCCTTTTCTATAATATTTAAATAGAAGCTCATCTTCTAGCCTAAGATGAGAAGGCCTGTGACTTGAAATAAAGGAATCCCAGAGCTGTTGACCACAAAAGGCTCATAGAAATGTCCTTAAAAATATGCACTTACTGGGCCTCCCTGGTGGTACAAGGGGTTAAGCACAGCACTATGAAGCTATCCGCAGCCTCTGTAGCATGAGTTCAATTCCTGGCTCGGCCAGAGAGCTACCCACATGGCGCAGCAGACCTCTCCTGTCTCACCCACTGCTTCCCTCAGCAGTGTATTTCAGTCAGTCTACCTGTTCTGTTCCCCACTCTGTCTCTGGTGAATCTTCTCACCCCCATCCCTCTGGCCTGTACCCCAGTTCTTGTATGCATACATAAATAAATCTTTTTAAAAGAAATATGCACTTACTGATTCCGTGCGACTGCTGCTGGGAGGTCGGTATGTCCAGTCTATGGTGAGCTTGTCAGTGACAGACGAAGTGGACTTGAAGGTGCATCTCAACTTGACCTTTTCGCCAACATAACCCCGGACATTGGCATCCACTTTAATCTCCAAGGAAAGGACGACACAAACACCTAATCAAAGCAAGCCCAAACATTTAAAATGCGTTCATTCGGGTGGAGTATACAAAGATACTTATTATAATTTTTAGGGCTCTCATCAAAAACCATAGCAATAAATATCTTCTTAGGCCAACCCAAAAGGATAAGGAATGGTTATCTGAATTAATCAAGGATAGTATTTTTATCATTTTATAATATTAAATCATAGAATAAAAGCTTGGATAAAAATTTTAAATCTGATCACACCAGCATTTTTTCAAATACAGATTTGTGATCAAATTAAGCACAGGGCCTCCTTGGTGGCGCGAGGGGTTAAGATGCAACCTATGAAGCTATCTGCAACCACTGCAGCTCAAGTTCGATCCCCCACCAGCGAGATTCCCACATGGCGCAGCAGACCTCTCCTGACTCGCCCACTGCTCCCCTCAGCAGTGTATTTCAGTCTATTTGCCTGTTCTGTTCCCCATTCTGTATCTGGTGAATCCTCTCACCCCCCGCACCTCTGGCCTGTGCCCCAGTTCTTGTATGCATAAATAAATAAATCTTTAAAAAAAAAAAACCAAATTAAGCACAAATAAGTAGGTCAACCCACAGCAGTCTAAAAGGCAATACCACCCACTGCCCCAACATACATGCACTGGGGGAATATGGCAGCTGAGGGGTCTACAGGACTTATCCCACGTATGGCATGGTTGTAACCTGAAGCCACCACTGCCTCAACCACTAACAAAATGGAGAATAGGAAATAATAGGAAATTGTTTTCAAAGAATATAATAAAACTGCCTCAAGTTTCCATCTAGTTTTGTTTCCTTTCTTAGAGCTGGTCAATGAATCATACATTCATTAAAAGTAAATTATGGAGGGCCTCCCTGGTGGCGCAAGGGGTTAAGCAACACACTATGAAGCAATCCACAGCCTCTGCAGCACAAGTTCGATCCCCGGCCAGCCAGAGAGCAACCCACATGGTGAAGCAGACCTCTCCTGACTTGCCTGCTGCTCCCCTCAGCAGTGTATTTCAGAAGATCTGCCTATTCTGTTCCCCACTCTGTCTCTGGTGAATCCTCTCACCCCCCACATCTCTGGCCTGTACCCCAGCTCTTATATGTATAAATAAATAAATCTTTTTTTTAAAAAAAAAGTAAATTATATGGGAGTTACAGAACAATTCAATACTTGTTTAAAAGGTATGAATATACGTCATTTTTAAACTCTCAACTTACTTTTTCCAAAATCATCTTATATAACCAACTCTGACACCCACAAAAGAGTGGCATTTTCTACTGATCAATCCCCTCTGCTTTCTAAGAACAGTGAATGGAAAATTATCTTTCACTAGGTAGCCATTTTTTAGAAAAGTAAGTCACTAGGATGCTGTTTTTCTGCTTCCTTCACTGCATAAGCAGTAAAGTGGTTCTTCTGGTAATCCAAAGGCAAACAGCAGCAAGGTTTCAGAAGAGCAAGCAAACCCACACACCACCGTGAAAACCAGCAGTCCCCATAGTAAAGGATGCAAATGCCAGTCCTATCGCTTGCTGTCTCTGTGGTCTTAGCTAGTTACTTTACTTCTTCATGATGGTAATGACAATAACAGCACTTAAGTGCTTATCTTAGAAGGTCACTGTGCGGAGTAAATGTGTTAAAACATGGACAACACAGAAACATATCTAACCCACAGTAAGTGCCATATGCCTGTTAAATAGCTTGACCATCATTACTGCCACCTCTTCAATTCAGCCTCCACTCTCAAACCTTCCTCACCAACACAGCTATGAGTCATCATTTCTACTGCCTTTACCTCTGCCTACTTTGAATCATTTTTCTTGCTCCTCTCTAGATAATCTAGTCTGTTCACATTCCTCTTAAAAGGAGGAAATCAAGTCTGAGTTCACAATTCTAATAAGAATTTGACCCATTCCAAAGATGAGGATTGCTTCTGGCTCATCCACAGCATCCTTTCTGACTTTGCTACACTTGTCATTTCTTCTGTACCTTGGCAAATGCTGGTCCTCTTCCTGCAAAGCCTCAGTCTTTGCTCCCTCCTAAGACCTTATTTCTGACCCACTGTTCTCTTCACTCAAGATGCAGGCTCAAACAATGAATAGTCCACATTCTCCTCAACCCCCAACCCTTTATCCCAAAATATAAGCACAGATGAGAAATTTTAAAGTATGGATTTAGAATTAGACCTGGATTTGAATTCAAGTCTATCTGCTTCCTAGTTATGAGGCCTTGATCACAGTTACCTAACCTGTTCAAGTTTCAATTTCCTTACTTGGTAAATGAGAACAATAATAAGAACTAGCTCACTGAATCATGGTGAGGATGTAATATGATTAAGTAAGAGAACACATAAAATGCTCAGCACAGCACCTGAAATAGAAACTTTCGATGTTAGCTATTATTAAAATGAACAATGACAAATTTTAAAACCTTCAATTATTCTCTATTGGACTATAGAATAAAATCTAAATATTGGAGCCTTCCCAGTGCGCAGTGGGTTGAGTGCAGTGTTGTGAAGCTGTCCACAGCCTCTGCAGCATGGGTTCAATTCCTGGCTGGCCAGGGAGGTTCCCACATGGCGTGGCAGACCTCTCCTGTCTCGCCCGCTGCTCCCCTCAGCAGTGTATTTTGCTCCATCTGCCTGTTCTGCTCCCTGCTCTGTCTCAGGTGAAACCTCTCATCCTCCCACGCCTCTGGACCTGTACCCCAGCTCTTGTATAAAAATAAATCTTCAAAAAAATCTAAATATTGATAATCTATCCCCAAACTGCTGTTACTCCACCTACCTACCCATCCCACCCTCTTCACCAAAACCAGGACATGCTGCCATTCCTAAATTTACTATGTCTTTTCATGCCACTATATCTTTCTTTGAATATGTCTTTGTCTGGAAGACTCTCCCCATACCTGGCATGTTCCCACTATGCCATACCCGCCAACACTCACACACTCTCAAAACTCAGCTTAAATGTCAGCTCTTTGTGTTGCAACCATGCTACTGCCTTCTTTTCAGTTCCTTGACTGATTGCTTCCCAAAAGCCCTACTATACTTCATTGCTTTCTTTGATGTTCCCATAACAGTCCATAGTGCTACTCAAGCACATATACAACTGATTACATTCAATTTTTAGAGACTGTTTGTCCATTAATTGCTAGTACCTTCAGGGCAAAAATTCAGAGGGAGGTGAGTGAGCAGGGAGACTGAGAGGAAGAGGTGGACAGGTCACGAAAATTTCTAGTTTAGAAACAAAGTAAGTGGTCACCCACTTACTTCCTGTCCCTTTTTACAGCATTTTCAATATTCTTAAGTCTCCACCACTCTCTCATTCTGAACTGAAAAGTTCAGATCTAGGTAGCCACTCCTAGACTGTATCTGTGTATATTAAAAGAGAAAACCACACAACTACAAGATAGTTAAATAATTCATGAAGTCCACCCACAGCTGACCCCTGAAGGAGGCGTGATAACCCTTGCAGTGGCCTTGGTCAGCTCCTCTTTCTGACTTCTCAAACATTTGCCTTTCTCTTTCATCCTCTATGCAATCTCCGGGCCCCTCAGTCTCAGAAGACAATGTCTCCTTCTTCAGGAAACTTGAGGCCACACAAACTGCCCAGTCATACGCCTTCCTGCTTTGCCACTTCGCCCCTAATCTCCAGTCTGAAAGGGTGTGGTATTCCTCTTCCTCTGCAAAGCCAACCTCTTCTGCTCTGCCCTGGATTCCTCCCCTACAGCCTTGCTACCACAGAAAAACCCTCTCCACTCTCCTCAACCTTTCCCTTTGAAGAGGGGCGCTGTCTCCCCTCAGCCTCTAAACACACAGAAGTCTCTCCCATCCTTGAAAGACAAATAACATTAAAACAAAACTGTAACAATCTTTCCTTCACCCTGTATTATTTCTTACTACCAATCACTGCCCTCTCCTTCCTTCCTAAGTCAAGTTTGTGAGAAAGTAGTCTACACTTGTCATTTCTATTCCTTCCCTTTTGCCACTCACTTCAGGAACCCAACAGAAGAATCTGGACATCACTACCACTTCTGGTAGAGGGCATTATGTCTTAAAACTGCCAAATCCAAGGGATAAAAACTCCAATAAGTAATTTTATACCCTGGTTTTTCTGAATCTCTCTGACACAGTGACTACTTTCTCCTTGATCTTTTCTGTCCCAAGTCTTCCATGACAATGCTCTCACTCACTCATTCTTCAAACATGTGTTAATTGAACATCTGTTTTGTGCCACCCCTTGAATTTGAGATTAAATGTGAGCAAAATAAATGTACTCCCTGTCTTAGAGTCTAAAATTCAGTGGAAGTTTGAAACATTAGTCAAATAATCATCAGGACAAATGTATAATTACAAACTTTGATAAGTACTATGAACAACATAAAAGAGAGTGACTATAATAACTACACCTATTATTGTAGAGGAGCAGAGAGTGGTTAATGAAAGCTCCCCTAAAAAAAGTTACTTTTGAGCTAAGTTCTGAAAGAAGTATAATAAGGGTAGGAGATGAACGGCATTCTAGGCAGAAGACACACCATATGCAAAGTTTCTGGGCCAGGAATGAACAGTCAGTCAAGGAACTGAAAGGAAGGCAGTATGGTTGAAACACAAAAAGCATGGTGAATAAAAAAAATGATATGTACCTAGGAACTAAACAGGAACCTGATCATATGGGACCTCAGAAGTTTAGACCCTTATCCTTAGAGTTGGAAAACTGAACTATGGGACCGAGTGGGAAGAGACATGATAAAGTTGGCCTTTTTAAAAGATCACTCTGAGGAAGAAACCTAGGGGTCAAGAGTAAGTAGGAGATTATTTAGGAAGCTACTGTAATACTCAAGTGAGAAATAAGTGAAGCTTGAACTAAGTTGGTGGGAGTGGAGATGGAGAGAACTAGGAAGATAACAATACTCCCAAGGTAAAATCAGCAACAATTCATGATAGATCAGATGTGGCATATTAGGCAGTGGAGGTATCAAGGATAACCCCTGTTTCTGCCTTAGTGATTAA